AGAGCGGTATATATATATATATATATATATATATATATATATATATATATATATATATATATATATATATATATATATATATATATATATATATATATATATATATATTAAAGATTCAACATCTCATCGAATATATCTTTAAAGAAACTAACTAGTTGACAAAAATTTCGATAATTCATGATAGGATCCTCCTGAACTCGAATCATCATTTCGTATCAAATAATAATATAATTAAAATATACATAGCTGAAATGGACAAATCATATCATGGAAAGTGCTGAAGCAGCAATAGCTGAAATGGACAAACAATAACAAGCTACTGTTACTACGACTCACATACTTCCAAACCACTGATTAAGAAGAACCCACAGTTCTTGGGGTATTCCATGTAAAATAAAATTGTCAAGACAGGGGATGTGAACCATAACATCTTAAGAACTTCCACGAGTCTTGAAATGCAGGTTCATTGAGACAAAGCAACATGCCTTTACACCGCAAGGCTAGATAAAGATCAGTAGGGCCTCTGGAGACTAAGATGACCTGTCGAAATAACCTTCGGAGTTAGTCGTAGTAGAGCTACAATCAGTTGAGATCTCAATACCGGTCATGATTAACATGGATGTTTGATCTTTTCCCAGAATTAAAAGATCGGACAAGATCTCCCCTAGCCAGACCCTGACAGAAAAAAAACAAACAAACAAACGACAATTAGCTGTCTCATGGATCACAAATAGCTGCTTCTAGCCGTGGTATTAAGTACATGTGAGAGTCGATGATACATACTCCTGCGCCTTGTCGGTTGCATCTGAAAAGCCCACAGCCTTCACAAGAAGCAACCCTAAATGAAAGAATTGCCTATTGAGATATATCCTCCACGGATCATCTCTATGCATAGTACATGTACAAGCTGTTTGCAGCAGCACATGCAATTGAGTTTTCGGTTGGGTGCCAGGCTAAATGTAGTAGTTTGATTGTGAAATCGAGTGAATTTCCATTGGCATCAACACCCTGGTTTTCAGCTCCTGTGGCAGATCCATGCAAAAATAGGGTGTTGTACATGAGAGCTGTATTTTTTTTTAAGACGTCTAGAAAACAGTTTAAAACCAGGAATCAGTAATAAACTTTTGCACGACTGACCTCGTCTGACAGCACGTGTTAGGCTGCTTAAACACCTGGAAGGCCTTGTAGGGTTTTGCACTTGTTGCCTAAACAAATTAAAAAGAAACAAGGTCTAATAATAAAAAAGCAGAGGTACCAAATTAGAAGCTAATGTCAATTAAGTTTAACATAGCATTTATATATAGATCATAGTGGTTCTGGGTCCCCTAGACTTCCACCCAAAAAGGACCCCTTCCCTTACCTCATACCCAGTGTTCCAAGTATTATTAGCGGCACAATTGTTTTATAACAAGCTTTACAAAAGATAGAAAACTTTCTAATTATTTAAATTTGCCAGAAATGCCAGATTTCGGATATGTTTATGAAGTGATGCATGAGTCGAGAATGAACATTTGCAAATATTGCTCACATCCTAAGCCCTCAACCCTTGACTGTAAAAAGCTTATATACAGCACTTGGATACAAGTCAACCAGACTAGAATTGATTTTTTTTTAGTTTTTAGAAATTGGTGCAAAAAGTACACCCAGATCTCCTCGTTCTTGCAGCTTAAAATCAATGTCTGCTGTTCAGTAAGGCAGCTGTCAGACAATTCAAACTGAGTAGTGTTTCTACCGAAATGGTCATTTCAAGAATACAAACGACAGCAGAAGTCTTCAAAACCTAATTTTTTATTAAGTTCACTTCATAAGTACAATAACTGATACATTACCTCATTGGATTTTTACTGGCTTCTAAAGTTGTTGTCTCCTTGCTTCCAGGAAGGCAGCCAAAAACACGAAAAAGATTACTGGAGATTCACAAAGGGGTCATTAAATGCTAGAGGTCCAAGGGCTGCAAGTAATGTTTCAAAAGAAAATCAGGTCAACATTGGATGAGTTGAAATCTTACCTGTATGAACCAGTTGCCACACGCAACCCATCCCCACTAAGACAGCACTCAAATTTGTCAAAGATTGAATCGTTCTCATATAAATCACATAGCTGCAAATCAACAAAAATACTTGTAGCCAGCTTTCTTTCATCCACCATTGCAATTAATTATTCAGCAATTATATATCGAAATGAGAAATAAGTCACCTTAGGCCTTAAGTGTTCATGGACCTGAAATGTTGCAACAGGACCTGAATCCATGTTTATATCCCATAGCTGATGAACCACAAAAAGAATATATGAGGAATTGAAAAGGAAACTCAAATATGATTCTACTTGATAGACCATTTAGTCAGAATATTCCATTAGTTAAATTAGAAAGTGGACCTTAGGTAAATTCACAAGACATGAAACTACATACCACATAAAGAAGAGTACCTATTATTAGCAAAATTCTAGTTCAACAGGTCAACTAGCAAATTCGAGAGCAATTACATCAAAGTTTTAAAGCGTGCAAGTTGTTAAGTGTTATGAGCCAATTGGTTCCCTAATCATGAAAAGAGCCTGGGATAATGTTATAAAGTCTCTGTCCTTGGTTTCTTTGGATTTTAGTGTTTCAACAAAGATCCACTCATGTCCCATCTCGCCTCCTTATCAGCTCATTGCTAGACTTGGAAAGGAGGCCGATGGACGGGAGAGGTGGCTGGACTATGTGAGATGCGATGGGTATGTTTAGAAATTTTCATGTAATCCTCAGTTTGTCATGATTTTCAGTGTGATGTCGAGTTCCCTAGTCATGTTGTGCCATGCTGCATCGCATGTACAGTGCCGGCCAACAGCAGGAAAGAGAGGGCTGGCAGCACTTTTATATTAATGAAATCTCATGAAAAAAAATTATGGAGAAGATGAGAACAAACAACACAAACGGTGATGTTCCAACATGCAAAAGAATATTGCATAAATCCTAAAATTTATTCCAGTTCTTAATTAAAATTTAAACACTGGTATCACATGAATGCTTAAACAATGTTGTGAGCTTTGGTAAGACAAATGAAAACTTTAGTAGTCACAAACAACTCTAAATTATTCCAGCTTCTCTTCTGGTTAATAATTGTTTTTAGAAATCCTAGAGAAGCCTTACATTAGAATATGCCAAATCATAGGGAAAAATCCAAGAAGGGTGCAGCTTAAATCCTGCATCAAAAGTTTTGAGCAGAAGAGCAGTATGGCAGCTACTTTTCCTTAATCATGTTCTGGAATAAAATTGTCAAAAGCCCTCTTATAATCTGAGTATCAGTCTTAGATATCAGTGCTTCATATTCTCAATAGTTCATATGTATTGTTTCACATACTGCTAAAACATGGGACACAGAAAATTTGACTATTAGCACATCTAGTGATGGTTTAGAATCTAGACAATGCATAACAAATATAGTCCATTTCCAAAAAGAAAAGGAATGTTGAAGAAACAATAATCAGCTAAACCATTAAACAGAAAACCTTAAGAGTCATGTAATCACGACTAAGGATGTGTCTTCCATCCTTTCCAAATTTAATATCTGCAATTGAGGCAATAATCTCCGTGAAAAAGGACCTTGAACCAGAAGCCTCATGCTCCTCAAACCTACATGAAAAATTATTCCCATTAGCTACAGATAAATGCATCTGAAAAATATCCAACTTTCTGCTACTCATATATTTGCTTCTAGGAAACATGGAGGTCTGAGATAGGACAAGAAATTTACGTACAACTTAGAATAGCTATCACATAATGCTGATTGGCGCAAGTCTATAAGCCGGATTGAGCCCTTTGAACTACTATAAGCTAGCATATTACAATGTGTTGGATGGAACTCAGCAGACGTTATAACCTCTGAAAACGCAACAGATTTAAGTCATTAACAACCGAAAACATTAATGACCACTAAAGGATCACAATAAAGGCAAAACAACACAATGATGCATAATAGTGCTACCATATAAACGTGAATCAGTAAGTGGACAGCAAGCTGTATAATGTTAATATATTCATGATAAACATAAATTGCATACTGAAGGTCTTAGGACTATGGAGCACAAATCATGTTGATGATACTAGAAAATCAGTACAGAAGATAAGAAGAAAACCAATACCCTGACATTATGAAGAAACTTGAGATCCATCTAAGTATCTGATTGCTCAAGAGTCATTTATTGGCATCTATATGTTCAGCTTCCTGTTTAATGATTATTTTGCACCAGCATATAAAAGACTAGAGAACTAATTAAACGTAACCAAAGAAATAAGTGGTTCTTTTGTCTGCTTGATCTGACTTTTTCTGTTGATTACAAGGTAAAAGGAAGAAGAATGTCCAGAAGTTAACAATTAGAGAAGGCACAATTCTTGACCATTCGCAAAGTTGGAAGGTCCCACGGTCTAAGAATTTAGACAGATGCATGGCTATCTTAGGTTAATTACCCAGAAAACACAATTTATGTGTTAAAATTCCAAGTTGATATTACTGGGGTTAAGATCTCATATCAGGAACCAATAGAAAAGTGATTTATATTTCAGATTAATGATCATTCATTATTAGTTCTGATCAACAAGATCAACCAACATACATGCAACATACTTTCCATTTTCTATTACAAGAGAAAATTTCTTCATGCATCATCAAAGCCCTGACTGAAAAGTGTTTTGACTTTGAATTACTGAAGCATAACAACTTTCAGTGAACAGTTAGCTGCTTATTGGATAACATGAGGAGAAATAACTACCGCAAGGGGCATTTAGAGTGCTTAAAGTATTAGACTGGATTTTTAAAGAAATAAATAAAAGTTCCTTTATCACATAGTATATCACAAGCAAGACTACTCTATGTCTTCAACAGGAAATTTACTTAAAAGATTAACCAATAAAAACATAGAAACTCCATGCTACACTGCTTAAACATCTAAAATCAAAACAGAGTAAAAATACCAGTCAGATCTTCCATATTTGCAGGCTTCACATCAACAATGTTAAAACTCTGGTTGCTAATTTCCAAATTCCATAAATTTATTCGCAGATCATCTGCCGATATAAATGTCTCACCATCACTGTGGAGTTAGAAAAGGTACATGAGTAGTTTACAAATAACAATATTAGAAAGAAAATCAGGCTAGCGCACAATTTGCATACTAGAAAAGGGCAAATACCATGGTACTGTGAACAATAAGCTCAAGCATATTTCATATAGAAAATCATCAGAAATAAGCATGCTTAAGAACCATATGCAGTGAACAATAAAGTAATGCAGTGATTAAACCATTAAAGTTGAACTTGCCAAATTGTTTAACAGCCATTAGTATCAAATTCCTGCAACAAATCAGGCATCATGAACTAAGAAACATAAACAAGAAAAATAATCTTTTACAACCACATTATTTTGAAGTGCAACAACAATTCAAGAATGCTATGTGTGCCCCACTTCATCAAAGAACCAAAATGATGTTCAGAGTGAACACAAAACTTACAGTGGTAAGTAAAAAGATGGTGAGCACAGAGCTTCAGATGGCAAGTAAAAAGATGGTACAATGAAAAAAGAGGCAAATAATGTATGAAACTACATTTTTGTTTTAAAAAATTAGAAATAATAATACTGTAAAAATCACATCTCAGCAAAGTGGGGAACTGCTGAAAAGAACTAACTAGGACTGATCTGCTGGCTTCCAATGGATTAGAACACTATAGCAGCCTGAAAGGGGATGCTGAGTGTCCAGGTGCTGTAACAATCACACCTCAAGTCATATCTAGCTCATCCTTGTTTTTCCTCTATTTTTCATGTTTCCTGTTATCTTCAATCAAAGAGAAGAACATGCTTTTCAAATTTTTATAAGTTGCTATAACCACTGATGTAAAATACCCCGTGAATTTACCAGCTTCAGATCAAGAATTAAGTTACCACTGTATAATTCTTCATCCCTGTTTAAACAGGGTTCCCAAGATTTGTTATTATGAGATGCAAGCTTAGAAGCAAATTACCCAAATCATCCAAATTAGGCATCTTGTCATGACTATGAATATACATGTTGATAGAAATTTGTGGCATGTTAGCCAGGATAGATATTCATGTCCATCTCAAGCCAGGCTGAGAGGACAGCAGGGTGCCTTTCAATTAATCTTTACATTGTTATTAATAAATACACCACTTAACTCTTCTTTGCAGATTGAGCATGAAATAAAAAATATATATCTCCATCCATCTTCTTTTCCATCCAAAGTTCCTTCAGTGACACTCATTTATATTTTCCAATTCAGCAAAAAGACATTCGCAGAACCCAGACAAACATCGTAAATGCATAAATAGGATTTCAGAAGACATAAAAAATACTACATAAATGAGTTATAATTCATAGCAACTCAAAAATGTATAAACAGATAAGCTAGAGAAACCAGAATTAAAAGAACTGGATGTAAATGAACCTGTTATTTGAAATAGAGTTTATGTGATAGTCGTGAGCATGAGCATATATCCTCTGACACCTTGAAACAAGACTTGTCTCTTGGCTTGTTACCTTCACACACAAAATAGATGTGAAAACAATATGTTACATCTATCAAATATAGCATTAGCTGGTCAAATCAGCCAAGCTTTAAAATTTGTAGTTAATGTAGTAGACAGTTTGAAACAAGCCATTACAGAAAAATTGATAGGAAACACTGAAATATATATAATGAAGACAAAGCATATAATTATCTATAGTAATTTTTCATCCAGCAATGCATTCATCTTTAATGCAGGCAATTTTGCATGATTTTCAATTATAGTGATGTTTAAAAATTTCATAGGCATGGTTGAGTCAACTACCACAGGCAGACGGAGGGATGGAAACCCTCCTGGAGGAATGCACAAGTCATTGCTCAAATAGTTCAAAGTCCTTCCAGAACATCCATTGGGAAGACACGGTCCAAGACTACTTGAGCTAGCACTGCTACAATTTCCTGCAGCATGTGAAGCATCTATATTCATCTCAGAGATTCTTTTGACCTTCTTTTCTTGCACCTGTTGGTATTCAAACAGAAACAACAAACATAAAGTAGTACTTAACACACTGCACCATGGCTAATTGTTAAAAAATTGCAAAGACAAGCAACATAATAAAAAAATTTAAACAAATGTGGATAGTAAGGAATCATCAACAACAAGATGGGTTGGGCAAGCATTTAAAGACAACTTGGTATTTCCACTCTGCTTTCATCCTCATAAGCCTAATAGAAGAACAAAAACCTCAGATTCAATTCTTAAAACTTAAGATTTATAAATTTAAAATTGTTGAAATATCCAACAAACTTGCATTATTAAATTAAAAAAGTACAGCTCAGTATTACTATAAACATAAGATTCCAGATTGATAAATGTTGATATATCTGACAAATTTGCAATATATAACAAACAAATGTACAATGCTGTTACCAAATGAAGATATTAAACCTTGCACTAACATAAGAATGTTATCAAAGAAAGAATTCTTATAACTATGGAAATGGAGTAAGGAAGCATCACAAACGAGGTGATGAGGCACTGCCTATGGTGCAAAAGAATAAAATCCATATAGAATTTAGATTCTGGGGAAAGAGTAAGTAAACATCACTAATAAGGTGAAGAGGCATTGCCTATGTTAAGACAAACATATTGTAATAAGTCATAATCAAAAAACATAGAAGTGTGCATACTTCACTCATCAGTACTAAAAACGAACAATACTCAATAGAACTACATAATGTCTATAGAAGTAATGCTTTTAGATTTCAATAATGAAAATCTTGGTTGCTTCTCACTGGCATCGTCTCTGTAGATACTGGGTCAGCACAGTATGACAAAGCACAGGGCTCTGCTGATTAACAAAGTTCAACACCACATGTAGTAATTTAATAATGAGGGCATACCCTCAACATGGCATAGTTGCCCAGTTCTGACCACACATGCCACACAGCTTATACTGGTAAACTACTGGTATCCTCGATATATAGTACCAGTAACAAGTTTTACTACGAGCTGAAGAACTTAGTGGAGTTTGAAAACCATCATGATAGTATATGGATGAACCTCCACAAGTCAGTCAAAAGAAAACAATGGTAGACAACAAAAATCCTCATAAATAGAGATATTTAATGAGTTCATTCATAAAGATCATTAATGGTAAAAGAAATGGTAATAAGGCAAGTACATTATGAGGAATAGTTGAAAAAAGGTAAACTTCAGAAAAGCATGAATTTAAATAGAAGGTTATTATTAATACATAGAAAATATCAAATCCAGATAATGCTAGAAGTAAAGTTTGGAAAAGCAAGGAGCAGAAAATTGACCTTCCAGTATTTAATTGTTTTATCATTGGTAGAAAGAACGAAAAGAGAACCATTGGCTGTTTGGCACCATCTGATCTTGTTGATCTTCTCCTCTATTTCCAAGCTTTTAAGATAGTCAAACTAGAACATAAACAAGAAGAAAGTGACATCACAGAACAATTAAATTTAGGACAATATTTCAAATAGCAGTAATCCAGAAAAATTACCTCTGGTTCATGGCTCTGAAATTCTGTCTTGTAACGAAACTCTGGATGCCTGCTAAGTGAACTATCTTGCCTCTCTTGATCCTTGCGAGAGCCATGCTGCAGGACAAACAATTACAGTATGTGAAGATTAAGGAATAAGTAATTTAAAACACAGATAGCACTAAATGAAATTGATGGCACATCACATACATTTCTAGCATCTATCCTCTCGAATAGAACCACACGCCCTCCTCGATCTCCAGTGGCAAGATGATCACCAGATTTATCAAATTCTATTGCTGAGATAATGTCGACTGCAAGAGAAGTGTCAGGTCAGGACACAATGCAAATCTTTGCAAGTCGGAAAATAAAAAAGAGTTCTTCAAACCAAAAAACACAAAACCATCTACACAATCAATAAATAAGCTTCACAAGTTAGGATATAGTAATAAGAAAGCCTTGAACCAACTACAACAAATCAAGTTGGCAAAGAAATAATTTAGCACATTGAGATACTAAACCAATAGCAATGGCCCTTAACCTGATGTGGATCCTCCAAGCTGATTAATGTCTCCTATAAAGCACCTACAAACAAAGAAAGAACTGGGGTAAACCTAATTGTCCAGTTGGGCTCTTCAATATCAGTTACACACCAAAAGCTAATGCAACAGTTCTCTGCCTCCTTGGAGTAGGAATCAATCTAAAGTAAGGAAGGAAGAAAACAAACATCAATGAAGAGGCAGAATCTTTAGTCAGAGAGCACCCACCCTCAATCAACTACAGATTTTTGTGACACTTCTAAGTATATCAGATGTGACAATGACAGACTTTTGTATTGTGTGCTACTCCAGAAGCATCAACTAGTACTAAAATGTGACTTGAATTTTCACCCTTGCAAAGTTTGATCTGTACTGAGGGCCACTGATGGATCTAGACTTACTCACATCTCCTTTTCGAAATATGATTTAGCTTCTAGTCCTTAGTTCCAACATATATGATCCTATTTTGAGCACATGGAACAAAGTCATGAGTGTAAACAGAAGAATAGTTGGCAGTATAAATGTCAAATATTGACCACGTCGTATGTGAATGTGAATGTAGAAGAGATGTGATTATGAAAAATCCGAAGGACTACATCTGCAGTTTGCAAAATTTAAAGCCAAGATAGGGGGTGGAAATTCTTCCCAAATAATATCAGATGATAGCAGCAGAAGTATTTAAATTTTGTATATTACTGTACAACATAAAACACATGTATTATGATAGATAACAAATAATTGAGAAGAAAATGAATTAGAGAACATGCTTGAAGTCGTGTCCAGTTAACAAAGCTTACTTCTTTATCTTTTTTATTTTCCTAACAGATCTTCAATGGACAATATTATGAAAAATCAGTAATTAAAAAAGACTTAAAGAAAAATCCTAGCATACAAAGCTTAAGAAACTCGAGGAAGTTAGAAAAACCAGCCATCAGAAAAGTCAACCAAGAAGGAACAGAGAGAAAGTCACATTTGGTCCGAATTATGTTATATGACACTCCTGTGAGAAAATATATACACAAACTAGTGCATTTACATATACCGAGGTATTTTGAATATCTATACCCTAAAATTCAAAATAGACAACAGCATAAAAAGACAAATGTTTAGGTGACGTAATTCTGGTCTTGTTCCTAGCACAGATGATTGCCAAGGCTATCGGGGAATGAGCTCGGCAAAAAAGAACTCAGAGAATACAAACTTGTATGTGTTACCTTTGAAACCACATAAGCGTCATAGAAGTCTTAGTTGCTAATTTCAACAAGATTCTAACAAAGGAAAAGAATATATATTATAAAGAACAACATTCAATTATTAACCATGTTTTGGCACAAATTTGATGATCTTTTATTACCTGTACATTCAGTCGCATGAGATCAGGGGAGAAAGTGAAAAGGAAGTGACATCAAAAAAGACCATACATTTGAGAGAAAAATATTATAAACGAAACTTATACAACAGCCAAAGTTGAGAATACACAAGAAAGTAGTTAAAGGTCCTGAACATGTCAAAAAGGAAGCGCAATAATGATTGATTTAAACTAAATAATAGCATCTAATAGTATGTTCAATAAAACAGCCAAAAAACTAAATAAAGAAAGATCCCAACCAGAAAGTTCATGTTGTCATGTCCTGCTAACACCAAGATCTGATTTTCTTAATCTGGAGCTAGAACAATACATCATCTAAATCCCTTAAATTTACTTACATTTTCAAATGACTCGAACCCAAACGTTGTTCAAAACCTAATTGTGAAATCCATAAGCAAGAGAACATAAATTTGCAACTTCCAAATGAACTCTATGCTTCAGCTCCAGCAATCATACATAAGAAATCGTCCAAACAAAAGGGATCTCATATTACAATAGCGGGGAGCAAAGATCGCACCTTCCTGGACCTCCTCCCCGGCCATGCGCTCCCCAAACACCTGCGAGAACTTCCATTCGAGCTGCGGCGGTGGATGCATGGACGGCGCCTGCCGCACGCCGTCCTCGGCACTGGTCCCGTTCATCTTCCGACGACAATTACGGCGAGATCGGGATCGGATTTCTGCGGCATCAAAACGTCCCGCGCGGCGACCACGGGTCGGGGCAGCTCACTCGGAGCCGATTCACGATTGGTCCACGAGGGTTTCGGGAGGAAGGGGGACGGGGACGGCGACGATGGCGACGACGGTAGGAACCGAAGAAATAGAAAAGCTTCGCTTTGCCTCCCTCGGCCCCAATGAGAAGCTTCTTTAGTTTGCGCTCCTCCTTGCGAAGCTTCTTGCGAAGGAGAGAAAGCCCGGCCCACCCAAAAGACTCGGGTTAAATGGGTGGGGCAAGTGGTGTCGAGCAGTGTCGTATCTGAAGTCGTCCCTCTCCAGACTTTCCTAAAATATCCGATATTAACTCAAAATTACGATCTCAATTTATGAATTTTTTTTAGTGAGAGAGAGAGGGAGAGAGAGAGAGAGGGGAATGATGATGTGACCGACACCTACTTGCCCACATAGTCAACACCGTGATGTTACTATAGAATCGTGGGTCTTTCTTAAAATATTACAAATCACATCATGATAATTGTATATTTCTCAAGTTCGATATGATATAGTTCTATCAAGGTTGAGAAAAATACGTAATCATCTCTGATATTAATATGCATCCTGATACTTTGATCGACACTTTATAATGATCCAAAAGTCATATTATAAAACACATTATTATGTATGTTCCTCAAGACATTGAATTTTTCAAGCTCTAAAAGGATTTGATGCTTTGATCGACACTTTATAATCAAAACTAACTTAAATATTGTAGGGACGAGCACGATCATTTCATGGTACCAATAAAAAACAAGTATGGAATAGGATCACGATCAGGTTTGAATCAACATCCCAATCGGATAATTAGAATATGCATTAAGTAATTTAATCACACATCCTATCCGATACTAATTTGGGTATGAACGCATCTTTCATTGTTCATCCTATACCAAGTGCTGACGTCAAACAGCCCATTGCTGTTACCATCTTCACATCACCAACCCCTCTCTGTGCAACTCAACAAAGCAAACTGCCTTCTCTCTGTATTTTGGTGGGAGGGGACTGTGGTCCTGTGCTTAGTTTCTCAAGATGAGCTTTTTGGTGCAGGTGGCTTTGCCAAGAGAAAAGGAATGCGTCACCAGTCAAGTTGTGGATAGAAAATTGTGACAACAAAAGTATAATGTATGATAAAATGTCAGATTTAAGAACAACAACATCAAAGAAAGATGAGAAATGGTTTCTTGGATATCATGGATCAGCCTCCTTTCTTCCACATTCCTCCTCAAAGAGAGAACCCATCCACTCTCCCTTAATGAGTTGCTCCATCAAAGCCATTATTAGTGCTCCATGATATTGTTTCATATCTCCAGCTTTTCATCTTCTTTTCCGGTATTTAGTCCACTTGGTTTCACCGAGAACATTCTGATGGAGAAAGAAATAATGTTAGCAGAACTTTTATGAGCCCATGACAATTATGAGTAGGATGTTTCAATTGGACTAATCCCTTTTTTACTTTTGGGCAGTCATTGCATTTGGTAGGGGGTTTCAGTGTAAGTATCAACATATGAAAGGCTTAACATGAAACTGCTGGTATAGTAACTTTAAGATTGAACTGCAACTCAGGAATATCTCCAGCATTTCATCTTCTTTTCGGGTATTTAAGATTGAACTGCAACTAGAATGTATAATAACTACACGTAGTTGCACATATCTCACCTGTTTCAGACCATGGAATTGAGAACCAGAATCGATAAAGCTCCAGCAAGCAGACACATTCAATGTGGGCAACACGAGGGAGCATCAACAGGATGAACACTTTTCAGATTGTAGCAGCCTCTTATGTCCTGCTTAGCCTGTCTATGGTGATAACAAACCGGCAAAAATTAGAATCAGTATTCAAATGAACAGCTAAAACTAATCGTTCTGAGTGTTTAATGTACAGATGGATGCATACAACACCATGACAGAGGTCATCAAGATTACATGTCAATGTTGATGTACATGAGAGAATATATGTGGTGCCTGAAACTTAAGTAGATATTTGACTTGCTTCACATTGATGCCTAGGTAATTAGGATCTGTCAACCCAATAAATACTAATTTGGAAGAAGCAAAAAAGAGATTTAAGTAAAAATGTAAAAGAACTGCAAAAGGAAACTTGTATACGAATCCATCAAAACACACAAACGCTATCTAGACCATCAAAATGATGTTAAAGAATTAAACCATAGCATGTTATTAGAAATAGAAATTTGCATACAGCATGGAAATTTATTATTTTACAAGATCATTATATGCTTGCTGTTATTAGATATAGATGTCTACATACAGTATAGAACTTTATTATCTTACGATATCATTATATCTTTGCTGCTATTAGAAATAGAAATTTGCATTCAGGACAGAAAATTATTTTGCAAGATCATTATATGTTTGCCCTTGTAGCCACTGAATGTATTATATAGAAGTGACTCCTTTGCATTCACAGCAAAAAGGATTATATATAGTTGCTCCATCACTGGAGAGCAATTTTTCGATACTACACGATTGGGCTGCATGAAAAATGCAATCTAAAGAAAGCCTGTAAACTGGACATACAAATGATCTTCACAAACAATCAAGTTAGCAAAAAAAAAAATCAACAGTTAGTAGAATATATTCCAGTCTACCTTAGAGCTTGGACATTGACACTTATGTTCACCTCAGCACACCCACAAGTACTTGTAAGGAACTTAAAGTTGCCACTTAGTTTCAGGTCAGGGAACAGAACTTGCCAATGCATTTTATCGTGTCTTCTTGAAATCGGTCCAGTACCTCATAACCATGTATTCTGGAGCCTGAAATTTGTTGCATGTGTTTTCTCATGGACTCTGCATAAAACAAAATTTCCTGCTGAGATTTCATCATAACAAGCTTTTCTCATAGATGAACATCATATTGGTATTTTGATAAGATTCTGAGATTGTTGTTGAGATTGACCATTTCACACCCCTATGTACATCTTGTTGACATTTTTCAGAGAGATCAGTCTTTCATCATCCTTCTCAGTTGTACAGCATTCAGATTTACAAATGCTGTTATGGTATTCCTCACATACATTAAGTGTCATCTCAATAATCATCTTTATTACAATCTGTCACTAGCACTGTTGTTAGTCCAAATGCTGTCACTTCTCCAATCGCTATTGTGATTCCAATTGCTATTTCTTCTCCAGGTGTCGCACATGGTGCCATTGCTTTTCTTAGTCCAATAGTTGTTGCTATAAAAATCACTGTTATTTTTCCAATTGCCATCCTTTGATGGATCATTGTCTTAGTCTGCTGAAGCCTCTGTCAACTGGAACTCAATCTGCAACCTCTGGTGGAGGGCTGTGTTGATCCCAATTCCCTTCTCCTCCAACTCCAACTCCTCCTGTAATGGTATAGCCGCTAAGAATCTATTTATGAATTCCCTGCAACATTCCTTCCCTCTACAAATCAGCTCTTCCCTGTCTTCAATTGCCTTGTTTTCATGCCACCTGGACATCTCCGTGGAGTCATCAAACCTTAGCATATAGGCCTTCTTGCATCCTTCATACAATCTCTCTCCCAGAGTATCCATCACATAGTATGCATTTACTTCCAGCTTTAGCATGAAGAAGTGATCATTCCAACCTACAATATAGACCTTACTATCTCCTCCAACATCACTAGTTATCTCATGCCATATGTCATCAAACGACATTGCTCCATGCAAAGATTTGAAGTTCTCTGGTCGGAAGAATCCTATGAAAGATTTGTCTGGTAAAACGGATATAGGCCTTATTTTTGCTTCTAATATTGTCTCAAGGTCAAAGTGCTTGTCAGGAAAGCTTTCAATATATGTCAGGTTGTTGCACAACTTTTGCCACTCGGATGAGCCTTCTCTAATAAGTGCATCAAATTCTGATCTAGTTGGTGTGTTGAGTTCATTATCATGGAGCGCACTTGCAATCACAGCGGCTATTGCTGTGCAAGCACTCTCTCCACCGGCACTAGGATCTCGCTGATCAATGGAAGCAAAGAATGTCTGGACTTTGAGCTTTGTTTGCTTGTCCCTGCTGATGAATTCTTTGTTTCTCCAGTTGCCTACTGGATCATCGTCTTCATCAGACTCTGCTGAATCCTTCTGCTAAGACAATAACGAATCAAGGCCCATGCATACCTATGATAACAAAATTTAAAAGAAATTCCAAGTCAAAAATTAACTTACCTTGCCATTTTCGGATAAATTGTCTTCATGAAAGGAGGAAGGCTTCGTGGTTTCTCCCTCAAGATCTCTAACCATATTGGTAACTTTTCTCCTCTTGCTCCATTGGAACCAGCTCTTTGAAGATGATTCTGACTCTGGACTTGATCGCCAGCTGTTGCTGCTGCTGGCAGTGTGATTGTGATGATTACAAACTTCGGAAGTATCTTCCTCTTCTCGAAGCAGAATAAGCCGATCCAAAACCATATCTTCTGTGTCAAAGCTTCCTGAATCGTCAGATTTCATTTGTTGGCTGCCCTGGCGTTCTACCATCATCTTGTCTTCACAAGGTGATGCCTTTTCCATTACTCCAAAAGGCCTCACCTCCGTGAAACTTGCAGTGACCTGCAACCATCCACATAATTAGAAGACAATTTGCTTCACATTGTAGAGAAAAATAACTTCTCATTGAAATTCTTCCAATATTAGAAAATACTGTCCCCTACTTATTTGATTTTCTCCCTAATAACTATGCTTCACAACCTCCCATCTTGGGAATTTGTAAATGGAGATAATTTTGCAGCTTCAGGCACACAGCGGAAGACAAAAAATATTAACGGACACAGATCTATTCTTACAAATGAAATTTCAGTCATGCAGCATTTTCAGAAACCAAGGCTACAAGGATCTTGTATCTCTTTTGCTTAACCTCAATTGAAGTCATCATATTACAAATTTTTGGTCAAAATATTAATCTTGTTGTCTTTTTGGATGACACACTAAACAGTTGACGAAATTGTATTAAGTCCAAATGAATCATCAGCATTCTTAATTTCTCTTTATATATTTAGTCAATAACTTCTTTTTTCCCCTAAAATACTTCCCTATTAAACATAAGAAAGCACTAGCTATCAGCTCTCTTTGGACAAAAGAAGGGAAATAAGGGTATTTACATGAAGCATTCCATGGCTCGTCAAGCCTTCCTTCTTTAAGGTGATGCAAAGCTGCTTCTTGAATTCCTTCTGTTCTGCTCTTTCTCCTTTTCTCTTGGATTCATATTCCTTAGCCCACTCGGCTAGATTTACCATTGTCGTCCCAATTGTTTCCAGTTTGTTTAGCTTGCCTCCTCCATCACCACATCCCTGGAGAATTAAATCTAGTCATCAAGCAGCACATAATAGAAGGTGACAACTTTAGATTGACAACAATACATGATAGGAAATACTTCACCAAGTCAAAAGTATTAGAATAATCATTTTAGCTTTCTGATCAATCAGCTAAGATTTAATTTTCTTGCATTGGGTATTCATCATTTGATACATTCCTTACATTATTTACTCATATCCATGCTTATGAAACAGTGAGGCTATAATTCTAGCTAAAACAAGTAATCGTATCAAATAAAAGAAAGATGAGGAAATCTGCTAAAGATGCTTGCAGAAGAAGCACTAATCCATTAACTATGAGTATAATAGTTAAAAACAAGAAGAAGCCAAAAAAAATATCAAAAGAAGATTTCTCGGCTTTCATATTTGCAGCTACATTCAGCGAAAATTCAGTCATGTTGAATAACATAAATTTAGTAGGTATACTAAAATATCCTTTCGATGTAAAATCATTCCTTGCAAAAAAAACAAAAAACAAATACAGAAATCGATAAGCCTGGATAGACTAAAAGCGTGATTAGAACCCTCCAAAGTTTCTTTCGCATATTACATGATCATCTAACTTTGTCAATGAATAAATCAAAAACTACGCAAATTCCAAATCTTTCTTAATTGACGTACCAATCACATAAGAATTGCACAGTAAAAGTCCAATGTTCTACACATTTTCCCAGACTTGTCATTCGGTCACAAATTCTGCATAAGTAATATGCAGAACTGACCTGAAGTTTAAATTCATCTAAACCATTTTTGGAATTTTATTGATGCTCAAAATTTTCATCTCGAATGAAATATTCCCAATCAACCGACTACGGTGACTCTCTTGACATTGGACGGGGATCCACCATAGAGCTTGGTCATTTCCCGGTCCAACAATCAATACTGTCAGCAAGAGATGTGAACACCAGCAAGGCGTTTGACCACCACAGCATTTCAACGCTATTATATATCTCTCTAACCAACCAATTAAACCAAAGAATGGATGACGATATTAGTAAAACTTGCACAATGAAGAACTCACGTATAGAATGGAGAAGGAAACGTCATGGACGGGATCGGCGACCGACTCCGGATCGCAGAGCCGACACACGTTCTCGAACCGGTTCGCCTCGTCGTCGTAGTCCCATCGGACGGCCCAGCTGTCTTCCACCACCGGCCTGCGCGAAGAAACGCTTCGGGCCTGCTTCTTCCTTCCCATGAGATACGCAAGCGCCCCGACCTTGTGCGGCTGCCTCCATCGGACCTCGACCGCCGCCACCCTCCCTTCCCCCGGGAGCGGCGGAAGCCCCTCGAGACCCACCACCTTCACCGTGACCTTGCACTTCCTCTTCCTCCTCGCCGGCCCCGGAGGTGCCCAACGGGAGAGACTCATCACCTTCTTCACCACCATGTCTCCGCCGACGACTCCACCTTCCTCTTCCAACCTGCCTTCGATGTGATGGAGGCCAAGATAAGGTATCCTGCTGAGACGGAGATTATGATTCTCGTGATATTAATAGCACCCACAGGCTGGAGGAAGGTTGGACACTTCTTGGTTGGAGATGCCGCGTCAACGCGGGTGGGTTTTCCCGGCACGTGCGGCACCCGTTTGTGACGCGGTTACGTGAATCCTCCATCGTCGCTTTCTTGTTCGTCGGGGATGCGGCACTTGAGACCGCGAGTCGATTGGGTTTGAGTGGCGAAGACAACTACTATGTGGCCTACGAGTTGGTCAAACAGGCGAGATTGCTTCGCGACGACTTGGTCCGATTCAGGTGAACCGCGGCCTCCGCATCCGTCCTTGGCAAAGTCGAGTCAATCAGAGGGGTCCAATCCCATCAGCTGTATCCCTTCACGGACGACAAGGACTTGAGCAACACGGCACGTTGATGTACAGCGGTGGCCGTGGGGGCCAAATCATGATCTAGAAGAGCATTTCCTTACTTCCGCTTTAATACCCGTACGTGGCTTGACCGATGGTAGACTCGTATAATGGTTTCAGTTCTCTCTCTTCAAACGTTACACGACGGAGTCGTAACCCATCGGAACTAAATTTCCGTTCATGAAGTTGCCGTAGGATCGAAGGCATTAAGCAAAGTTCCACAACATTACAAGATTATATTATTTCTTTAAGAACCATTTAGAAAGACAATGGCTAAACATGTTGTCACCAAATCGTTACATTAGACTAAGAAACAAAGGCAAGGCTACATAAGGCAGGGACTTGGTAGTAAACTAACAAGTTGTCTTACAAACAAGAAATGGTTCACTGGTGAAGAAATATATGATATTTTACCATGTTTTTGACAAAACAAGTCTTGAAACCACTAAGATTGGCCTACAACATTGTAAACAATTCTAGATCTTTCTGGTTAGTATACAGAAAAGAGAAAAGATTCAGAGATGTGCTATCACTCAGCTACAGTACATATATGCATGTCATGAGATACAAAGGGAATTCAACTTACCTTTTTGTAGTGCGGAATGAACTTCCATGAACCAACACAAACTGGTTCCTTCTTGTTACAGTCACTCATCAGCGTCTTCGTCTACGTCGTCGAATTCTTCCTCTTCCTCCGATTCTTCTTCATATGCTTCATCGTCATCACCGTCGTTGACTATGAAACCTCCTAAAGTATCATCTTCTTCGTCGTCGTCTTCATCCTTGCGACAATTAACATCTCTGCCTTTCACAGGTTTCTTTGTACCAGCTAAATCATCGTTGCGTGGCCTTTTTGGGTCTTTAGATCTAGTAGAGTGCCTGGATCTCCTGGCATTTCCAATTCCAACAGTATCATTCTCTTCTTCGATCTCACCTGTCCATTCCTCATCCTCATAATCTCCACCTCTTCTGTTCTTCTTTCCACCCTTGTTCCTCTTCGGACTAGATCCTTGATCAGTCAGCCTGTCGTCGTCATCACTATTCCCTCCTTGCTCCTCGAGGAGCCAATTCCACTCCTTAGCCGGACGGATCTTGTGCCTCGGATAATGATCAAACTCATGGCCTTCTACCAAGAATCCAAACTCTGCAACCCATAAGAACAAACCAGCTAAGTAAAGGGCTTATTGAATCAAGACTTTGAACGATCTGACTCCAATGGCGAGTTCAATTGAAATAAAATTGCAGGAGAAAAACGAGTTTCTGACAAAAATTTGGATCCGACCTTTGATAGGATCGATTTGGGAGACATCCAATGCACCCAACTCTAACTCCAGCTCCCCGCCAACCGCTTCGTCATTTCCTTCACTTCCTCTGGCCTCAACTTTTGCCTTCCTCTCCGAGGTCCTCCTCTCCCTCCTCTCCACCGCATCCAAGACCCTCTGATCCACCGCTTCCTCCCCTTCTTCACGCCTCTTGAGCACCCAAAATGAGGGATTTGTGAGGGATAGAGAGAATCGATCACCGGATCGGAGCTCACCCTTCTCCGAATTCCGGTACACCCTCGTCGTCTCTCCGCCTCCGCCGCTGCAGACCAAGACAGGATTCCTCCCAATTACCTCAAAGAAGACCCTCCCTCCATCAACAGAACCACCGACCTCGCGGTCATATCCGGCGAGTCGCAAGGAGAGGTGGCGGCGGGAGACGGTGCGGTCGGCGGATGAGGACCGCCGTAACCCTAACCCTAGCCGTCTGCCGATCACGGTCGACGAATCCCAATCAATCCGGACGCTGTCGCCATCCTCCGACACGACCTCCATGAACTCGACACGGATTAAAATCTCACTTGTTCTTCCCCTTCTTCTTCTGCTCTCGCCGCCTTGGGTCGTCGACGGGCAGCAACAAAATGCGAAGACGGGGGAGGGGGAGCGGAGCGGAACGTTACGAAGAATTTTGAAAAACGCAAATGACCGTTCGTTCGTGGCGGTCGGTTTATTCGAACCGTTTTGCGGTGAGGATCGAACCGGCCCAGCTGCCGGCCTGCAACCAACGCCTAAGCCTCTCCCGATCCTGATCCGTGGTTGTGATCTATCATGTATATTACCATATATATTTATTTTCATTGATATGTATCTAGAAATTATATGTCCATCGTCTCGTCTCTAATTATGATGATAGCTTGATATTTTAATAATCTTAATAATTCATTTCAGCGATAAAAATATCGATGAGAGTTTTGACTAGCAGAAAAGGAGTAATTAGTAAAATGCATGTCTGTAAACTTTAAGATTCTTCAGTAAAATGTGAGAAAAATAAATATGAAAACAGCTGGCGGATACACATTTCGTTTTGTTAGTTTTACTCTTACAACAACAAGAACAGTGTGAGAAGTCAACGACTTTTTCTTTGCACGGAGACAAGACCCTGAGGACACGCGGTACGTCACTGACGCGCCTTTTAAAGCTTCTCTCTGGGACGGCTCACGTCACCCATCCCCTGTTGGGACACGGCACGGTACTATTTAACGCCAGCGAAACGTGCATCTTCTGGCACGGAGTACTTTGGCCTGCCACTATCAAAGCTCTCCCAGACTTTTGCGTTGGTTGAAATGATGAAAATATTCGATTAATTATTGACCAGCAATCAAATGAAAATGTACTCGATCAGTGTGATTGTTTATTTTCGATACTTTTTGAATAAATTGGTATTCAAATTGTTTCGGAATTAGTGACGTCGGTGATATATTTCATATATATATATAATTTAGAAGTCGTATATTATTAACAGGTAATGTATACTACTCATTGGGATCGCAATGGCCAATGGGCCCTCAGGTCTCTCAGGGGTCCAGACATACACTATCGGAGTGCAATCTGAACTCAGAAGAATGTATCTGCTCCGAGGTTTCCACGATTCCTGTGTGGTATGTCAATGAAACCGTAGGAGACTAGCATCATACATTGGGAAACAGTTCAACCCAATCATTTCTCCAAGGAATCCTTGTTATCTGCTCAGTCCTAAGATGTAGCGTACAGTAAAAGACACCAGCTGTGAGAACATGGTTTACCTTGCAGAAGATTCTAAACCATGATGATCCGTGGAAGCCATTAGTCCTCTCGCAACCGAGAGCTCTTTCTTTTGCAGCACGGAAAAAGTACCCACTGGGGTCAGTTGCATCAGACACACCGTCCATCTCTCGGCAACAGCCATGCATGATCAATTATTGCTTCTCGCGATGCAATGTGTTCCTTCCACCTCTCGGTCTCAAGTGACTGTACAATAAGAGATTTCTTCTCTTTGACTGCTGCTGCCTCTTTGAGTGCTGAGCAACGTTACCGACTCGGTACTCCACGTCAACGCCCCACCGTTTTCTCTTCCGTTCCCCACAAGCAACGCCTCCTCTCATGCATGGCTAGCGTTATCCAATGTACACGTTTAACCCATCCATTGGACCGAACTTAGTGTGCACCGAAAGCTTCGGGCACATCTTATCCCACCATCGCAACAAAAAATAACTTTTGTTTTGGGTTATCTCCGTCGAACACCTGCCTCGTGAATGCAGGTCCCAGGGGTCCCATTTGAGCCTCGTGGCCCAGAGCAGAGCAGGTGCGATGGCGCGTAAGTGTAATAGGCACTGGAGGCGTAATCGCTCGTATGTAACACGGACTTGGCAAAATTCACACGAGTTGCCGGTTAGATCCTATCCGTCGGTTGGGCGTGCCCCATCAGCCAATCAACTCCCAGAGACGAGGTAACGTCCCACCACAAAAGCCTTATCCCCGCCGCATGACGTCCTGAGGCACAATGGGCCGTCCACTAATTCGTCGTCGACGGTGGCCGAGTCATCCACGTGTAAGAAAGCGGCCCCCGGTCCCACCCGGTATCGCTAAAGCGGATCGCAGCCGTAGGATCGCGGTAGACGTCTTTAAGCGTTCACCGAGGTCGTATTCTAAAGGAGCAACAAAAGTGGCGCGTGGTGGAGTGGTGACGACACCATTACGGTGACCGTGGCAGTGACGTCAGTCCCCATGTGACCTAGCTCTCTCGAGCTTCGTTTGCATTATAAGGACCCCTCTTCTCGGTGTGATTTATACTGATCGGGTTACCGATCTCTGAGGACTTGCGACGGAAAAGGGGAGGGGGGTTTGGGGAGGAGAAATAGAGGGCTACTGATGGCGGCGGTGGCAGCTATGGCGGGGGGGAGGAGAAGGGGGGCGGTGGGGCTGTCGATCGACGGGGCGGAGGAGGCGCCGGAGGAAAGGGTGGGGCGGCTGATACGGGAGAACCCTGTGGTGATCTTCAGCCGGCGGGGCTGCTGCATGAGCCACGTGATGAAACGGCTGCTGGCGGCGGTGGGCGCCCACCCGGCGGCCATTGAACTGGAGGAGGCCGACGAGGAGGCGGCCGCCGCTGCGGCTGGGGGCGCCGGCCTTCCCACCCTCTTCGTCGGTGGCGCAGCCGTGGGCGGCCTCGAGGGCCTCATGAGCCTCCACCTCAGGGGTCGCCTGGTCCCCATGCTCCTGGAAGCCGGCGCCGTGCGGTGATGACGCGTGTTCGCGTCCCTGAGGCGGACCCCACGCCCTGAATGCTGTGATTTGCCTCTTTCTTCTTCTTCTTCTTCTTCTTCTTCTCTCTTTCCGTAAGCTTTAGCAAATTTGGGGGTCTAGGAGTTCATGCTTGCTTCCCCGTGGGGAGGGGTAGCGTAAATGTAAATAGGGACAACATCAGGAAAGGGAGAAACCGAAATGGTTTAGTAGATAAGAAAGTAGTGGTTTGTCTCACTGTATGGTGCTGAGTTCGGCTTGGCAGTGTGTTCCTCTCTCTTTCTATGACGTTTTGACCCTTCCATGGCTTCTGTTTGTCTTCTACTGCGAGCAAGTGAATGATTGGACGGGAATGGTGTCGTAAAATATTGACAGAATGACTAGAGGGGACCGATGATGGAGGAAACGTCATGTCATGTCGTTGCGTTTGGGAGGTGGGGCGGAAAAGACTTGAGGAGAGAGATGAAGTTTACGTGAATGATTATGGAGTTCAGTAGCTGGTATTACTGTGCTGTTTACGGGGGAGGGGGGGGAAGGGAATGGTGTGGATGGATGACGGCCCTTTTTTGAACAGTGGTGTTGACCTACTGCTGTACCCCAAAACAGCGTGGTTTGCTGTGGTCTTACTGTGGATGTTCTTCCTGTGTGCTTTCGTCTTGGCAACAATACGTACACAGTTTTGACTCTTGACATTATACATAAGCTGGTTGCTGGGTCCATGCCTCCATGGACAAATTTGCTTTTGTTTTGTTTTGCGGAAGAGATGTCAGGTCCTGCAACCATGCCTCCATGGACACATGTGCTTTTGTTTTCTTTCCATAAGAGATGTCAGGGCCTGCAACAATTTTGTTGTATCATAAATAATCGAAACGTTTCCAGCATGGTTCTCACTACAATTCATATAGTTGATGGGCTTTTAATTCATACGTCTCAAAGCTTTCAATCCTTTTGCTTCGGGTTAAACCATTCGATCATCGACTCGTGAGGGCGTGCGTGATCAGAATATGGACGTGCCAGACATGAGCTTTTAGACTCGTAAGTTGGTGCAGTGTTGGACCAGATTTTTATCTTCTTCCTATGTTTTCATGCAGAGATCTCTCCAAGCGAAGCAGTCATTAATGGGCTCCGTGTGACCTTATCGCTTCAAATGGGTTGCAGATGCATGCATGTGCTCTCTCGATGATTATTATTGACCTTGCATGCGTCGAACGTGGGAACCGAAGTCATAGTCGACGACTTAAATGTTTAGCATGCCATGCAATTGGACTCGAGCAAATGTCTCCGTCGTCTGGAAATTCGAGTCACATCTTGGCATTCATTAGATCTTTCCTTCCCAAGAAACGTTGCCTCCTTTCACTTTGTTTCGGCAGTTTCGTGGATCCAAAGAAATGCTTCCAGATTTCCGAAACACATTATTCATGTGTTATGAAATGTGAAGCAGAAACACACGACTGAAACGTTTCCGGCCATAACATGTGAACCGATTGTACTCGTGGAGGCACAAGGCACGGCGACAAAAGTGGGCTGTGCATCTCGATGCAGTCCGACGGGCGGGTCTCACGTGCATGACCGAGGATTATGGGATGTGGATCGCACACAGAATCCTGTTGTCTCTGAGGCGCACGGTTGCCAATCGGTACACGTCATGGTGATGGTGGACGGAGGGTTGCTGAGATTTCCGAGACCCTCCCTCGGGAAAAGCCTGAACCCTGTGCGGGTTCGTACAGCCGATTAAAAACTCCAACTCGCCCGGTGCGACATTATCTCTTGGCCCGTTCATAAGAGCAACTTTAATATCCTGATTAAGCTCAGTTAGAGGGGTTTCCTTCACTAACTATTTAAGCTCAATTCGTAATCGCTTCCGCTCATTTCCTGCGGAAGTCTCTGCCTTTGGCGTTGGTCGCCTTTAGGTTCTTCTTTTTTCCTTTCGACTCGTTTTCGTTAAAGCCTTCTCGTGATTTCATCGTATGAAAAGCATTTTGCGCGTTTTATCGGGCATTAATCTCCTCTGAAACAGAGGTTAAATGCTTATGCCCTGAGTTTATTTTAATCTCTCTTCTCCTTTTTTTCTTTCCTGAAAACTTTCAGATGAATCTCTGCAATTCCTTCATCGTTGCACCGTACTGTACGTTCTTGATTTCCTACTTCACCTCGCAGAGCGCATTTCGTGCTGCAAGGTTTTCTGATGAGAAAGTTGCAATCTTGGATGATGTGGAATTGTTATGTTTGAACCCAGAGCTGAAGGAGCCTTAGCCAGAGAGAGATGGCCCGGGAGGAAGGAGACACGAGCGACTCGGATGGAGCGAGCTTTACACTTTTGCTTACCTCCGCCCCGCTGCGGCATTTCTGACGGTGAGCAGGGCAATAAAATTGAGATGGAGGTTGATGTAAGTACATGCATTTTCTTTTCCTTTCTCATATTGATTCCATCGATCAGCTCAATATGTGATCACAAATATTGTGATGTACTTGGAACTTAATACGACCTCGTACATCTATCAATGCTTCAAAGCCTGTTTTATCTGGCTTCTACCATCTTGTTGCCGCTCTTATTCTTTACGGATGTCTGATAACTGTTTGGTTTTATGTTTCAGTCGAGGCTGTCAAAGCCTTACAAGCACCATGCGCGTATAGCTTGCACCTTAACTTGCCACCAGATGGATTTTCTGAAGTGTTCCATTGCTGGAGCTTCATATGGCGTGGAGCATATTGCATCGGATAGTGGGTATGATTTCGGCTCATCAGAAGTGAATCAGAAGAAGGGATTACTCGCATGATTGAGAAGTCACAAAAGCCTGCAACAAAGGGTTCATGCAAGGAAATTGGGAGCAGGGGCCTTGTGCTGGTGTACTATCCTTGTCAACTTGAGGGTACACAGCAATTCCGGAGCCAAATGAAAAACTGGTGGTTCTACACACGAAATGAAAACAACGAGACGAAGGAATTGCCGGTGTGTTTGAATTTTCTAAGCGGACTGGGTCAAATGTCTTCATGAAGGAGAGACTCTTTCAGAGGATCCTGCAGAGAGGTCACAACCGAATGCAAATGGTGCTGTAAGTTTATTGTTCGTCTCCTTTGGTGATTCATGCAATCCAAATCATTTGAGTTATTTGCCTCTTCTTTCTACTTGTCCAATAGGGTGTTCAAGATTGTGAATGAATTGGAGTCACCAACAGCAAAAAGGGCAGAGATCATCATTCCTTTTTGCAAAGGAGTGACAGGTACAACTGAACTACTCTTGTCATTAGAACACTACCGGTGGTTGCCGGGTATCTTTGCTATTGTTTGAGTTCGGTGATCTTCTTCTTGTGTCATAGAATATGGTCGTGCATGTAAGTTCCATCTGGTCAACCTCATATCTTTGGAGCCTAAAGGAACAATCTGTTTTTGTTAGCTTGAGCAGCATTGTTTTGGATATGCTGTCAATAGGAGTAAGAACAATATGTTCTTTCAAGAGAAAAAACAAAATCTACGACCTTAAAAAATTTGCATGCACAATGTATTACAAGATCTATCAAAGTAATTAAAGCTAATAACATTCGATCGAGAGGTAAAGAATTGAATATCCAAAATTAGGGATCTAAGGCTCTTGAGAGCCTCAAGAGTGTAGTTGAGTAAATGATAAGTTTTGGGGAGTTAATCCATCGAAAGGAGGTTGAGTTGGGAGGCTTATTTGAAGCCTTGTAACATAGCAAGTGCCTTAACTATTAGAGGGGATGTAGTTTCGTAGGGGAAGCAACCTTGTACCAGAATCTTGTCCTCGGGCTTTTTGATCATAAGACCACCATTTACAAGGTCAGAGAGGGGGGATCATAAGAGTCATCACATTCTAAATGGGGGGTGAGATACACTTGACACAGATGCAAAGGATAGAAGAGATGAGGAGGAGGTGAAAGGGTCAGTCCATAGTCCGTCCTAACACCATTGTGAATGCACTTCCTTGAGCCACCCCAACAATATGTTCCTTCTGAAGTATGGTTACAGGTATGCTTTCTATAATGTGTTATCTGTTTTGACTTTTTATAGAATTTTAGAGAAGATGGTAGAAGAAACGATGAGTACTTCTAATCCGTAGTAATTTGGATTTATCCAAGAACACATATTTATTATTCAAAAGATATAGTATATATTTTTTTAAATAATGAAGAAATATATCAGATCCCAATAAATCTTCTCATCCTCATTTATTTATTTCGATCTAATTTTTTATATTTTATTTTATATAATCCTAAGTATTTGAATTAATCTTATCACATCCCCTTAATTCAAAATAGTTGTAACTTGAAGTTGTCTTCCAAAAAAAAAAAAAATCTATCTTAATGGCCTAAAATTGATTATTATCACTTTTGAAGATAGGAAGAAATAGATTAAAAACACTTAATCCAATATCTATCATCTTCTTATCTTATTTTTTTTCTGGATCTACTAGTTTTTTTTTAAATTATTGTATATCCCAATAAATCTTTTCGTCCTCATTTATTTATCTTAATCTATATATTTTTTAATTTCATCTAATCATAATTATTTGAATTAATCTTACCAACCTAAACAATAGTTTACTATTCTGAGATTGACATCGGAATAAAAAGATGCAAACACTCGAATAAAAAGAAAATCGTTGCTGCTTCGTCACAAACTACGTGTCAATCTTTCATCAGTATCGTATTCAACGCATTCATTCTCGTAATCTTCTGTATGACTACGGCCCCGTTTCTTAGCACAGCTGTGATCGAGAGACCTTCTCTTTGACCAGCACAGGGGACAGGTAATAATCCATGCTCATCTAATTCCTTACCCTAGAAATTTTCTACAATTAGGCGTTCCATGCTGCTGGAACAACCACGATGCCCACCTGCACAGCACTGCACACCACATTCGTTGCTGTGAACATTCAAATCGTCGTAACAACGAGCTACTCACATGGATCCAACACCTCCCCGAGTGAGAAAACATGGCCGTGTGGTACCTATTCTGGTCGCTTATGCCGACCATATACCTCCCACTCTTCCTTGCAATGTTCCCTATCCGGCTTGCCTCCCCTTCCGGAGAGCTTTAAACACACTCGATCACCATGTCATCCACCACAATTTTTTGTCCATTGATTCGTTTCTTATCCTTATCTATATCGAGGCAAAGCTCTTTGGAAATATATAGATCAGATCATATAAGTTCTTTCTTTTGTTGAAGCATCCAAACGATTTGACTGCTGGTGATCATACAGATGCGAAGCCACAGATGGAGGCGAGGCGGTCCTTGATGCTAACTGGAAGCCGAAGGAGAAGAACAAGTCTGGGCAGCAAATAATCGGCGAAACGGGCGAAGAAAGGAGGGCGCTCCGATGGCACCCGTGGGAGGAGAAGGACATGCGGTGGTGCATGATGATGAGGATAAGGATGCTGTCGACACGGCAAGTTGCTTCAAAAGAAAGCGAGACAATGGAGCAGAAAAGAAAAGGTGAGATAAATTTTGTTTTCTTCTGGTGTTTTCTTCGAGCCCGATATGCGCGTTGACTTTGGCAGTGACTCGTCGTAAAGACGCGTTGGATCTAGAAAAAAGTCGAGAAAATAAAGCTGACTTCCGGGATTCCCGATGACTTATTTCTCCAACCGAACAGTTGGTGCAGAATTAGTTGACTACCATTCACTTCTTCTTCTTCTTCTCCTCCCGGAATCATTATCATCACCTTTCTTATACCAAGTTCAATTAAATGCCATACCTACGTAGTTTTCTTTTCCTTTTCTGTTGAAGTAGCGTTGACCAGTAGCAAGTAGGCTGGCACTTTATTTACGTTTTTTTCCTAAATAAAACACCAAATACATTCTGGCTGTAGTTATGAGTGGATCTTCTGATGATCAATGATAAATTAGAGTTCTTTTATGTTCAGGTGCTGACGGCTGACGAGAAAAGAAAGAATCCTCGCAAGAAAAATTGACACGACACGAGCAGGTCAACCGTGAGTTGAATCAATGAATGGTCCAATCATTATTATGTGGTGCCTTGCTTTTACCGCACTTCCCCATGGCCAAGAAATCAACAGCGCACCGTGGGTTCTTGTGAAATCGTGCCCTCCTTTTACCCTACTTTAGCCCTCTCGCAACAAAGTTATTAGCGTTGGTCGGATGGCTATCGAGGGTTTCAGTACTTTTATTTATAGGACGTCAAAGCCGGCGCAAAACACGAAGGAAACTGGTCCACTGCGCCGGAGGAGCTTCGTGTTATGCCCCGGCAAGGAGAAAGACGAGCAGTACGTGTGGTATTATCCCCTCGGCACCAACCCAGCAATAATAGACCAATGTTTTTACAGCAGACAAGAGATTAACGGGAGGGAGGAATTTATAGGTATGCGTAGGAAACAAAGGAAAAAGACAGCGAGTGCGACGTCGGTGTTGGCCGAATGTGCCTGGGTAGGGAATAGGTGGGCGATGACACATTTGCTTGCTTGCTTGCCCTCATCCACATCTCTCTCTCTCTCTCTCTCTCTCTCTCTCTCTCTCTCTCTGGGTCGCCTAAACTGCTTTCCTATCTTTCTTCTTCTTCTTCTTCTTTTGGGTTTTTATTAATCTCGTTCAATTTTGGTGTGGCAGCTCGTCATCTCTCTCGTATCAGTTAGCCTTAGGGTTGAATCTCGAATTATTCGTCTCTTGGGACTTTGAAGTGGCTCTATTTAGTCTTTTGTAGGTTGGTTTTCTTCTTGTATTCTTCACTTGAATTCAACCGTGTCAGTATATTTGTTTTGTTTCCTGGTTTGGATGCTAAGCTGCGAAATATTTCTCGATATGTATGCTCACAAGCAAAAATACTTGTGATAGTACTTAACACCAATTCTTACTCTGTTTCATAAAGACCACTTTAATTTTAGCATGTATATGGAATATCCCTTGGAGATGCATGTCAGGATCTTTGATGATGATGATGATAATGAAGCCACTTTTTCTTTTCTTAGCTTTGGAATCCGCAGTACCTTTTGTTTATTTTTGATGCAGATGAGCAACGATTGCTTTCTCCAAACTGATTGGTGTTTTGTCATCAGCCTTATCTAGGCTTTGCTCCCTTCTCTCTCATTCGAGAACAGGCCAAGAGGAGGAACACACTCGAAGAGCTGCTGGGAGATGATGATTCAGCAGCACCAACTGGTGGATGAGACCATGTCCAATCTCACCTCTGCCTCCGGGGAAGCAAGCGTCTCTTCCAATCAGCAGTCTTCCTTTGCCTCCCCAAACCCAAATCCAACAAAGAAAAAGAGGAATCTCCCAGGAAATCCAGGTTTCGCGACTAGGCCACCATTTTCTTGTTTGCGTTGTTGTTTCTCGTTGAGATCTCTCCTGATTTGCCCGTCGTTACTTTTGATTCTTCTGGGTGGTTTTGGGATTCTGGATCCTACTAGACCCAGATGCCGAGGTGATAGCATTGTCCCCCAAGACACTGATGGCAACCAACAGGTTTGTGTGTGAGATCTGCAACAAAGGGTTCCAGAGGGATCAGAACCTGCAGCTCCACAGGAGAGGCCACAACCTGCCATGGAAGCTGAAGCAAAGAAGCAGCAAGGAGGTGAGGAAGAAGGTTTACATATGCCCAGAGGTGACCTGTGTGCACCACGACCCCTCTAGGGCCCTTGGGGATTTAACTGGGATCAAGAAGCACTTCAGCAGGAAGCACGGGGAGAAGAAGTGGAAGTGTGACAAGTGCTCCAAGAAGTATGCTGTCCAATCCGACTGGAAGGCTCACTCCAAAATCTGTGGCACAAGGGAATACAGATGTGACTGCGGCACCCTCTTCTCAAGGTAGATACAAGCAGCACTGAATTAATGATCCAAGCAGCATGATGGATGAAAGCTTTTTTGTTTGAAACAGCCTCCATTAGAATAACACTGCATGAAACCCATCCAATATTTGTTCGAGTCCCCATGACTAGCTAGGCAGTAGCACTTCTGTTCATGAATGAGATCTCGAGAATAGGAACTAGGAAAACTGGAAGAAGAGATAGAGAACCTTACAGCACAATAATACTCCATGGATTCAGGAATCACTCAGATGAGATGGAATGCATATACCACTTTCATTGCTTCCCCCCTTTTCCTTTTTCCCCCTTTGTCTGGATTTAGGGAGTTTAGAATGCTTTGGAGGCCTGCGTGTAAGTTTGTTCTTATGTATCTTTTGGTTGGCTTTTTCTTGGTTGTGACTTGTGCTGCTGCTGCTGCTGTTGAATTGCAGGAGAGATAGCTTTATCACACATAGAGCCTTTTGTGATGCACTGGCAGAAGAAAGTGCAAGGGCTATTGCAGCAAATCCTTTGGCCAATCACCACACTATCCTCTTCCCTCAGCCTGCAGCATCCCATGAGCCCTCCCTTCTCCAGCAAACCATCCTCCAGAGGCAGTTTCCTCAGCTGGTGAGAGCCACTGAGGCCAACGCCAGCAACATCAACGGCCATGGCATTCAACAAGAGCTCTCCCTGAAAAGAGAACACCAGCATCAACATTTGAACCTGAGATCAGATATGCCACCATGGCTGGCTTGCCAGGCACCCATCTCTCTCGCCCACTTAGACCTCCCTTCTTCCGTCTGCTCCACAAGGTTGGACCGGGAATGCTCTCGCGAGAACCCTGCCCCACACCCTCCTCTTCCTCAAGCCTTCCAAGCCCCAGCCTCGTCCCCTCACATGTCAGCTACTGCATTGCTCCAGAAGGCAGCCGAGATGGGTGCAACCATGAGCAGACCTCCACACCTAGGCCAGATGGCAACTCACACTGCAAACGCTGTTGCCGTGCCCAACAGTGCTTCCGGCTTTGGTCTTGGCTTGTCTTCACACCAATACATGAATGGTGGTGGTGGTGGTAGCTTTGGGAATGTTTCACCGCCACCTCCTCTTCTGCAAGACATGGTTATGAACTCTCTCACCTCGACTCCTGGTTTTGATGGGTCTTTCGATGATGCATTCGGAGGGATGCTGGGATCCGAAAGGGAACCAGGTAATAGCAATATGCAGAGCTCTACAAGAAGGCATGGAATGGCTGAGGAAGCTGGTGGTGTCGGTGGTGGGAATGATGGGAAGACCAGAGACTTCTTAGGACTGAAGGCCTTTCCCCACAGGAACATCCTTAACTTGACTGCGCTGGATCCTTGCATGAGCTCCACGCCCTTTGAGCACCACCAACAAAGGTAAGAAGCCATGGCGTGCATGGTTAGCCCACTCCAAGAAATCCGGTATGGTTGGCATCTCTTTCTCTCTAAATTTTGACATAGGAGAAAAGAAGGTAATCGATGGTTCATACTGTTCATCCCAGTTATCAAATTTCTGCTTCTGAACGAAGGTTGTGTGTCGGCTACCATAAGATTAAGATTGCAATGGCACTCTTAATTTGTCGTCGTATGAATGTTCTGACATTTGCTCCAGTAATAATTCCTCTTTGCAATCAGCTTAAAATAATGAAACTTTCTTTTCCTCGACAATGCAAATAGAAATGGAGATAGTCATTGCTCTTTTATTAATGCCTTTTTCTTTTGTAAAGATGATATGGTATCAGTTTCTGTGTCATGTTTTGTATCAGTAGGAACACAGGAGAAATGTTTTCTCGGGGCCGTACGTTCTATCCTTTTCTTTCTTTCTTTCTTTCTTTCTTTAGGACTGTGAAGTTCTATAATTCTTTTCCTCAAAGTTCTTGTTTTATTTTTTGTTCCTCTCGGGAAGCATCCACCGAGAACCTTATGATGCATTCTTTATGTATTTGGATCATCAAGGTGTTCTTTTTGATGATTTGATCATAGGAAAGTGTGTGCAGCACTTGCAGAAGGCTGCCCATATTTGTTGAGGTGAGTGCTTCAACTGAATTCCTCTTTGTTCCTATAGCAGATATAGAGAGTATTAGCATTAGATATTAATGTCCTATGTGATCGCCAGAAGATGAAGAATCGCAAGGGGAAAGGTCACAAGTGACCACCAAAATGCCTTCATACCAGAGAGAAGGATCACAGACATCCTCCTGTTAAACCATGAGACTCATTGCATGGGAGTCTGGTCAACAAAATGATGGAATATTTAGGGTTCCCTTCACAGTTCACTTGGTAGATAGATGAAACGCATGTGTTCTTAATGGAGAAATGATGGAGCATCTGTGAGGAAAGATGGACCTGCATCACAAAGATGGATCCATCGTCGCCCTTTTGCATTTGTCACCGTAACTGCAATCATGATCCATCAAATCTTTGTGCAGTGTTTTTAGATTCGCAAGAGTCTAGATAGAACTTAATCATCATATCAAGAACAGCTATGATAGACTCAATCTGCAACCAAATAATTCCTCGTGCATATCCAAGAGAATGTTTTGGAGCAAAAGCAGTGCATATACATCACGGGTAGGGAGGGACAGATATAGGTTGTGATGAGCGTGACAGGCAAATGGCCATTCCTAGTGGCTTTTTCAAGGACAGTGTCCTCCAGCTTTTGGTTTTTGTTTTCTTCCTCTTTCTCTTCTTCCTCGTGCATCCCCTCCCGTATCCGTTTACTGCCCAACCAAACAAAGGAGCAGTACAGTACGTATCCCTCCCACCATTGCTAACTCCGTCATCAAGGATTCAGAAAACAGTTTAATCGAAAAACCTAAAGGATCAATTTGCCGCTGTGTCAACATCCAGATGTCGAGATCGCTAATTAATGCTGAATTCCATGACCATTTAATTCTTTACGTGTTGTCGGATTAAACCGCAAAGATGAATCAGGCAGTGGAGAGCTTTTTCCGGTTGATGGATGCCTGCCAGCTTTTCATGGTAAATGGATGTCGCCGAGGACATGCTTTTGTAGTTGTCAACGGCTCCGTAGACAGAGACGAGAGCACTTTTGGGTCAAAGCATGCAGCGTCACATGCAGACGCGCAGAGAGAGAGAGAGAGAGAGAGAAGCATGCATGCAAGGCAGCATCCATTCATGGAGGTGCAGGAGGAGGACCGCAAGATTTCACCGAGGGTTATCAGGGAGGAGGCGAAGGAATCTCTCACCCCATCAACAACAGGAGGCTTTTGCTTCCATCTTTTCCTAGCTTTTGTCACCTCGATCTCGGTGCGCGGAGAGGTGGTCGCGGTGGTGGTAGAGTTGAGGACGCCGAGGCAGGAAGAGAGCACAGCAGCAGTCGTGCGGCCATCACGAGGTGGGAGAAACACTGGAGCACCAGCCCCATTCCCACCATCCTCTCTCTCTCTCTCTCTCTCACTGCTCCTCGCTTTCTCGTGATCTTTGCATCTTTCTTTTCCCCCCCTTCGTTTCTTAACCGTGAGGCTTTGAATATTTCGGCAGAATCTGATGCCATTAGCCGAGCCCTACGCATTGTTTTCGTAGGAGTATCATTTCGTCCATCCGTGTCATCTCACTATTATTAATTGTGGATTTGAAGCAGCTAAAGAAGGGGTCATCTCTAGTATTCAATTCAACTGGCGAGACAGCAGTTTTTTGTCACTTCTTGTCGGACTCTTGTGGGTGCTCAAACATTCACTCGTCCTCTGTAGCCATGTGACCACCGGAGATTGAATCCACGCATGCATGGAGCTAAAGGTTTGCGTCGCCATAATAATTGAGTCGAATGATGTCAGAGCATCTCAAGCTCAAGCTCAAACTCAGATGACTCCACTTTAAAGCAAACATAAGCTGAACTGTGCTGATTTTTAATCCAGATCAGGCAGAAAATAGAACACCATCACCCAAAAGGTCGAGACTGCACGAAGCAAAAGGCTGCAATGAGATGAGAACAACTAAAGGATAACATCGTACAGGAAGCCACAGTGATTCGGAAAGCAGATCAACACACTTTCTTAATTTGTCTGTTGAAGCTTTCACTGATCCCTGAGGATGCCGCAGCCTGTGAAGGTAGCAGCAGGGAGTGCCATTGTTCGTTCTTGGGGTATACATTTGCCGCCGGTGGAAAGGGAACTGTTCGCGACTCTCGCCCGTCGCCCCCCATAAATATATGGGAAAAAAATGTTTAATAGGGCTCCTGTTGATGTTGCTGATGATATGATCGCAAGCTGCTTTCATCTTATTAATTTCCAAGAGAAGACAAAGCTGTGTGTGATTGAGGTGAGAAGAAGATTAAAGCTGTGTGTGATTGAATCGGATACATCGATGTGACGCGACGTGACTTGTGCTGCTTCCTCCTCCGCAGAGCTCATCATCATGAGAGCAGTGAAATGCTGGTAGAAATGATCGGCAGTGCATGTGAGGTGGGCGGTGAAGTCACGAGCCCATGGAAGTGTTTCCGACATCGAACCGCCATTTCTTCTGCTGGACACGAATCTCCACGCACCAATGAGAAAAGAACTTCCAAGTTTGTTTGGGCCGAGGAGTCCGAGTGCAACCTATGGCTTCTTGGGCCGACACGGAGACCGATCAGGATGCAGTCCGGCCCAAAATAACGTTTTACGTGCATGCGTGTCACTCAATGGGCCGAATGCCAGCTGTAAAAGTCGTGCCTGCCCAGCTGCATCGTATGCGTAGTAGAGAGAGAGAGAGAGAGAGAGAGGGAAGAAAGTCAAACGGGACATTGACTTCATATTCGTCTAAGAATTGCCAAAGCAACTTCTCCCCATTTCTTAGTAGCCGCACTCAATCCTTTCAACAAATTTATTTTCACCAAAAGCAAAAAAAAAAAAAAAACACTTTTACGCTCTTCATTATTATATAAAAATTACAACAATTTCCATAACAAAATTCACAATCCAAAAAAATTATGCAAAGAAAAAAAATATTTCAATGAAAATACAAGCAAACATCAACACAACAATCATAAGCATAGCAACTATAAACACCCCTGTAATTTATGAAAAATCTACAGACTGTTCTCATTCTCCTCCATTAACTTTTTCTTTTTCCGCCACTTTTTGTGGTATTAATTGATTTTTTTCTCCTCTAGAGAGTCCACTTCCAGATCTTGATCCGGAGTTTGACCTTGCAGCCGTCGCCCGGCGAGACTGCCGCCGATGCCTTCGCCTTGGGCACGGGGGCTCGGATACCGGCGCACCGTACCTTGATCCCTATCTTCTTCGTCTTTAGCCCCCCGATCTTCACCCCGGCCTTCGTGTCCATGTCGACCTCCAGCGGCAGGCTGCTGCTTTTCCGCAGATCGTTTCCCGCCGCGGAGTCCAGCGTCTGGCCGGAGCTCGAAGTGGTGGCGGATAGCACGGTGGCGCTCCCGGCGTCCTGGACGAACGCCGGGATTGAGCCGTCCCCGATGTCGACGCCGCCGGAGAGGACGGAGACGGAGATAGGGTCGTAGAAGTATATCAGCTTCTTGTTGGGGTTGCGGGCGGTGACATTGAGGTCGACGCGGGAGCTGAGATGCCCGGCCGCGGAGACGTTGAGAGCGGCGATGCGAAGTACGGAGACGGAGAATGCCGGGCGGTGGGGGCGGTAGATGGCATAGAAAACGCCACCGGCGATGGCGGCAAGGATGACGAGGACGACCAGCAGCATGATGAACCAGAGGCAGCAGGAGCAGCAGAGGCCGCGGCGGCTGCGGCGGGGCTTGGGCTGGGGACGGTAAGGGAGGCGGGTGGCGCTGTTGACCTGGGACTTGGTGGGCGGGAATGCAGGGCCGCCGCCATTGAGTGGCTGTGGAGGGTGAGGATTGGGCTTGGAGGAAGGGTAGACTCGATCCGCCATTGCTCTTCGATTTCTTCCCTTCTCGTCCAAGGACGCGTGTTCGATTTCTTGGGACGAGCAAAGCAGGAGATCTATCCATCTATCTATAAGGGAGAGCGGAAAGAGGCGACGGAGGGAGGAGAAAAGAACACTTCACCAGACGGAGAAGGCTACATAACAGTTAACTGTTCCATGTTTTATTTATTGAAATACGATTACCGTCCGATAGAGATCAAACGGTCGTCGTTTGAGAGCGGGTAGACCTTTTCTTGGTCCGCACCGGTAGGTTGGGGAAATCTTGCTTCGGTTCAAATTATGCAGATAGCACGTTCGCACCGAATGATCCGCCCAAAAAAGTCACCCGATGTGGCTCTCTCACAATTGGGAACGTGGGGCCCTTGGACAAGCTGAAATACTTATACGACCCACTTGTGAGCCCCACCTAAATCAGGTCCGTGAGAGAGCCGTCTAAGATGAGAAATCCTGTGCGGGTGGGAACTTGGGAACACAAAATACGTTGTCTTCGAATCTAAAAACCGGGATTCTGCTTTTGCCCGTATCGCAACCTTCAACGTTTCATTTACATAATAAACATATCTACAAGAACTAACTGGTATTCACCACTAATTTGACTACAAAGGGCAATCCGAATTGGATCCGAAGCTTTGAGCCGTAGTCCTCGATTTTGAATTTCGAATTCAGATGCCATTTACAATTTTTTTCCTAATTTGGGTACAGATCGTATTTATAATGTAAAAAAATGAAGAAAAGCTCACTTCGTATACGGAATTATTGTTATAGTTACGTACATTTGGTGGCAGAAATGGACGGTGATCGACCGGAAGAAAACACCAAGGTGGTAAGTAGGAAATGACACGTACGATAGTGGCACTTCATCTGACACGTCTTATAGAAATACGATCATACGTGTCGAAAGTGATCGGCCACTTGCCACAACGACCGCAACGATCTACTATGCCAACTAACCATCGTGAATCCTAAGGTGTTCGAACACGACACCCCCTCAGCCAAACCCAGGAGGGGATAGAATTTAATTGGACGAAAGAGGTGGGGTCCGTTGACGACTCACTTTGGGTAACTTCCTAAGGATCGAAAGACGCTTCTGAAGACTTGGGCTCCACCATCCTTTCACTTAATCGATGTGTCTCCTCCTCGACCTACAACTCGGCGAGATGGTGCGAGAATGCGATGTTGGGCAATTCCATCAGAAAATTACACGGCAACTACTCTGCCTTGTGTTCCAACGCTCACAAATGTGAATTATTGGCTGCCATGTTTTGCTTGTTCTTTAATCAAGTCAAATGATCTGTCATGTACTCGGTCGTTTCTCTAGATTAATATCTTAAAGAATATTTTTTAATGTTCACCGCCGTTTAAGTTGCAATAAAATATTTACTAGGATTTACAACAACTATCGAAACAAGTGCTGTCGGAATAAACACACAGCATATAATCTTGAAAACTGCCACTGAAGAAACAGTTCAATATCCTGGTCGATCATGTTACTGCTTGAGACTAAATTTATATGATGATTAAGTCGGAACACAGTAGCCTTGGATGCTAATACACTAAGTTGTTTTGATATAAGGTAGAAGAGTATGCTTAATAGTCAATGCGACTGTATTGTTTCCTCCGTTCATATGGGCATGTGAAACAGACAGTTGTTGGCAAAGAAAAGACCACACAGCTTTTCACCACCGACCATTCTTGTGCAATCTTAAAGACTTCAGATTGAAAAATGACTTGGGTAAGATTACATCTTTGGGAACATTATTGATGGAGGAGGAACATGTGAGAACGGAGACATGGTATGAACTTAGAGAGCTGGTGTAGTTGACCTTCCTGAATCCAACGATTAATGTCCTAATCAAAAAGGCTAGTAGTATGTTCATGTGAGTTTAAGATGTCGCGGGCATAGATCCACGAGTCACTTGCCTATTCTCTTCCTCGGAAGTCATCTGCCTCATGTTGTATGCGAAGTGTGAACGGAAGAAATTTGTTCCATTTCGTTAGCCATACATGACCGCAAGTTCAGCCGTCAGATATGGCAGGTCTTCTTTTATATGCATATGTTGTATATAGTAGTATCGCTACATGTCAACACTCAATAGTGTCATCCACATGAAAGCTTATTATCATCTTTAATATGGAGGGAAGAGTGGTCACCTGGGGGCCACCGCTACATCTGACATGGGTTGGAGTGAACTCAGGGGAGTCAATTTGCATGAAGCGGGACCCACAAAAGGGCCTCCGACTTCATTCATGCGTGAATGATACGATCGTAAAGATCCCAAGTGTGGTACTTCACGCATGTGACCCACGTGCATTTGGCCCCCATCTCGACTATAAATTTCCGCTCCGAACCATACCCGAAAGAAGAAGAAGAAGAAGAGAGAGGAGGAAAAGGAGCAACAGAATGCTGGAAGAATCCATCCCATCAATCTTGGCCTCCGTGTACGGATGGTTCACGCCGGCCGTCCTCTTCGTTCTCCTCAACCTAGTCATCGGAACGATCGCCGTCGCCTCCAAGTCATCCGGCACCGGCCACCACCACCACCATCAGTCCGGACCCGATGTAGACGACGGTGGCCAAGCCTACCCCGGCCGCTTTCTCCCCCACTCCCTCTCCCGATCTCCCTCCATCGTCCTTGATTGCCTCCGCTCCTTCAACCTCCACCGCTACCGCTCTGGCGACATCCCTCCTCCCTTGGAGCCCGCGCCCACCACCCGAGCTGAGGTCCTGTACGAGACTCCGAACCCGGTGGCTGAGGCGGAGGACGAGCACCAGCAGCAGCAGTATTTCGGTCGGAGTCAGTCGGACGCGCAACCGACGGCGGGGGAGATGCCGCCGAAGCTGCTGGTGCGGATAAAGAAGTCGGCTTTCGCGCACTTCGAGGAGGCGGAGGTCGAGGCGGCGGGGAGGGACGCAGTGGAGGCGGAAGGCAGCGGCGGCGGGGATGAGGTGGACGCACGGGCGGACGACTTCATCAACCGGTTCCGGCAGCAGCTGAGACTGCAGCGCTTGGAGTCCATCGCGAGATACAAGGAGATGCTTACCCGCGGATCTTAGCAAAACAATTAGTCATGCGCCGACGACCGCTGACTTAAAAATCTCAATCAGAAATAGCAGATATTTGGAACAGCTGTACCACTTGTGGTTGGGCGCGATATTATTTGTAGACTTCGGACGGTTGTGATAGAGAGTTGCGCTATTCTTTTTCTTTTTCAAATCATAAAGCACTCTCTCTGTGTGCTTTGTCCTTTTTGTTTTGTTAGTATTATTTTACCTTTGCGTCTTTGGAAGTTGTGGTTACTGTTGTAGGTTGCCGTTAGTGCTCTCCAGTCGAGATGCGATTTAAAAATAGCGAGGGAGCAGTATTTCCAGTCGAGAGAGAAGCTACATGGTCAAAACAACGGATCCATCCATCCATATTCGCATGACAATCTTGTCCCGAGCTTGATTGTAAATTAATTTGCTAGTGAACTCAAAAGTGTCATGACTCGTGTATATATATATAAATATATATATGTATATATATATATATATGTATATATGTATGTATATATGTATATATGTATGTATATATGTATATATATATATATGTATATATGTATATATTTATGTATATATATATATGTATATGTATATGTATATATATATATACATATATATACATATATATACATATATATATATGTATATATATATAAACAATATCACATATCGATTGAAGTAATAATTAAGATAAGATTGATTATTCGTACATGTTATTTTTATTCGGGCTTCGAACTAAAGATGCCTTTCAAATTATTTATAAGAAATGAATCATAAAAGAACTCAATAAATGTTGGATGGTTCGATATATATTAGTGTGTTATATACTTATTCATATGATCGAGACGACTAATCTCATAGTTGCTCATATAGGGGTACTAAGAATACAGTGCACGTGCTCATTGGAAAATGAGTTTACTGATTGATCCGATCACAGAATGTTAGATGGTTGATGATACATCATTGTTAGCCATCGATTTCGTTATCCCAATGATGTATTTAGTCCTTAGATTTGAGATACCAAGGATGTCCTATATGAGTACTCAACTATTTGATACCAGACTTATAGGTTTGGAAGTTTCATATATAGTACAACTGGTCATTGGGAGTACCAGAGAATCTTATGAGGGTCATTGAGTATCGATAAAGGATCATTCATTCTCGGTGTCATGAGAAAAATATCCTATGTGTTCTTGCTTAAGTAAATCCTTGACCATAGTCATTTGGATTGAGAAAAAAAAGTTCTCTAGGAGAATCCGATTAGAGCGAGACTCGAATAGATTCCGTATGAGCCTGACAACACTATACCCAGTATAAGAATTATAGATATTTGGTAATTGAGGATAGACATATCCAATGGATCAGACTCCCTTGTATCATTTGGGGACTGTAATGTAGTGGCCTAATACGTTCGTAGTCGATGAGTCAAGTAGAGATTCATACACATATTAGGCTTAGAGGGTCATACACGTATGGTATGTGTTGCAACAAGTAAAGATTCATATATGAGATATTCGTTAGAGCCCCTATCTTATTGGATATCCAATAAGCCCTTGAATTATTGGATCTTGTGGATAAGATTGAATAAGAGCCAATAATATATTATTGGGTAGAGATCCACTAATCCAAGAGGCTTAGGTAGTTGGATAAAAATATAATATCTAATAGGACAGAATCCATTAGGGTTAAATTGATATGAAACCTCTGTAAATAAGAGGGAACCAAAGGGCCATAGGCCAAACCCTTTTTTTTTTGCCACCTCCTATACTTCTCTCTCCCTCTCCTCCTCAGCCAACAACCTCAGTTTGAATAACACGAAGAGCCAACCCTTTCTTGATCGTGTAGTGTGCGTGGAAATGAGGATTGTGCAGTAACTTGAGGAGCATATTTACGGTGCTTGCCATGTGGATCATCGCAGAGAGGAAGACAATTGACCTCTTTTATCCTCTTCCATAGATCTATAGGTTTTTAGGGATATATGATCTCCCTATGTAACACATCTTTCTTATACACGTAGTTTTCGATTTTGTGAGTTTTTGCACACCAATCTTTGCACGACGATAAAATTTTATTTTTCTGTGAAAATTTTTGAGATTTTGTTTTATGTTCTTTCGTTACGCATGTGATGCTGCCCTAGATTTTCTAATAAAGAATATAATACCTTACTTTATAATGCTATATTGACCCTTGTACCATTTTATCGTACATAAAATATTATCAAATATAAATAGATCTTTCGAATTAAGCGGAACCCTATTTATTCATTACCAGATACAAAGCACATCTAGTGACTAAAGAGTTTCACCAACGACTATGTATTGATTTCATAGAAACATTCAATCTAATTATAAAATCGATGATAATATGATTTATCCTAAGTTTGGCTACCACTCAAGGTTGGCATATACGTAAACTAGATGTTAACAATATATTTTTACAAGAGACTTTAATTGAATATGTCTTTATGTGGCAACCTCTTGGTTTTATCCATCCTTAATATTCAAGCCATGTTTATAAATTATGAAAAACTATTTATGGATTTCACCAGGCTTCAAGAGCTTGGTATATCGAACTTAGCTTGTTTTTTACATTAGTTGGCTTTGTCAACTTCAAACCTAATACCTTCTTATTTCTATAACAACAAAAGAGAAGTATTATATATTAACTAGTTTATATATATGATATTATCATCACAAGTAATAATCCATAAAAAATTAAATAATTTCATAAGTAATTAATAGATCAATTTTTCATTAATGATCTAGGAACCTTAAGCAATTTTCTGGGAGTGAAAACAATGTTAATATTTTTTGGACTTTTTTAATATCTAAAGGAGTACATTTAAGACCTATTATCAAATATGTATATTTAGAATACAAAAGAAGTTGTCACACCACTCTCTAGTACTAAATCACTCAAAATTTTATTATGATAGCTCTAATAAATCTCATACTGACAAGTATTTAGTTTTTTAAAATATTTATCTTTAATATATCAAGACATCTCATTTGTAGTCAACAAATTATCATAATTTATATATAGACCCTCCACTAAGTATTGGTTTGCATTAAAATATATCATATGATATCTCAAAAAGGACTATTAATTATAGACTTTTTCTTCATAAACACTCATTACTTTATCTTCATGCCTTTATTGTTGAATCTCGGATTTTGATGATGAAGTCAATTGTCATTTGTTATCTAATCCATATGTTGAGATAAGTGTGCAGGATTAACTACGATGGAAGAAAGACATGTAGTAGGAGTTGCGTCGAAGTCAAGACCATGATCACATTGGGGGTTCGAGGGTTCGACGGAAGTCCGGACGGTCGTCGGAGGTTCTGCAGGAACAAATTCGAGAAGTCCAGGAGCTTGCCAAAGAAGCTCATCGGAACTGGCCAAGTGGATTGTCGTAAGTCCAGGAGTTGGCCGGAAGTCCGCCGGAGCATCACCGAAGGTTCGTCGGATGTTCGCCGGAAGCTCGCCGGAAGAAGCGATTGACGCACCGGAGCAAGTTGCAGTAAATGTCTTAAGAAATATCGGAGTCAGCCCATTTAGACCCAGATTTCTTAGCCGGTGGTGGCACCGCCCAAGAGCTCAGTCTCCCAGGAAATCTGGGCGGTGCAACCGCCCCAGTCAGGCGGTGGCACCGCCTGGGCTCAGTCTCCGAGCAAGACTGGGCAGTGCAACCGCCCTAGTCAGGCGTGAAACTGTAAAAGGTTGGTTGGCCTTCGCCTATTGAAGGAAGGCCTCTAGTGAACGTCGGTGACCTTATCGGAGGAGGAAGCCAAAAGTGGATGTAGGTCAAGATTGACCAAACCACTCTAAATCTCGGTTTGCATTTACTTTCTGTTCTCTATCTTAACCGTGAACTGCCTCCATAGCTTTACTTTAACTGCACTTCGCCTAATCTAAGTTAAAGCAACTTCCAAATCGGCTTTCATACCGAAATCGTTTTTATCGTACGAACGTCGTATTTTGGTTTGTAATTACATTCTGTTATCTATCTTAACTGCAAACTATCTCTATATCTTTACTTTAACTGCATCTCGTTTGATCACAAGTTAAAGTGATTTTCGAATCGGCTTTCTTACCGAAATCGTTTTTATCGTACGAACGTCGTTTTAAATCGTTGAAAGTTTTCCACTAAACTAATTCACACCCCCCCCCTTTAGTGCTCTTGATCCTAACATTTATCAATATTGATTCGACAGGCAATGCTGATTATAGAACGTCTATGTGAATCTATATTATTTTCTTTAGAATAAATATAATCAATTAGAGTTCTAAGAAACAGAATATAGTTACAAAATCTACTACTAAAGCTAAATACCAAGTCATCGCTACCATAACTACAATACTCAATTAGGTCACTAATCTGCTATGCAAACTTGATATCACCTCCCAATCCACTCCTATAATATATTATGATAATGCTAATACCATATACCTATGCACTAATCCAATGTTTCACTCACAAATGAAATAAATTATCATCAACTTTCACTTTGTTTGTAATCAAGTAGTCAGACACCAATTACATATCTCTCATGTTTATACTTCATACCTACTAATAAACCCCCTCATAAAATCCTTTGCTTATAGGATATTTCAATTACATCGTTCTAAGAGTGGCATCCTTGATAGAAACTCACTTTTTCGAGGACATGGTAGAAGATCATAACAGAAGTAGATATGAAATGCCATCCGATAAAAGATTATGATAAAAGTAGATATGGAATGATATCCTTGTATTCCTTTCATCCTCAATCAATCTATGATTTAAGGATCAACAAGTGATTGATTTGATTGAGTAATTTGAGTGCATGATTAAGGAAAATCCATTCCTCAAAACATATATAAATACATAATCCCTCAAAACATACATATATAAAAACATATATAAATATTTTTTTGAATTAGAAATACAATTTGAAAAAATAAAAAATATGTTATTTAAAAAAAAAACACTCAAAATGAGAATATTTTCTAACGGAATCGCCCATTTGCGAGTGCTGGAAAAGCAACTCAATCATCCCAAAGTTTAGTTTCCTGAGCAACTCAGCCAGCAGGAATAAGGCTCCAACATCTTGAACGCCAAGTTGACGACGTAGTACATGATGCATATTCTTTATCATCGTCTCAAAGGGATCCCTTCTTTTTCGTACCAAAAAGATATGGACCTCCTCTTCTCCTTTGCATTTCTTTCTTTCTTGTCGGATCTGCCACTTGCATTTCTTTCTATCTATCAGGATCCACAGCTAATCTAGTTTTCCTTTGTTATTACCTAAATATGTGATGATTATTAGTTTATCAAGAGATGGGAAAAAGACTGATCTGCAAGCAAGGATGAAACTCTCATTGGTTTTTGCGTTTGAATGCTTTGATTACAAAGCGGATTCCTCAACTACAGCGATAGATATCTGGGAATATCTGGGCGGAATGGGCTTCCTGCTTGCCGTACGCTCTTTATCTGCAGTGAACCCTCTATAAAAAGGCTTCTCATCAGTTGAGCCATTCATCGATCTCAGCCTTGTTGAATGCGAAGAAGTTTGTGCTCCTTCCTGGTTGCTTCGAGTGTCTTGCAAAATGTCGAGGGGCCCTCTGACTCTGGGTCAGGTCATAGGCGATGTATTGGACCCCTTCTCCAGATCGGTATCGCTCGGCGTCCTGTACAAGAATAAGCTGGTCATCAATGGCAGCGACTTCAAACCATCCGCCGTGGTCGATAAGCCGAAAGTCGAAGTTGGAGGAGATGACCTGCGGACGTTTTACACTCTTGTCAGTGCTTTTCCTTTCTGCATTCAGCATCCTCTCGCTTGCTTCTTACCGTTGGTATGTTTGGCAGGTGATGGTGGATCCAGATGCGCCAAACCCCAGCAATCCGACGCTGAAGGAGTACCTGCACTGGTAAGAGATGTTCTGCTGCTGCATTCAGAATGAGAAAGAGAGACTTTTGTGGATTGCATGGTGTTGATAGATCTGGAACTGATGGTTTTGCAGGCTGGTGACGGACATCCCTGCCACCACCAACGCAAGTTTCGGTGAGTACGTAGGTTTTCTGCAACTTGGGGAAAAGTCGAAGATACTTTCTTTCAACTTGGGTTTGACTTCCACATAGGCATCTCTAGAATTTCTCGTCCATGGGCGAGGCTTATATGTTATGTGGTGTGCATGAAAAAGCTGCTGCTGATGATGATGGGGTTCCGCGCGCACAGGTCGAGAGTTGGTCTGCTACGAGAGCCCGCGGCCGACGGCAGGGATTCACCGCATGGTCTTCGTGCTGCTCCGCCAGATGGGGAGGGGGACGGTGTTCGCGCCGCAGATGCGCCACAACTTCAGCACGAGAAGGTTCGCGGAGCAGTACTACCTGGCTCCTGTCGCCGCCACCTACTATAATTGCCAGAGGGAGGCCGGCACCGGCGGCAGAAGGTTTCGGGGAGACGACTGATGCTGAGAGGAGATATACTATGACCACTTCAGCTATAGTTAGTACTTGAATCCGTAAATAAATGCATGCCACAAGCATGCCTGAATCCATAAAGAAATCTATGCTGTCAGGTTCGTTCATACTGATGATGTCAACGCATACGATACAGCCATGTAATCATTAATAACTTAATATCCAACTACATAATAGATATTGAAACTCCACGCTGTGTGCTTGATTGATATTTACAACTGGATGGAGAAGCAAATGAAGGAACAAACATCATTTCTCAAAGAAGTATTATAGTCAATCTCTTGTTGATCTGGAATCTCTAAAGAGAAGAGATTTGCAAAATATACCCTAGTAATCCTACATCGGACAAGATGTAAAGCTGCCGTCGGCTATCCCCTTCGTGTTATCCAAAGTTAATCCACAGGTTAAAAAAAAAAGAAGAAAAGGAATTACTTGGTAAATTGGCAAGTCATACAAAGTGAAGCACAACGTTGTAATCTTAGTCGTTAAGGTCGATATGTTGGTTGTTCTGTTGGCTCCAATTAGTTTCTTGGAATTTCGTCAGGAAATTTTCCTTTTCAATCGTTGTCTATTGGTGTTGAACATTTATAAGAATTCTTGCTTTGCTCTCTCTTTATTCTGCATCGTGAAATAGAAGGTATTACTTGGTTGCTTAACAACTACAGGTGCCATTTTATAACGTGTTTGAATTTTATTTAAGGTCAAGAATTGTGATATGTAGCTGCGTGAGATGTGGCTTTATTTTAGCCGAGCAGCAAACTGGACTGTTTTTGCTTCCAATTTTGCGAAAGGGTTCTTTTCATCCCTCACGATAACTTGGTGTCCGTTTTGCTCTTTCTCAAGTTTAACCATCTGTTGAGCTTTTTTAGTTTGAATTTGGATTATATTTCAAGTTAAAATGTTGTCGACAAGGTTTTTTTTGCATCCTGATACGATGATTGATAGTTGAGTGAGTATCATCATCTTACTTCATTCCATATGAAGATAGTTAATCAAAAGAGTTGCGTTTTGTATTTTGAATCAAAAGAGAGAGAGAATTTTTCAGTATAGAAAGAATTCAAACTTGTATAGTTCTGCAATTGTGAAGATATTGAATATAGAATCTACTTTTGGAAGGAACTAACTGTCGATCCTTATGCTTTATGGGCTGGGCGATTCCTTGTCCGGGATGCTCTGTTCCGACGGAGCATTGTGAACTCATTCAATACCATTACTTAATGTATCTGATCAAATTATTCGGTTCAAACATCTTTGACTTCTGTAAGTACAGTAGCCACTCTGAAACATGTTTGACTTCAGTAAGTTTCCCCACTCGTACCCAAATCTAAATCATGTTTTGTAGCATTTGAATATCCAAGATGACAAAACAAGTACTCGAACAAAGGGCAGATCTCAGCTTGAGATTGGGATCAGCGGTAAACTTGAAACTCTGGTGATCGGTGGAAGCGAACCCGAATGGAAGGTCAACATAGCTTTGGAAGCCTACGACGAGGAGGAACGAGGATTGGTAGCTAGTCATGTTGTTTATATGCAAGACCAGAAATAAGGATCAAGAAACTAATAGACGCAGGAAATCAACAACGTCAAACACGAGGCTAAAGCAGATCACACTCTGCGGAGACGGGAAACCAAATACTCCCGTGGATGATCGGTCGAATAGAGCCCCGTTTATAGTTCCGATGAAAGGAGAAATGAAATGTCTCGGTTCTCGCGATGGCTTCGTCCTCCGTCGGCTCCACATTGCAGAATGCATCATCCATATGAAAGCCTGCGATGGAGAGGGACTAGGTTTGGTATCGATCTATAAATCGTGTCTTCTAAATGAAAAGTTAGAAACAAAGAATCAAGAAACCAATCGAAAAAAATATCAAGTGGGACAAGAACATATCACACTCTAAGTTGGTGGGAAATCGAAAGAAACTTGATTATGATCGATCGAATTGAACCTCATTTATGGCCCCAACAAAGAAGATGATGTGAATTGGTTCTTACATAATTATCTTTGCTAGTTATCATGTTTTAAATAGTTCTTACAAAATAGTTTTATCTAAGCGGTTCATAATCTAACAAGTTATTGTTATAGGTATGAGTGACATAAGAGGGTGAAATAGTTACCATTAGATTTTATAAATAGGATCATGGTTCTCGGAAAGGTGAGTATACTTACGAATATTTTATAAGTTTTCTTAATTTTATCTCTTGTTTAATATTATTTTAGTTTTTTTATTGAAAGTATTTTCTTTCAATTACATCATAGTATTTTACTTTTATTATTTTTTTGCTCTCCATCAAAGTTTAATATGAACTGACCATTATGACTTTTAATGATAATTTAATGTTTCAATCTCTTATTCTCGTCTTTTCGAATAAATGCTATAAATTTTAGAGTATCAAGATAAAAACTTTATTTAAGAAACTAGGTTGAGGGAGAATAGAAAAGTTTCAAAGGTATTGTTCTTTTTTCAATAAGTTGTTCATGAGATAATCTTATCAAGAATTACAATTGCTACAATGTCAAAACAAACTTAGTTAATACTTTAAAATAAATTTTAAGACTCATTGAATATGGTTGTGATATAACTTTAAATCCTTCGTTATAAGTGATTGAAATTATTAGTCAAATAAAATCTTATGATGAATATTGATCAGGTAATTATTACAAAAGTTTTAAAAAATTTAATTCTAAAATTTAATCATGTTGCAACTAAAGAGTCAAAAGATTTGTTTACTTTTTTAGAACTAACGGATTCTTTACTAGCATATAAAGCAAGATTGAGTAAATCATATGAGAAAAGTGAAAAAAAAAGGTATTACGGGTTAAAGAAAAGTCTTCTACTTGAAAAAAAGAGATAAAAAAATTAATAGAAAGATGAGCAGGATTTTGATTATGTGAGGTATAAGATCAATATTTAAAGATTTTAATAGAACTTACAAGTTAAAAATTAGATTTAGAGATAATAAACAAATTTAAGAAAAAAAAGAAACAATTAAATTTAAGATAAGTATGAAAGATAAAAGCATCTTGATAACATTAAAGATAAAACATCTTGGATAATTGAATAATGACAAATATTCAGTTATATTTGATGGTTCATGTACTATTAAAGATAAAAAAATTAATTTGATTATAATAAATATTTGCATGACTTAAAACTAGATATTTCTCTTTGATATTATAAATATGGAAAAAGATGCTCTTATTGCAACTTTATGTTATTAAAATTATGAGTTTAAGGTTGTTAAGTTTAAAAAAAATAATAGTTATATTATGTTAATATACTTCATGTACGTGAATGATATATTTATGACAAACAAATAAGAAAACTATAAAATTATTTAGTGAAAGTTAATATGATTTTTTTATTTACTGATGATAGTCATATGAGTTAGATATAATCTTTAAAAATAATATTTAAAATTTTAAAAATTTAAGATATTTGTGAAAAAAGAAAATAGTAGATGCACGAGAATTGACAATGAGATGATATATTTATTTTTTTTGTGAAAAAACAATATATTCACGGGAATTGATTACACGAGTAAAATTAGCTATATGGAGCCTCATTTATAGCTCCAATCAAGGAGAAAAGAAACTTCGATTCTCACGATGGCTGTGTCCTTCTCTGGCTCAAACATTGCATAACGCATCGCCCTACAATGGCAAGGGACTAGGTTTGGAATCTATAAATCATGTGTTTTAAATAAAAAGAATAAAAATAAAAATCAAGAAACCAATAGAGCAAAAGATGAAGAATATTAAGTATGAGACAAGAATAGATCACAATATATATCGATTGGAAATCGAAAAACTCCGATGATGATCAACCGAATTAAACCCCATTTGTGACCCCAACCCCAACGATGAAGAAACGAATTGTCTCGATTCTCGTGATCGCTATGTCCTCTGCCTGCTCTATATTGTCACAGACTTAGTTGGTTTTACCTAAGTCATGTAGCACTCTCGCATGTTTGTCCGTAAAGGTCAACCTCCCCGAAACCTCCTATGGTCCCTTAGAACTTACAAAAGAGAAAATGAGTTAGAGAAAGCGCCTCACTAGGGATCCATAAGCAATCATTTCAGTAAACACTTCGTAGCCAATGCAAATTATAAATAGACTTTACCTTTGAACGATCGCACAACAAAGGGTCCAAATAGTCCACTACAGACCAAAATCCCCACAAGTGCTCACATTACACAACCTTTGTTTGTAAGCCCAGGACAACCACCAAATCCAACTAAAATGGAGCTGTTAAGCCTTCGACTGTCCCTCTATATGCTGTACTAAGCATGAACAAACCAAGAGACACGAACATACGTGAACATTACATTAAACATATCGTTTATAGTTTTGTCTGTGACATTCTCCCCCACTTATTCCTTTGACATCCTCATCGAAGCCTTTGCCGACGTTGTAACTCCTCACCTTTGCTGAGTCTTCAATCTTGTACTCCAGCTATAATGTATCTCCTAACTCCCAATTACTCTCTGTCGCTATTCAATACACGGACGGAAGACCCGCCTCTGTAGTACCATGGTTTTCATTCCTTAAATCCATAGCCCTTCTTGTTGTCATGTTGTTCACCGAAGTGGAGTTCCTAGTAGTTTCCAATCATACCCCCGTATGATATAGTCCCTTACGGGACTAGATTCGTATATATTACATTGCCACGAACTGTTCCACCACGATTCGCTACATCATGTTGTCTCCCGGTGACATCTTCATTACATTCTGATCCTTGTGGGATGAACTCGGATTGTGATCTCTCCATGTGTGGTCTCTACCAACACATCGTACGGCCTGTTTCACCTTTGATCGTATTCGCTCCTTTGGCAATCGACCTTCGTCCACTCGCTCTCGGGTCACACCTAGACAAAGCACCGCTCTAGGATAGTCCGTCGCCTAGTAGCTCTTAAAGTTCACTGATTTCGCTAAAATTGGTGCACCATTGTCTTGATCATGAGTATTTGCCCCTACCAGCATAATCTTCACTACGCACCGCTTCCTTCATGGCAACTTGATTGGCAGTACTATGACATATTCTTTAAGAGTACCTGCCTCCGTATCCTCTTACCCTGTGCTAAGGCCTTTTGAATCTAACTTCGCCTCCGCATGTTGAGTCGCATTCATTCCTCCATCAAATGCTTATCCGAGATAAGATGCATGTGCCCAAAAGCTCCCTTTGTCTTTGGCACCATACAAGATAAGTCTGCAACATCAGAATGAAGGCCCCATGGAACGACATGATCCCGCTATTGCCTCTGCAAGAGTTCGTGTCCTAGACTTCTATCCAATGAAAGCTTTGTACCTCCACTCCATGTTTCATCTTCTTTGTCAGCTCCCTTCATGCGATTTGGGTATTTTGTTAAGTTACACCTAAGTTGCTCCGCTCCTTGGTTTGCATTGAGTTGATGATGGCTCTCGCGCCCACCATTCCACGGGTCAGCCCTTCGTTGAGTCTGATCTCCATATCGACTTTTAAGTGTACCTTCATCTCGTGTTACTTTGGGTTGCTCCCTCACTTGATCTCATAATGCATTCTCCAATGCATTATCTTAAGCGAGATCATACGACGACTCCTCGCCGCTTGCTCGGTCCGTTGAGTTTTATGAAATTGTTTTGAGGTACTCCTCCTTAATATGTATGGTCTATTGCATATGACTCTTCCTCTAGAGAACCGGGACTTATCTCTCATGGATATCTGTCTCGTTGGAGCAACTTCTCTCTTCGCTTCCTTTTCTCTGAAAATTTCAGAGACCACCATCCCCTTGGACTACTCCGCCTTGTTGAACAAACTATGCATTGTTCTGCCTCCCACAAATGCACTTGCTAGATTATGACACCATGCCAATATAACCCCTGCTGCACCCCTCAAGGCCTAATAACATATTGAACTCACTATATACTTCAGCCTCCTATGGACGTATCCTTTTAATGTTGAAGAGAAAGTTTCAATGCTTCATAGCGTCGAGTTTCGGTCGCCTTGAGATAGCCATGAACACTCCATCGTTCGTATACAAGCCTTTGCATGAGTACCGAATTCTTCGAGTTAGCAATTCCTCTATCTCTGTGAGCTTTGCACAACTCTTTCGGTCGCTAAATAACACATTCCAACATTGAGCCGTAGTTCAAACTCAGCCATCATGACCTTTATGTGCTACGTATTCTTCCCAACTTGTTTGTCCTTGTCCTCGTGGTGCTTTTTGTACGAAGGGTTGGCTATTTCTCTGAATGTCAATCTCTCCCTACATCTCCATGCCCGTTTTCTCTTAAACGGTTATGCATGCTGGTGGCCCTGCCTCCCCGAAACGTCAGTCCCACCTCCTTGAAACCTCAATCCCACCTCCCCGAAACCTCAGTCCCACCTCGGGTCCTGCCTCCTCGAAATCTCGGTTCCTTAGGACCTACAAAAAGGAAAACGAGTCAGAGAAAATGCCTTACTCGGGATCCACATGTAATCATTTCAGTAAACACTTCGTAGCCAATATAAATTACAAATGGACTTTACAAACTCTGAACGGTCACACAACAAATGATCTAAATGATCCACTACAGATCGAAATACCTATAAGTATCCAATGCCGAATATGAACAAACCAAGACATACAGACATATATGAGTATTAGATTAAACACCCCATTTATAATTTTATCCGTAAGACAAAATGCATTATCAACATGAATACTTGCGATGGCAAAGGACTATAATCGGGATTGATTCATGTCTACTAAATGAAAGATTAAAAACAAGAATCAATAAACTAACAAACCAAAAGATCAAGAACAACAAGCACGAGACAAGAACACTCTCCGTCGACGGGAAACCGAAAAGGACGATGAGGATCGACCGGATGGAGCCCTGTTTATAGCCCCAACGAAGGAGAAACGAAACTTCTCGATCCTCGCGACGGCTTCACGGCTTCCTCCCCCTCCGGCTCCACGTCGCAGAATGCATCGTCCACATGAAAGCCTTCGATGGCTGACTGAAGTACAGATCACACTCCACGTAGACTGAAAGATTAGGAGGACGGCTCCGTTCTCCACCTCGTCATGGGAGCCGCAGAGGAAGAAAGCGACGATCCTCGTGCGAGCGGTGGCGGACTCCGATGTCCACATGGAAGCGTGCGACGGCGAGGGACTAGGAACGGGATCTCAACCGTATCTTTTAAATGCAAGATTAGAAGCAAGAATCAAGAAACTACCAGAACAAAATATCAAGAACAACAGGCAGGAGACAAGAGCATATTGCACTCCCCACCGACGGGAAACCAGCGACTCCGATGATGATCGGCCGAAGCGAACCCCATTTATAGCCCCAACGAAGGAGAAACGTGTCGGGATTCGCGACGACTCCGTCTTTCTCCTGCTCCTCGTCATGGGAGCCTCAGGTAGTCCTCGGCCCGGCCACGGCAGAAGAAAGCGACGATCCGTGGGCAAGCGGCGGAGGAGTCCGACGGCTGCGCAGGCGATTTCAGAGGATGAGGAGGAGATGGGGCACGGCAGGTGGAGCAAAGGAGGTGTTTTTATAGGGCTGGAACTCGCACGTGTGAGCCAACTGATGGCTGACATGTTTTCGGTCTATCGTTGATGACTTCAAAAAAAGAACGGACGTGATTTATTCCGAAGATAACATCCACACGCTTATAGAAAAGTGAGCGCCCGCTGACTTAGGAACCCCATACCATCCGATTAAAACAGTGACAGATTTGTCAAATACATACACATTTTGTTAGCCCCTAGGATTAAGTGTCATATGTGACGTTGACTCGATGATGTTACATTAACACATGCAGAGACTTCTTGAATCAGCCCACATATGGACCATGTGATGCAGAAGCTGGTTACCAAAACAGGATTCAGCACAAATACCGTAACAAGCGGACAAAGTTGCTGGCACAAATACCCGAACACACGTGGACAAAGTTGCAGAGTAACTGATGTTGATGCATATGCTAGATTTAGAACAAACCTCAATAGCCAGAAGTTAGTTAACATAATATATCAATGTCATAATACATAAACCCTTCAACCACTAAATCAAGAAAACCAACGAGTTCAAAGAAGACATGAAGATCCAAGAAGGTACAGAAATGCAGACAAAAGGATGGGAGAAAGAGCCTTAGCTTCTACAACTCTGCAAATATGGGATGCCCGATAAATAGGGTCCTGAGTAACCACCATTACACAAAAATAAAAACCAGCACTTGACAAGTCTTTCTTTTTTTATCACAGTTCAAGATGGTCAAAAGACATGCCATCGACGAGTTTATTACTAAACCTAATAGGACATATATAGATTAAACATCCAGCTTAACAAAAATAACATATCAGATTAGGTCTGCGACATTGGATGGCAGCTCCTCAATCACCACATTGTAGAACCTCTGGATGTCAAACAACATTCTTTCGTCATCAACAGTGACAAAGTTGATTGCAACACCCTTTCTTCCAAAACGACCACTTCGTCCAATACGATGAAGATAGTTCTCTGGCTGTGTTGGCAGATCATAGTTTATAACCAGGGAGACCTGCTGGACATCAATGCCACGAGCAAGAAGATCAGTGGTGATGAGTACACGGGACGAGCCAGAGCGGAACTCACGCATTATAATGTCCCTAGTATTTTGATCCATATCTCCGTGGGTTGCTGAGACAGTATGGTCCCTGCTCCTCATTTTGTCAGTAAGCCAGTCCACCTTACGTCGAGTATTGACAAAAATCACACTCTGCGTGATGGCCAATGTCTCGTAGAGGTCACAGAGGGTCTCAAGCTTCCATTCTTCCTTCTCAACATTGACATAGAATTGTTTGATACCCTCCAAAGTAAGCTCATCTCGTTTCACAAGAATCCTGACAGGTTTGTTCATGAACTTGCGAGTAATCTCAAGAGCCTCTGGAGGCATTGTGGCAGAAAATAGACCAACTTGTATCTTGGAAGGAAGCAGCTGAAATATGTCATAGATCTGAACAAAGAAAGCCCATTAATGAACAGATATACCTTCCCTCTCATAACCAATTAAGGCACAGAAGATGTAAGAAAAGCTGGAAGATTAAATGGAACTTCACATGAAAGTAGTAAAACCAGTTGCATCAAGTAAACATAAATAAATATTTGAATGTTCACTCAAAGGTAAGCTGAATGTTAACTCAAAATTATGCATATGACTAGAGACAATGGATTTCTAGGCATGAGATACAAAGATGCAACAATATTTAATGACAACAAAAATGAAAAAAGGTATAACAAAAGTATTATCAATGCAACCAAGAGAATTTTGTTAAACCTGGCACTCAAGTTTCCACATAACAAGCTCTTACAATACCAGGCAGCATGTGTTTGGGCATTCTGAAAAAATAGCCTGTATCTCAAACAAAATTAACAATGATGTTCCTGCATAAAGCAGCCACCCCTTTAGATGTCAAACATCATAAGTGAGTCAATTAAGACCAGCAAAAACATCGTGACTTGATTTATCTCACTCATGCTATGAGTCGTCTTTAGAGATAATTACATTTGGCACCTTCTTCTTTTGGTTATGGTGTAATAAACAATTCATACTGAAATCACATATCGAGCAAAGTATCAGTTATGAACTCCAAGAAACATCTTATTAGAGGTTTTCTTAAACCACAGGGTGCTTTTTGTAATTTGTATTTTATAGTCAACATTTTGGCTTAAATTAAAATTTTCACATCGTTGTAATAGCAAAAAGAATTATAGTCAACATTTTATAAACAATTACAACCTACTTATAGCAGTAATGTTTTGCTTGTTAAAAAAAAATCTGGATTATTCAATAAAACACCATATAACGACATAACATGGTAAGAAGTTATATAACTAGTGAAGACAAGTGAGCAAAAAAATATGCATATATTTTAGAAGTTGTACATATAGTTGTAAACAAATTATGATACAGAAATCTTCTCCAAAGATATCCAGGAAGTAGTTGTAAACAATGATGGTTTGATAAAATGGCAACCTATACCATTTAAAAGTCCATTTTGGACAAGGCACCAATTAAACCATGGCTTTAGAAAACTGGCCCAATTTGAAAACCATTTTAATAAGGTTGTCACCTTATCAAGGTGTTGATAAGCTCTTAAATATGATGGTTTGGTAAAGTATATATGCATGTTCTTCCAAGAATTTATGGGATAGCTTATTTCCATGACATATTATGCCTTTTACTCTCATTTTATGATAACCAAATTACAGTTTCCTTTTCAATAAACAATGCAAGTAATTTGCACGACTTCAGAGCAAGCAAGGAGATACCATTTACAGCAAAGCAACAATAAAGTATAAACAAAGGATATATTTTACTCTTTCACCTCTTTTCCTTTTCCCTCCATTCCTTCCCCCCACACCCAACCCTCCCTCTCTTTCTGTCATGTAAAAGGAGTTCAATGCCTAGAGCCTAGACACTCTACAGTGCTGGCAATAATCTCTTGCTTGAAAGATGAGCACTCTGGCAGCTCAAATGTGTGTGTGTGTTTGTGGACACACAGAAACACACGAAAAAAAAATTTTAGTGAAAAAATAATATAAGAACTGCAACTAATATGCATTTAAAGTTGGCCAACGAATAAAGTAAATGTTGCACTCTGAGGACCAACTTAATAAATCCATTGTGTGCTTCCAACTTTAGAAAGTATTTTTTGTTAACCACAGATAATAGTGAACTCAAGTTTAAAAATTGCAATTAGCAGCATAGAAAAAGTTAGGTGCTTCATTTACTATACATAATACTTTACTGAACACAAAAAATAGAAACTTTTGCATCTATAGAATGGGCATTGGGAGCACCTGATCCTTGAAACCACGAGAAAGCATTTCATCTGCCTCATCTAGCACAAACATCTTGATGTAGTCAGGGCGAAGAGATTGCCTTCTTAACATGTCAAACACACGACCTGGTGTTCCCACAACAACATGAACCCCACTTGAAAGAATACGTTGATCTTCACGAACACTAGTTCCCCCAACACAAGCATGAACTTTCACACCAAGATAATCACCAAGTGCACGCATCACCTTTTCAATCTGCTGGGCTAATTCACGAGTTGGAGCAAGAACCAAAGCCTGACATTGTACCAAGCCATAATCAAGCTGTTGCAGAATACCAGCACAAAATGTTGCAGTCTTTCCAGTCCCTGATTGTGCCTGCTGAATAACATCAAGTCCCTTGCAGAAAGGAACAATACCTCTTTGCTGGATTGCGGATGGCTTTTCGAAACCTATAGTTCACAAAGTGTAAGAACAAATATATTAGCAAAGTTCACACCATGTAGAAACAGATATATTAGCTTACACCACTTCTATTAGATACCAACATCTCAAATAGGTAAAAGGAAGGAGGTAACTTACCATAAGCATAAATGCCTCTCAAAAGGTTCTCCTGGAGACCCATAGCATCAAAACTATCAAAAACCTCATCATATGATGCAAAAAAATCCTGCCCATCTTGCGAAAGCCTGCCCTCTCATAGAAACAAGACCACATCAGTAAAAATTTTAATCTAAGTCAATGAATAAGAAGCGCATCATGTGAAAATCAATTACTAGCAAATATAGCAAAAAAAGGTAAGAAACAGTACAACTCATTCATTTTGGCATCATATTGGCGAGCATCAAATTGAGATCCTTCAGGTGCCACTCCAGCCATGATAGCTGAAATCAAACAGAAGAAAGCGAATAAATAATATGATAATATGATGATGGTAATGAGAAAACCAAAAGTTCATAAAAAAAAAAGGAAAAATTAGTTGTGGTCAAATGTGCAAAATTCAAAAGCCACAAAAGTGACACAACATCATTCCAGATTATATTGAGTAACATTTGGAATCCTGGCATGAGTATGCTCTACATAAAGCTATGTGTAGCATTCAACTAGGACACTGGAAGAAAATAGTAATTGATTATATCAGCCATTACACAAATCAAGGCATTGACTTTATACCATCACAATGTAAGAGACATCAATAAACCTACCTAGATTTGTGAGATAAAAAGAGTTTCACTGCATGGTACCAAAGATCATATACTCAAAACAAAATAACAAATTTAGAAAAACTAGCAACCTTAATAAATGAGTTAAATTGTGCTGAATGCATGAAACTGTAATCTTTTACAACACTCTTTCGAAATTCAGAAAGCAAATAAATTCAATTATTCAACACTCAAGGTAAATCAAATAACTGCCCTGACCCTGTTTATCAGAATTTCAAATAACTATGCTATTTACCCTCAATCCTAAGGCCATGGAACAAAAGGAATAAGATTGAGTATCCCACAAAAAGAAAATTTGATAACTTGATACCATATATTTTTTGCATCTATATATGTCAATCAGAACAAATAATATGTCCAACGTGTATAGATGCAAGGAGCCCATAGGTCATCTTTTACAGTTCAATTAATGTGAAGGTGGCCTAAGTAAACGAGCATGCACATCTACATAAATCATTGTCTAGTGTATATCACAAAACAGGGCCACATTCAGAGTGCACCATGTGGGTTTCAGACTATATTTTACATTTCTCATATATGCATAAATGGCTTAAGTTATAATTAAATGCTAGCACAATCAAGTCGCTCAGCCAGATCAAACTGCACAGTATAACCAGATCAAACTGCACAATATAACCAAAACATCCGGAGCTATCCAAATGAAAGACAAGCAAATCAGTAATTAAGGATAATTTGAATTTATAAACCTCTATATAATTATAAAGCAAGCACCATAAGGAATGCAAAGATTTTATCTTGTGGAGACATCAACTACTTATGCATGGCAAATCAACAATTTTCATGTTTCCTTACCATGGTTGAATTGGTCATTCATACATAAAAAAGACCCAAACGGGATTTTGCATGTATAAAACAAGATTAGTTGGAACTATGTGAAGTAGCAGGAATTGTAAGGAAACAGAACTACCCTTCAGAGTCAGATGGCCAACTGCAGAAGTGGAAGGATTCTTAGATTCTCATCAAAGCTAATCCCAATAGCATTCTTTATTTTAAATTAATAAAAAAATTTAGTCAAGCATTAAAAATTTACAAACATAAAGAACGAACAATTATTTCCGTATAACTTTGGACTAGATTGAGGATTAAGTACTTATAGAACAGATTCATAACAAAACTTCTATTACTGGTACAACTTAATAATGTAGCAACTTGTACTCAACAGAGCGTACTTAAAGATTTGCTACGACAAACATATCTACTCATCACATATGATGTAACGCGCGAATACAGTAGCTGAGCCAAGACACAGAAAGCCCGATGAACTACTGAGCTCAGCCGCCCAATCCTAGGCCCCCGAAAACAAATAGATTCCCCAAAGAAGGCACAGAACCCTTCGTCAAGAACCCTGCTTCATCAAGTTTTTCTTCCTCAGGTCATGAAACCCAGATTTAATCCGACCGCTCAAACTACTTAGATCTAACCAAAATCCACAAACCCAAATACTTCCTCACTCGATAAAGAAAACAACAACAACGCGTACACTCAAAATCCACCAAATCCTAGATTAAACGAAAACTATTAATACTATGAGCCTTACCCCAAAGAGTCGGATGACAACGAGCCCTAACAATAGAACAAATTCCAACGACATAAAATTATAGAAAAGCACAGCTGAATCGGTTTGAATGCCAAACGAAAAGATCGGAACTTCCGTTACCCTTTAAACCCTAATAGCTCCACCAAAGGTAGAACAATCAAGAGAGAAGAAAGATTAGAAGACAAATCGGAGAACGATGGAGCAGAGATCCGAGTACCTAAGATTTCTCGGGAGAGCAGAGGAGATCTGGGAGCAGATAGCGATCGTGTGTTCGAGAGAGAGGCGGAGAGGAGACAGAGGCAAAGCTTTTGTTGAGTGAGAGAAAGGGCTAAGGGTTCGCCTTTTAAATCTATTTTCTAATGGCCCCCCTCGGCTTCTCTGTGCATTTATGTTGCGTAGTTTGATCGAGTTCTGAATAGGAATTGGAACCGAGACGGATAGCTTGTGGGATTACCAGTCCGTCATGCTGCTTTGCTAACTCGTGTATGCATACATATTTTATACGTTTGTATGGAGGTGTACGGTAGACATACACACGTGCTAGCATCCGTGCGTATTCTATCGACACCCTGTTATAATATTTGAAAACGACAAGAAAAATATTTATTTAAATTTCAAGGAGGGGTCAAACTTTATTGTTGGATTTGATTAGTCGACTATTTATGCTTGTTCAACTATGTAAAAATATTCATTTTTGTTGCAGTGGTTTTGGCTAATATTTTTAAAGTAAGGTTACGAGATTAGTTTGTTTTATTGAAGTCATATGTTATCCTTAATATTCTTAAAGTAATATTTTAATTATAGATTAATTTTTTTTTAAATCTTTTATGATCCTTTAACGACATAAAGATGTCTATTTAGCAAATACAATATGATCTATTATAATCAAAAGTTTTAATAAATATTCACATAATATTACTGTTGAATATTACCTCAAAAACTCATTTAATCATATGCCACTCGGATAACTCTTGGGTTCTCTATTAGAAACCTCTAAAATGACTACTTAGTTGGTTTATTTTCGATAATTTTACTTCTACGTGATGATTATACATAACTTATATTTACAACTCTAAGATGACTATAAAAGCTAATAAAAAATAAGACTATCAAATCGAATCCTTTACATGTTATACAAAACAGGAATAAAATCGAAAGACATGGATATACATAAACATTATATCGAACATCTTGTTTATAATTTTATCAGTATGTCACACAAGTTTTTTATTTTTTTCTTATACAAGTAAAATATAAAAAAAAACATAAAAAATGTGTTTGATAATTTGTTGTTTTGAAAGTATTTGTAAACTTTGGAAATAGTAAATATACTTAAAAAAAAAAAAGAAAACAGAGTCTTCTCAACCCAACATAAACATGTAGATGCATATTTGTAGATACATTTGGAAATAGTATATACAAACTACTTAGTTTGTATATACTTGTAGATACATATTTCGCCTATCTTTTAAAATTCCAATGGGTTAATTATTAATCATAAACATTTTTATTAAAAAATGCTGCTTGTATTTTTTTTGCATTCAAATGACAAAAAAAAGAAGAGAAAATGGATAGATCGCTCAACCCTTTTTTTTTTTGTGTCAAGTTATAACTGATAAAAAAAAGCTGAAGACAGTTTAAAAAAATCTAATCCAAAACAAGTCTGACTTGCATAGACACTTCCATTAATTGCATTAGAACTTGGGAACATAATAACACTTTTATTGCACTAAGACTGTGTTTGAAAACACATTTGAAGTAATTAGAGAAAAGGATTTGAGTGAATATATAATCATAGAATATGCTTTAAGAGTTTGATAAACACTAGAAAAAATATATTTTTTAAATGTGTATTGATGCAACTATTGTTTGGTAAAAATATATTTTAAAAATTTATTAAATATTATATAATAAATTTATCTTTCTAACATTTTCATATAATTTTAATTAATTAATAATTAAAAAACTAAATAAGTGAATGTATGTAATTTTATAAAAAAATTTGTATGACCCATATATATAATAAATAAAATATATAATCATATAAATGAATATAAAAGAATCTTTAAAAATAAATAAATAGAATTTTACCTTATAAAAGACATAAATTATGTTGATAATCTTTATATAGTGCTTTAAATTTTTTTTAAAAATATATTATTATTTCGTAAACACTGAAATGCTAACATTATCTTCGGATAACATCAATATTTGAACATTTGCAAAGCCACGTCCAAGATAAATATGATTTATAAAAAAATATTAAACATCAATTGATATCTAAAATATGTATTAAGCCTTTAATGCATATCTCTTTGGAACAAACCCTATTTGCCGTATGCTATCTCGTCATAGAAATTTTTGAAGTCAGAAGCCCAAAGATGTAACGACCACTAAGCACCAAATGAGCGAGATTGATTAGCTGTCTTTTACAGTTCTAAATATACAGTATACATAACCTGTGAAAATTGTACGTAACAGTACTCCTACAGCCAGCCAGTATTGCTCCACAGTGAGGAATGCAATTCAGAGTAGATGTCAAACCATGCAAAAGGAAACATTCCTCAATGTGTTGGTCCTTCTGTGCTCACCATATAGTTTTGATGGGCATCAAGTTCCAGCCTCATCGAGACAGCAAATGCACATGAAAAGTTAATTGTACCTAAACTAAGGTGAAAAGAAAAGATATGTTGACTGCATTGCCAATGCAAAAGGGGTTAGCTACCAAGCCATTAGATTCAGTAATTTGTTTGATAGACAGTAAAGCAAAGAACAAGCAAAAAGTATGTCTGCATAAAACTAAAGATATGCCCTCATTCAACTCCAGGTCATATACCAGACTTTGTAGATCCATCTAAACAGGTTATGTAGACATTCTAGCAATTGTCACCAATATCATTACCTGAACGCACCCCTGAATCTTGAAATTTCCCGTAGCTTATTTAGACCTAAAATTCAGTTGGGAAACTGAGTTCATCACAGCATCTCTTTCCATAGATCAACCTAGTTGTAAGTCGCAGCAGGTAAGCCATCCGTAATGATACAACAATATGACTACAATTTTGAAAAGCCAGTCATTTAAACTGAATTGTGCATTTTTCAGCGTCAAAATTGAGCTCCTTAAAGCAAGAGCACCATGTGACACTGATAATATGCCCCTAGGACAAAGGTTCAAATATATATAAAATGGAATGCTCAGGGGGACAAGTCTTTTAGCAGGTAAGGTACAACTCAACCATAATATCGTTACAAGCAATTCCCGAGAATCCTTATTTTCTGAAAATATAAGCATTAAGCGGCAGCAACCTTTCTTCCATCTTCTATGAAGAAAATTGCAGTTTCTGGCACCTAGCATATTTTAAGGACAAAAGTTAGTAATGGCACCAGATTCAAATATATGAACTAAATTTGGAGGACCACCAGCAAAGAATGGTAAACTGCACATATCTGGATGTAGAGAACACATTACAGTGTTTTTTCTTGTGAGGTTAGGATTAACATCGACCAACATAAGCAAACTGCTCATACTCAAAGACAATCAACAAAAGCAAACTGCTTGTACTCAGTGAGAGAGAGATATATATATACAGAACTAACAGGATTCTAGACTGCAATATGGGACAGCCAAAAGTTTAACATTAAAAATATACAATGACATGCAGTATAATAACCTTTTGCGACATTCTTTTTAGATTTTTAACTTTGCAACTAATGTCTGAACAAATAAGAATCCCTCGTAGACTGATCTCTAGAAAATTTTCACCTAAGAGACAATATTTAGGCAATAACAATACCTAAGTCTTGATCACCAAATTTAGAGTATAGTTGAACAAGTTGCTAATTGTAAACTACTCAAGCCTCTTTAGAACATGACCGTCAATCTTACTATCAAATCATGAAATAGTGAGGCAAAATTTGTTCCTTATGTTGTTCTTAAGAAACCTATACATAATATATGGATGGACATTTTTCTGATGGTGTTGGTTAGCTTATTTGGTAAAGATTTTGAAGGTGTCAGCATGATACACACACACACACACTAACCAACTATTAGAAGCCATCATGACTTGCATTAGCATGCAACAGATATGTGAGACCAATATCCCAAACTACAAGGAGTTCATTAGGTGTAGTAGATCTGAGTTAACTAAAAGTGCCCCTATTTTGGAAGATTTTAGTAAAGGCTACATGGTGAGAAGATTATAGCTAAGAATACCAGTGACAAGACAAAATACCATGTAGGGTGATTTTACTATTTTGAAGACTGAGGTGCATGAGCATGTTTTCTATCAAGCCCAATGCCCTCTCCCTAAGACACAAGCATACACACAAATATATACAAAAGAGGTATAAAATGCAGAAAATTTTGGTCAAACATCACATGGTCAAATATAAAATGTAGAAACTTTTGGTCGAATATCACATGGTCAAATATAAAATGCAGAAACTTTTGGTCAAGTATAAACTGTTAAGCATTTATACAACTATAGATGAATGCCTATGATAGAGATAAAAAATACGATATTATTTGACACAAAAAAGATGGTTATAGATGGATTACAGCTGGCCAAGTCTCTGTAATGAACTCCACAATATCGTATGCTATGTCTCCTTGGACATCAATTTGTTCTTTCTCAGTTGGTCCCTGAAATCAATTTACCAGAACAACTTATTGAGAAAATATTTGAGCAAAAGCATTTCCTGTGCCAACAAAACAATGCCAGTTCACCTTAACAACAGAAGCTCCTGTAGCAAATTTTTTCCCAAGCTTCTTTGATGCATCACTCAGTTTTATGCCTACAACATTAGGATAAAACTATCAATATTGAACCACTTAATTAGTACATGTGCATGTATCTGAAGTATCTCAAGACCAAAACAAAGCTGAAAGTCCTGGAAATCACTCACCAAAAAGCTCTAGGCCCTTAACAACTGTAACACATTTACGCTTATTGCGTACAATCTTTTCAATGACAACTTCTTGTTTTTCCTGAAAGAAAAGAAGTTAATCATAAGTACCTTAGTACTTCCACATAGCATCAAAAGATTAATCCAAATATTGACACTATTAATTCTCTGAAGCAGCTAGTCGCTTATATCAAGAATTAGCTGTCGTATTGGCCAAGACATAAAAAAATATTTAATTCTGAAAAACACATGATAGACATCTATGTGCATTATTTTCATCAATTTAATTTCCAATCTGAAGTTTCATCTCACTCAAGCTTCAAATTCAATTTTTCACAAATTTGATCTTCCAGCTCATCGTGATTATATTACATTTGATTGTCTGCACATTGTCGTGTCACGGCTGAACATGTTACATTTATCCAGGCCCTAGCCTATTGATTAATTTGATTGACCAAACAATCCTACATCGAGCCATGGAGGATCGTGAGCAAGTTGAAAGCATGACATGAATCCACTCTCTGAATGACACATAGGATCTGCATCAGGTATATAAAAGATAGGTTTCCAAGACAGAGAAGCACCACTAGTTAAATAATCTAGGATAAGACACAAATTTTTGAGTTAGATCTGCTTGAGTTGATCAGACCTGGTAAGAAACTAATCAGGTGTTGGAAACTCTAAATTTGGCCATGTTTAACAAAAATCTTCTGTTTTACATTTAAATCAGAATGAGTTTAAACAAAATACACTCCAACCACAAATGAGATCATCAAGAAGATTGCATCTCCTTGGTTACTGAATGACACGGTAATCATTTCCAGCTAGATAATATGGCAATCCCAAACTTTTCTTCTTCAGCACAGCTAAACTATAGTAGAATTGCCTAAAAACTAACCTGAAAATATATAATCTTATGGTATGACATGTCAACTAGTCATTACAGAAGAAAAGTTCCTCACAGAACCAACAGAGTTTCCCAGTCATAATTCAGAAAACAATGTATATACCACATCAATTTAATTTTGAGCAACAAACCAATTAATTTGGGCATAATCAACCAATCAGTCAAAATGACTCTCTTGCTATGGCTAATGGAAGATTATGAAAGAGAATATCAGTATATCTCTGTTAACTACAAAATGAAGTCATTATCCTAATATAGATCATAGATGTCTCACGGTAGGATATTACTATCTTCAAGTAAGAAGAAGTCATATCTCCTGCAAGAATTTTGACAAGCATAAGTTTTATGACCTCACCTTCTTCTTTATCTTACCACCAGGAAGGCGCTTTACTTCATCCTGCTTAGATGCTGAAGCACTCCCTGCACAAGAAAAGGGATCTTACAAAGGAATGAGAGAACTAACGTCATGAGAGACATCTAAAACTATCTCAAGACCGAAGGAAAATTTTATATGTTATTAACAAGAAAGAGAAAAAGACATTCACGAAAGGAATCCCTCTGAAACAACAAACAAAGTCACCCCATATCCCACTTTCTAATTCCGAATGCTTATTCATACCTTATCAATTTCGACAAAATGCTATCTTTTAATCAAAAGTCTACGGAATCACATACAAATCAAGCAATGCATTCCTGTGAAACGGAACAAAAAGAAGAAAACAGAAAAATCTCTATTGTGATCGCAATAATACTTCTCCAATTCAAGTACCTGAGGGAGCAGATGAGGCATCGCCGCCAGCGCCGTCACCAGAACCCGAGATCGCCACCGACTGGAGCTGTCGGGCGGCCTTGTCCGCATCCGTCTCGTTCTCCTCTAAAACCCAAAGAAATCGATCGATGAAGAATCGACAGGGGAGAAGGCGATAGGGGCCAGCCAACTACCTTTGAGGAGGAGATCAGGGTAGAGGTCGGGGGCGTGGCGGCGGAGCCAGGGCTTGCACTTTTCGAAGTCGGGACCAAACTCACAGTACTCCGCGGGAAGGCCGCATACGCCGCAGTAGAGCACGCGCACCGCCTGCGGCTTCTCGGCCATCGTCTTCGACGAAAGAGAGGGTTTCGCTGCTTTCTTGTTCCTACTCTTTCTCGATCTCTCTCTCAGAGCGTTCCAAAGAAAGGAACCCCATACGATGCCCTCTATCAGCTTCCCCGACCCGAGCGACAGCGGGGAGGCAAACTATTCTGGGCCGTATATGGGCCGTCCAGGTCGGTCAGTTGACCAATACACCCGGCCTGTTAAATGAAAAGGAAGTCTGGCCCACATTCTATTTCCCGCAGTCTCAACAATTCATGGTTACGTGTGACAGAGCAGCGAGCACACACGGCTTCGTGCATTCACACCCTCTCATGCAAGAAAGCACCGTGGGTGCTCACTCTCTTCTGTCAACTTCCGTCATGCCCACCCTCCTTCCTGCACTCACCCCACAAGAAACCAAGCAGACCGACTCTTCGCTTGGATGATGAGCAAGCGATCGAGGGATTTCAATGTTCATATTAGAAAGAGAGCATTGACATGGCTCAACTCTTGTAGGCTATATAATGGCGTTACCTTGAAAAGGATTCATGTCTCTCTCATCTCTCTCTCTCTCTCTCTCTCTCTCTCTCTCTCTCTGTGCGAATAGGTTGGCATTGAAATGGTTGCGAATACGAAGGGGCGTATGCGTGTGTAGCACCATGAAGAGGCCCGTGGATAACTGCACCCATTGCGAAGCCAATAAAAAAAGGCAACTTTACTTCCCAGGTCATCTTCCTTGGTGATGGATTAAAGGTCACCTTCCGAACCTTCTTTCAGTCTTCTGTCAGAAAGAGCAGCTCAGATCAGTCAGTCAGTCAACAACCTTCTTGCATCACCGATCTCTTCGGCTTTTCCTAGTCAGTTATTGTGCCATCCTGGAGCTGTCAGATCACTTGGTACAGCTCCGCACAATTCTAGAACACTTCCAGTGGAGGTTCCAACCATTTGATCTGTCGAAGTCTTGGGCTAAGTATGACTTGGACACTTCCAGTGGACCCGCCTACACCAATGTTCTAGATAGAAGTAGCCGGCAAATAAGATAATAGGAACACTCGGATACCACACATTGCAGCAGATAAAATCCCGCAATCTTTATGGAATTATTTTCACAGGAGGATAGCCATATGCTTTGACTCGTTCGTGTGGAATATTATAGGCTATGAATGCATCACGCCAACTAAGGCATGTTATAAAAAGATACGATTAAGTATATCCAGTCGTGAGTAGGGTTTTGACTACAGTCTCCACATCCTATCGAGTTTGCTACCTTCGAGACGAAGGAGAAGAATTGACTGCCTTCGTAGAAGATTCCAACTCGTGAAATTAGTCAGGAAGTCGAAAACTACTTAATTTTTCGGAGAAGAAATCGAGTACCACAGTACCGTCAGTCGGTAGAATAAAGTATTGTGTGGATCATTGAGATAACAAAAGAACAATCTTTCCTTTTGTTTTAGCAATGAACCTTCAAAAACACACTTTTAATTGGAAAAAGTTAATTGTAAAAGGCATGGATAGAAATGATTGTCCAACAAAAGGTTACAATCAAGTTGATCGTATGATCAATTCAGGTATCTGAAGAGGGTATATATCAATCGAGAACGAGGAGTTAAAGAGAGATGTTGACAGATTTGGAGGAACTATATGGTGTATTATTCGTTGGCCATCTCAAATCTTGTGTATTTCTTAGTTCCATAATATCTACACCTTCTCTCTATCATACGTACAAACATATGCTTAATCAAAAAGGTTTATAAGCTACGGCTAATGAACACATGAAAAGTCAGCGTTGTTAAGACTCGATGAGACGTCATTGAATGTCGACCGAGAAGTGTGACGCTTTCATTTATTTTGATCATCAAATTCAAATATAAAAATGTTGGTTTTGGTTTCATTTCATGTTAAAGCTTTGAAAGGTCTATAAATGGGTGTCCTTTGCGTGCTAATAAAGGCTGCCAAAAGCCTCTCTTCTTAGCATCTTCTCTCTTCATTAACATCAGGCCGAGCCATGGGGTTCGTCTCCTGGGTTAGCAAGATCAAGACTGCCGTTCCCAGCCTTAGTAACCTCGCCAGCCCCTTGCCATCCGACCACCCATTTCGGCGACTGTTGAGCTTTGGTTCATCGAATGGCCGGAACGAAGGCTTAGCTGCGGAAACCGAGCTCAGAATTAATCCAGCAACAGCAACAGCGTCGCCTGACCTTGAGGCGCCGGTGATCGACGAAGTCCAGAACTCGAGGACGACTGCAGGGATCGAGGTACAGCCAAATAATCCGGCAGCTGCTGCCAATAACAGACAGGACTCGAGGACGATAGCGGAGTTAGCAGTTCCTGCGATCTTGTCTATAGGAGTCTACTCGAGCGTCCCGTCCGACGTCCAGCTCCGCCACGATGCCTTCCCCCTCTACTACCCGTTCCTCGCCATCACTGGGTTGGGAGTGGGTTTGAGCCTTTACATCATCTTTTATGCTCTGGCCAAGTCCAACGGCGGGCAAGAGGTAGAGTCTGCTAAACGCAAGGGCATGAGGGTTGCCATCGTCTTCTTTCTGATAGCATTTGTATTAAGGATCCTTCTCCTGCAAATTCATTGGGATTAGATGGACTGGTGTTGTTGGAGCTGTAGTTCTCTGCGCCTTCTCTTGTAACATTATAATTCATCTGAATTGGATTATAGTGGAATCTTATCGGCTCCGAATTGATCGGTTGTACGTTAGATCATGGCTGTGTTATTGAATACATGACGCTGTCAGCGGTTTGTGATGCATGTTGTACTATTTTTTTCCACGCCGACCTTCATGTGCCATTTTTTTTCTTGGTGGCTATAAGATAGCTCAAGGTCAAGTCAGTTGTCGAGTGCCCAAAATAAAGAGAAGATAAGAGGCAATAGGACAGCTTGTCTATTGTCAATCGCTTTAGAAGATTGTTAGGATGAGTTTTTTTTTTGTCTCCGCTCTATGGGTGTGTTTGAAAGTTGTATGTTTTGAATATGAATTAATATTTCATATTTTTTTAAAGTTATATTTGACGTTAATGATATATTATAAATACTCTCAAACATGAATATTAATATGATTTTTTAAAGTTTTAAAATATCTTATGATATTATCTAAAATCACACAATTACCACTATATAATATAATATTTTATCGCACTTCTCTCGTCTGTCTTTCGCATCACTTGCCGTTATAAATTGTTAAAATTAAAAAAAAATTCAAAAAATTATTTTAAAAGGTGATTTTTAAAGTTATTTTAGTAGTTATTTTTCAAAGATTATGTCTTTTGTGAAAATATCTATAAATAGGTACTTCAGAGTAAATTATAAACATCATCTCTTTTAGATTTTTTTTTCTTTTTTAATAACTCTCTAAGTAATTGAATTATATATTTTCTAATTTCTCTTTGAAGACTCTTTATTGTTTGCTCAATATAAATCTTCTAAAGGCTTGTATCTACTAAAATTATTTGCATCAAACTCATAAAAATCTTGTTGAGAAGATGGCGTAAATATCATTTTTAGGAAAGTGTTTATATACGTTTCAAGCCTAAATATATTTTTTATAGTGTTCTTGATCTTGTGTTTATTATTGGTTTCCATAATATTTTTCATCATCTTCTTTGTTATATTTTCTAATAATTTAAAAATAATATTTTATAAGTTTATACAAATTCACCGTAAAGACCATAAATATCATCAAATTGTTGAATCAAGATTCTTTGTTCGGATCATTTTAATGGAATGGATTTCACCTATTGGTAAAACAAGATGAAATTCATGTTGATTGCTTTGAAGATTTTCTATGTGCTTGATCCAAGATCCAAATTTTTAACCAACCAATTCTTAATCCGATCGACAATGACATCGATGAAGTTAAGACTGAATGAAAGAAGAGAAATGAAGATGAAGTTATATGTAGATGATATATTCTCAATGCTTTTTCAGACCGACTTTATGATCTTTATATAGTAAAACCATATGTAAAGGTAATTTAGAATGTTTTGGGGTTCAAGTATCCGAGAAGGAAGGTATAAAGAAATTTTTAATTTTTAAATATTTTGATTACAAATTTGTGAATGATAAGCTAATATTGGCATAAGTGGATGAGTTACATGTCATTGTTAACCAATTGAAAGATGAAAAAATCAAACTTCTTGAATATTTTTAAGTATGGGCTATAATAGCCAAGTTACCTTCGGAAAGAGTACGAAAAAAAGATTTTATACGACTCGATATCAATTTGGAGCAAACTTAAAAATATATTCGAATCGAGGATGAGAGATAAGAATGATTACTCTTTTGACAATATAAAAGTAAATGCTATGAATAAATTTAAGAATTTTAAAAAAATTAAGTAAAATAAGGAGAATCATTTTAGCCCCAAAATAATCAAATTTTTTTTTTTTTAAGAAACTAAAAATGGGAGAGGTTGTTTTGTTTGTGGCAACGATAGGAAAGCTGTAATGGCAATGATAGCAGAGCTGCTGCAGACACAGAAGGCCACAGCGTAGGGTTATCCCTCGACGGTGACGAAACGAGTTGGCTACGATTTGGTCGACGGCAGAAAGATTAGGACGCCGAGCAAACCCAAGAGCTAGAGAGGGCAAGTCGGCCATTAAAAGAGAGGCAAAAATGGTATTGTACGACCAAACATCACCGGGGAGATCGACCCCTCGGATGTGGCAATTGGTGAGGAGGAAGAACTAGTCTTGGTGAAGCGCAATGGTGTCATCGGTGCTCCGAAGGAAGACGGGATAGTCCAATGGCCTGAGTGAGAACCAGCAGGAAGGGGTCCGATCTTTGAGCAGTAATGATAGATCGAATGAAGTAGGGCAACCAGATCCACCACGGAGAACGCCTCCGTCCGCCTCGATTTAGTGGTGAGGAGGATGCCCTGGACGACGGACTTGAGGGCGCGAACGGAGGTGGAGTCGAGCCAAAGGAGGAAGCCCAAGGGGTGGAAGAGGGGCTCGTTGCGGCAGGTGATCGCAAGAGCGAAGATGGCCGTAAAGAAGGCGGCGATTATGTAGACGACATGATTGAACGAGATAGGCAGGATCCAAAGGGTGGCATTGCCACAGACGATGGAGAAGCATAAGATGATGCCAAGTAAAGAAGAAGAGGGATCCGTCGACATATTAGATTGCTGGTGTTCGCCGAGAGGAGCGGGCACTCAACAACACTTGGGAAGAGAGCGCTCGAGCCCCCATGAGCGTACCGGCCCTGAGGGTTAGTCGAACGCTTCCTCAATGAAAGATTTTGGATTGCTGCTAAGATGTGATGAGAAAGATTGATTAAGTTTAATTGACGTGAACTATATTTAAGAGATTTTCTCAATGAAACAGAAGTGGCCATAACTTATTACTCATTTTAAATTATTTTTCTTACATTGATTTATGTACTTATTTATTGTTATTATATTTTTTCATCTTTTATTTAACTATAAAATGATGAGTTAATGTGTTGAATAGATCGATAAGGGCAATCGTTCCGCTAATAGCAAAAGGGATCGATGGATGAAAGATCATCATCGCGAGATTTGAGGAGTTAACAGGCAAAAAAAAAATGTTAAAACCAAAATGAAAAGTACATGGGATAATCTCAAGGATGATTGGAAAAGATGGAAATAGTTGCTAACTAGAATGGGATTCTAGGGGGAAAAATCTATTCATGCAAGTGATGAATGTTGAGAGAGAAAGATTCAGGTTCTTTTGCTTTTTTTTTTTTTTTGTGCTTTCTTAATGTGATATTTAGGATACAGCTAACATGAATGTTCTTTTATTGTAACTAGCCAATGGGAGATGTTACTTGGAATCGTTCCCAAGGTTTGACTACTAATGAGCATATTAAGGTCACACCCCTTGACAGCGTGACGATGGTTCAAGATGTTCAAGAACCTAATCTATTGATTTGACTACTAATGAGCATATTAAGGTCACACCTCTTGATAGTGCGATGATGGTTCAAGATCAAATGATGACCTTCAAAAACCTAATTTATCGGACAAAATCGAGGAAGCTAAGTGATTCTAAGGGTAAAAAAAGAGTGAGACAAAATAATAGTAAAAAAAAAGTATTAGCATAAAATTTGTAATATATTATATGTAATGTGAAAAAAAAAATTTGTTAAGATTGAAATCAAATAATATTATATCGATTTTTACGATGCGTACCTTTTGATATCATATAAAATAGGATCACTGTAATCTCTCAACTACATCCTCTATAAGATGTTCTTTAGACCTTAAAGGTTTTATCTATTTATAGACGACAACAGAGGGTCTAGGATAAATTATTATGAGAGTTCATCTCATCAAAGTCATCCCCTAAAAAATTCAACTATAATATGAACTTCTTTTCTATTGACCAATAACCATAATCAGAATCTAATCAAATATATAATATATATTATCTAATTAAATAAAATTATATAATAATAAAAAAATTAACAGGAGCAACTAAGCTATCAAATCAAATCGATAAACTTTGTTGAAGTACTGTCGTATCTTGTTCTATGGATGATTTGGAATCAACAAACATATAAGACGCTCGTATGTGATTTGAGCACTATATCTGAAATCACAAAAGATCATGAGTTATTTCACTTTTCGCTAACCCATCTCAAAGATCAGAATAATCGTTTGACCTTCAGAGCTTAAATAGTGAATTCCACAAAGTTGGATGGCTCAAGAATGTGCACAAGTGGCTTAGCTGAATAGGTTAGAGTTGGGAACTATCTTTATCTTTATGTTTGGTTTGTGAATTATGTTTTGTTTTTATTTTTTAGTTGTGAATTATATGTCTTTATTGTAAGTTGTGAACTGCTAATTTATCCTATTGTAACATTCAGCTTCCTCTGTTGAAATATATATGGATGATTCTCCTAATAGGAAGCATGAAAATGTGGAGAAATTTTGGCAACTATCGTCGAGTGGTGTAAATGCTGTTAAATCTTATTATTCGACATACATTTATAAGGAACCTTGCATGACCTCAAATCATACCAAAAGTGTATGGTTAATGGAGTTGCTATATGAACATGCAAATGGGAATAGATGTTATAATATGTTTAGAATGGAGAAACATGTCTTCGGAAACTTATTGAATATGGTCTTAAAGGATCTAGGAGTTTTGAGGATGCCGAAATGCTTGGTATGTTTCTTCATATTTTAGGACATTAAATAATAATAAGTTAGTCTAAGAGAAGCCATAAGCATGAGCTTTGGTATGATTTTGCAAAAATATATGACATGGAAAAAGATTTGATCCAATCATCTGAGCCATAATTTACATACGTTCCACTAAAGATAACAAATGATCCAAAATATTGTGGTCATAGTGGATTAACACTCCCATTATGGTAGATCAATACTCCCTCTATGGTGGTCAAGCTAAGGCCCACTGCGATGGAGCCCCAATCCGACGCCCTCTCTTGGGAGCAGTAGAAGGAGAGCCCACCCCTTTCCTCCTAAAGCAAAAAGAGTGGTAGAAACCTCCTATAGTGGAAGAGGAGTATAAAAATAAATAGAGAAGAAAACTTCTTGAAGCAAAAGGGGAGGTAAAAAATTATAGAGGAAATGAACTTTGGAGCGGAAGGGGGAGACCGAAGAAAAAAGAAAGGACCTACTAAAGCAAATCCTCCGGCTATGGCGATTGAAACCATATTCACTATGACAAACCTCTTCTCCCGCTATGACGATCAAAGCAAAATCTACTACAGTAGACCCTTACTCCTACTATGACGGTCGAGATAAGATCCACCATGGCAGATCTCTACTCTTGCTATGGCGATCGAGGCAAAATTTGTCATGACGGACCCCTACTCCTGCTATGATGGTCCAGACGAGATCTGCCATGGCGGATCCTAGACCCATCATAGTGATCATCGACAAAAACCCGCTACAACGGATGAACCTGATATCAACACTCGGGAGAAACCATCACGAGAAGCACGAAGCCACTACCAGGCAGCACTCGTAGCTCAACACACTCAAATGGGACAGGACCATGCAAATGAGATGCCTCGAAACCTCTATTGAAGCCCCGAAGCACGCCTTTTGAAGAAGATAAATGATAAGGAAAATAATGATATTGCTAAGTCGCCTCACCACCTGACCTAAGGAAGCCACCTAAGTAGAGCTATGGGGAGGCCTGCTGAATCCCAATGGTATGGCATAGCTTCCCTAACCTTACCCTCCGGACAAATGTAGGGGGCCATCCCTTGCCTATTATCCCGAATAGGCTAAGAACCCTAACAAAGTATATCATCACGGGCATCCTTCTCTAACACCATCCTTCTGAAGACACATTCATCAATTGCCACTATCAATAATCCTTTGATAAGGTAAAGGACACAATAACTATCGTTTCCCTCACGCCACTAACTGCTCAGATATAAGACACAAGACCTCAAGCCAAACAGGTGCAAACGGGCTCTATCTTAACTCTTTTGAGCTCTACTAAATCTCATTCACTTGCTTTACTGACTTGAGCATCAGAAGAGTTGAATCGGGATATCTCCCATCATTGACCACCTGTGTACGACCCAAACGTATTTAAGGAGCATCTCAGTGTGATGTAGAGTGCTTCTGGACAAGGCCAGGGCACCCCTCGGGGTAATCTCGAACTTCCTCCAACAAACAAATCGTATCTCGAGAGAACTACGAGTCAATTGTTGTAAGCTATCAATACTTCAGGAGTCCACTTGACACCTCATCTACCCACTTGGACCACCTCACCTACCTCGACGCGCACCACAGGATAGACTCGTGCCTTCACGATCGAATCAGACCATGTTAACTCTTTGATCAACGGTATCAAAGCAATAATAATACTTAATAAATACTTCTATTGCACTAGATGGTACTCACATTCCTGTTGTGGTTCCTGTGTATAGAAAATTCCAACTCAAAATATATTAGCAATATATAATTTATATATGTTTGGGCTGGTTGGGACGACAGTGTTCACGATACTCGCATTTTACATGAAGCCTCCGGAAGACACGATTTACATTTTCCTCGTCCTCATCCAAGTTCGTTACTAATAGTTTAGGATGATAATGTTGAATGTATTTTATGTATTTATTATATTATATTGTTCTTGCAGGTAAATATTATTTGGTAGATGCTGGATATCCTAATCCAATGGGTTATTTAGGGCCATACAAAGAAGTCAGCTATCATTTGTCTAAATTCCAATGAGGCCTTTGACCTACAAGTTTTCAAGAAGTGTTCAATCGTGCTCATCTTTAGCTATATTCAAAAATTGAGCAAGCCTTTCGGTGTGTCAAAAAAGAAATAAAAAATATTGAAGAATATGCCAAGCTATCATATCCATTAAAAAAAAAGCAAGTGCAAATTATGATTGTGACGATGACTTTACACAACTACGTAAGAAGAAATACCATTAATGATACTCATTTCGTTATTGTAATTGATGATTCTAATGATGTAAATGAGGGTAGTACAAAATCTAATAGAAATATACCATATGATATGAATAATTTGCATGATCAAATAGTCGCCAACTTAATTAGTAATTTATTTTAATATAATGATATGATTTATTGCATTTATATGATTACGATTTTTATTTGTTATTTATTTAGGTCATACATGTGTATGTATGTGTGTACGTACAGTATGGATGCTGGCTGTCGTCGGGCGGCGACCTCATGCTCCTGGTCAACGTTCCGGCCTCCAACAATCCCCACCGCATCGTTTGGGTGAGCTTCTTGACGAGTGTGTTGCTGTCGATCGTCGTGAAGTCTGGCAACGCTGCGAAGAAGGCGTTGCTGATCCCCTTTGCAGTCCTCGTCACTGCAGCTACCTTCCATGTCACCGCCGGACTCCCGGTTGCCTCCTTCTAAATCATCTCCACCTCCCATCTGGAAGAACCACGGAGATGTGTGGCCATTCTGAGCTGCAAAAAGTCGCACAACGCAGTCGTCGTGGCCTCATGTAATTACAGTGTCTTATGTCTATTTCTCGTGCTGGTCCTCTCTCTGGAATTGGAAGGATGTGATTTGAACGTTCTACATGTGAATATGACGTACAACATTTGGTTGCGGTTTTGTCAGGCTGCAAATATAATGGTCATTTGGTTAAGCACCCGTTAATGGCCATCTGCTCCACATTTTCCGACTTCTAAACGCGATGAGCCTTTCCTCCGAATCGAACGTAGTCATGTATTATCCTTATGACAGTAACTTTACCGCTGCCTGGATGCATTCTTTTACTGGTTTCTCTGGTGGATGTGCAGCCACGTTTTAGTGGATGAACGGAACCTCTGTGACCCTAATCCTAATCTTTTGCGGATTCCTCGAAAACCTCTCTTGCATACGACCGGCGCTCCTCGTTTTACTTTCACCACGCCCATATCGTTCCATTTCATTGCTGTTGCCATCCATCCTTCGATGCTCGCCCCTCCAAACAAAACGTGACCTTCTCAACGACGAACTGTTATACTTGCGTACAAACGAAAACAGAAGATGCCTTAATTTGCCGTCAGAAGTTGATCTTTGTTTGTATGTGTTTTTTTTAGTAAAAACTTAAAGGAGAAATAATTCTTATATACACTACTATTCTTTATCTACATATAGTTTCCTTTTCGTTATTAGAACATCATAGAGATCGAAGCAAAGATGAAGAAGAAGATGGTGGATGGCGGCCCCTGTGGAGGCTGTTGGGAGACAGCAGCCAACGCGGTGGCCGTGGCGACGGCGCTACTGATGGTCGCCGTGGCGTTGGATTGCTTCGTGACCAGGCTGTGCCTGGGCGTGGGTGGCTCCCTTCACGTCATCCCCCTCACGCACGACGCCGCCACGAAGAAGCCTGTTGCGGTGCTTGCATTCCCTTGTGTGGTGCTCGCCGTCGCGTGCTTCGTCAAGGCGCAAGGTTTCACGCCGAGAGTTCGAGATACCAGTAACGGCGGCCGCGGGAACGGAAAGGTTGACGTCTGCTTTGGCTGAGAGTTGGCGGAAGGCAGCGAACGTCGTGTGGGCTGCCGCGTCGTCGAGTGCTGGCGCAGGATTCAGCCGAGGCTTTGTTAGAGAGGCTTTGAAGACAAAAATCTTGCACTAGTTTCGTTCCTGATTTATTAGGAGATGAGAACTGCGGAATTACATTTATTTCAAAGGGATATTTATGATTCCAAAATGACGAAGGCTTCGTTATGGTATGATGTATGAAATCATCCGAAGCACACACATTGAATCGTTCTCCCACCACCCGAAGTATAGAAAGAGAGGGGGATTTTGATCGACCAGGCCGGTGGACAATCTTGCCGGCCCATTATTTGTACGACGTAGCTACATCTGTTGTGACAGCATCAAATTATTTGGTGTTCGATACATTCCATTTAATTTTAACATAATTAAGGTCATTTATTTTTTATTTTCTAAAATCGTGTTTAAATCAAATATTGTATATGAAAAGTTTACAAAAAATAAAAAAAATCACAAATACCATTTTAAAGCGACAAAAAGGGACATAGTACATTATTTATGCATATATGTATATTATAAACACTGTATCGAACAGGCTTATATCGGATTCCTCATCCTCCGAATGCCATCGATCAATGGATCCTTCCAAAGCGGTCTGTTGGGGTCAACGGAGTGGCTTGCGGGCCACAGCGAACTGAGCACAGGCTTATTGGTGGGCTTCATCACTGCACTTGTCCTGCGGTTGCTTCTGTTTTCTTTGCTCACCGCTACTTCCGTGTGATATACGCAGCCGAAAGCGACGACGCCAACTTGTCCGTCGTCGGTTTCCACTATAAAGTTTTGCCACCCGCCCTCTTCGTTTTAGGCTATAAATTGCAAGGATCACAGAGCTCCGGTGCCATTGTCACCATCGACAAACCGAACCGAGGGCTTCGCCTTTTCGTTTCCTCGTCTATGGTCTCTTTCTCTCTCTCTCTCTCCAACTACAACACGGAACTGAATTGAGGGTGGAGAAGCGCCTGTGCTTCCCCTCTCTCTCTCTCTCTCCAATTCCAACACGCAAATGAATAGTTTATAGGGTTATTTACAAGAAGCACAAAGAAATATTGAACACGATTCCTACGATTGATATGCGCTGCTTCTTATGCCATGGGATTACTTGGGCGCCAAGATAATTAGATCGAGTTCCGTTAGTCCTCATCACTAGATCAACGTTCACACGCAGCGGCACCGTTACTAAAGCCACCGAGGCAGGTGCGCATCCGCTGCATAGCGTTCTGCCATCACCGCCCCTCTTCATCTGCTCCCTCCACTTCCGGCCTCGACTCGTATCTCGTCCGAGTGTTCCAGATGGCCGGCACGCGAAGGGGGGGGCAAGGCCGCGGGGTAAACGAACACGGTAGCCCACACCTCCGCCTACGACTATTCCTCACAGCTCCCTTGTACGTCCTCCCTCTTCCTGATCTTTTGTCTCCCAGAAGTCATCGCGCATCGGCCTCCCCAAAGGCCTCTCGCCCAAATCCCCTTCCCGTTTGTGTCCGTGCGATGAGATTCATCGACGGATCCGTCCGCCGGGAGCAACCGATGGCCGGCACGCCAAGGGGGGCAAGGCCAGGGGGTAAACGAATACGGTAGCCCACACCTCCGCCTACGACCATTCCTCTCTCACAGCTCCCGTGTACGTCCTCCCTCTTCGTGATCTTTTGTCTCCCAGAAGCCATCTCACATGGGCCTCCCCAAAGCCCTCTCGCCCATATCCCCTTCCCGTTTGTGTCCGTGCGATGAGATTCATCATCGGATCAAGCGATGGCCGGCACCGTCCGCCAGGCCGTGATGTTGACGCACGCCCATCACGCCTCTCGATCGCTGATCCGCCGCCGGGAGCAAGGAATGGCCGCCGGGAGCAACATCGCCGAAGCGGTGATGTTGACGCACGCCCATCACGCGGATCACCGGGAATCGGCTTCGTCAGGTCAGATCTAACGACAAAGCAGAATAATCAAACCGATTGCTTCGTCAATAAGGCATCCAATACTGACGCCGAAAGTCACGCTAACGTGATGGCGCACCATCGATTGCTTTATTTTTTTGGTTAGGTGTGTTTCCCCTTCAGTCTGTCTATCTCATTAAAGTTTGCATAGTTTTATGTCCTTTCGCTCTGTTCTCCTGCCATTGACGAAGTATTTGAAATAAACCCTTTTTTACTCAAAATTCTTTTTTCTTCCTAATCCCTGAAATCATGCGTTCCAAGTAATTAATTACATCCATATGTTGTTTCTCGTTTGAGCGTCCAAAATTATGATTGTGTTTACTTTTTCAATTTATGGTAGTTGAGATTATTTTGTTAGGTAACGATAATGAAGTTTATTATTTTTCTTAATTTTGATGATGCCTTGTATTTGTAATGTAGGAAACGGGTCAGTCTCCCCGACAAATGGCATCGGATGCCCCGTCAATTCGTGAAGGGGTAGTTTTGAATTTTAGTGCCTCAATAATGCAGCCCTGACACGACACGTGAGGCTGACAACTTTTGCGTAGCTGCAACGCAACTTCGATTGATAGCATTATTGTTGAGCGACTTTGCCAAGGCTGCCAGCGTTATATAGCGGAATACCGAAACATCACACATACAAAAACTGCGAGGATCGGGTGATGCGGTGGTAGCTGACGTCACACGGTTCGCTAGAGTTATGCTAGCCTGATGCTCTTTGTCGACGATGGATAGAGCAAACGACTCGCAATGGCTTCCGGCGCTCGGCTTGGCGTTCCTGACATACAACTCGGCCGCGGCGGTGTACCGCTCCGTCGACGACCCATGGGCGGTCTCGTTTGTGGTCGTCGCCTACGTTGACCTGCTCCTCCTGTTCTGGTGCCTTCGCAAGTTCGAAAGGTCTACCGAGAGCAACCGGGGTGGGTTGAAGGCCGCCGTGTGGTTCCTTGCCACGCTGCTCACGGGCATGTTCGCCCACAAGGTCGCCGCCATCATGCCCTGGCCCGTCGCTGCGATCGTGTACTGCATGGCGGCCGCAACCGCCGGTGGTGGGTTTTGGGCCTTCTTTATCTACCGTGAGCCAGTTGATCTGTCCAACGACGCCAAACCGTCCTCAAATTACCGTGTGCCAGTTGATCTGTCCGCCGACGCCAAACCATCCTCGAATTAGTGTGTTAAACGCACTATGTATCTCTTCTATGTACACTTAATAGCTTGCTATTATCGAAGTTTCCCAGCTACGTATATGAGCTTCACCATTACCCAAACAAAAATCTCTCCACACCAAGTTTCGCACCCAAATATCTGCTACGTGGAAGCACATCCTCCGAACTAAAGCACTGCTTTTTAAAGGTTATGAATAAATAATAATTAAGCTTTATGCGTCGGCTTTCGGTTGGTGATTAGCCACAACGTTTCCCTCTCCCTCTCCCTCCCATTATAATTCAAAAATAATTTAGAAGGTGCAAAGACTAAGAATCGGAAGAAAAAAAATGGAAAATAAAGAATGAAAGAAAAAACTTCATCTTCTCCGCGACTTCGAACGACTCCTACGAATCTTCAGCAAGAAATGGTGATTCGCAAGCTAACTGAACCAAATATCGTAAATTTAATTAATGGGTATATTAACCTAATTTAAATGGATAATATGGGAATAACAAACTCTCATACGATTTTCTTAATAAGCTTCTATTTTTGTGCCTTTTTTTGGGAAAAGTATTTATATTTTTTTATTTTTTCGATGATATCTTTTATAACCTCATAAATATTTCTTGTCATCGTCATCTAAGATCAACACTCTTGCCTTATCCCTTTGCGCCTCTGTTTTTTTTGGCACTCGCACCTTCAAGAAAGATATTTATAAAATAATAAAAGAAAAGGGAGCATCAACTAAAATAAAGAAAATAAAAGTCACCATCAATTAAAACAAAGAAAACGAAAGTCGTCATTCAATCCGAACAAATTCGCTCCCGAAAAAGTCTATCATCAATTAAAATAAAAAAAAATGAAAGTTGCCATTCAAGCCCGAAAAAGTCATCATCAATTAAAATAAAAAATAAAAGCCATCATTTAAGCTCATTATGAATCCCTAACTTCCTTATGGGAAAAGAGTATATCATTTAGTTTCATATTAGTTAAGAAGTATAGGAATTAAGGGTTCAGTAAAGTCTCTCTATCCTTAGAAATATTTTTTGAAATTTACATATTTCGAAGGGATAAAATCTGAAGATAATTTTAAATATAACGTGATGCTACATATTCTTTTGTAATTTTTTAATTCACTTTATTCGAATATTCCATTTGTCGGCCATAACTTAACTTTGATTACGTTATATCAAATAACTTTAGTTATTAAGTATAATAAAAATGACAAAAAATGAATATTAGTATTATCGGGTATGATTTTAATATGTTCTGCGAGAGGACGAGACTAAAGGCGTGTGCGACCAAGTCATGGGCTCTTGCGCGTCAAACAAGCCAACGGACGGCCAAACTCCCACAAGGGCACGTCAGAACGGACCCTTAAAGAATTGTGACATGAAAGACTTGAAGGAATGAGGACGCGCTCTTTATTAGTTCATGTAGCCTACGATTGTAGCTTGTCGTTTGGCTTTGCAGAGGAGAGACCGAGATTCCCAGCAGCTTAGCGCAACCCCCCTCGACACACCATCGTCCACCGCCAACACGGACCACGATGCCGACGCCCGGTTATCCACCCTGGGACTCGCCGTCCTGACATACAGCTCCGTCACGGCCGTGTACCGCTCGAGGGACGACCCCTCGGCCGTGGCCTTCGTGGTCATCGCCTACGCCGACCTCCTGCTCCTGCTGCGCTGCGTTCGGTGCTTGGAGGGAGGCACCGCGGCGGACCGGCCACGGCTGAAGGCCGCAGTATGGTGTCTCGCCACGCTCCTCACCCTGATGTTCTCCTGCAAGGTGGCGGCCATCATGCCGCGGCCCGTGGCGGTCATGGTGTGGAGCATGGCGGCTGCGGTCTGCCTCGGCGGCTTCTGGGCTTTGTTCCTCTGCCAGGAGCCGTCCTCACAACGCATCGCAAAATAATAGCACACGTTCCGTGTGATTGCTTCCTCCCATGGATGCTGTGTACGACATATGTTGCATCAAATAAAGACTCTCTTTTTCTCAGGCATCGGCCTTTACTTTTCTTTGTTTCGATTGCCTGAACAAGTGACGCCGATGATATGAATCACGGCGAAGTATTCGTCAGGAGAAGTAAGGGGTCCAAATAGGCTTAAGAGATCGAAGACGAACAAAGATGCTTGGCATCTAATTAACCTTCTCTTGAGCCTCTCAAATTTCATAGTAAAAAAAGATTTATTTATATAAAATATTCATATGAGATGAAAGAAAGAGAGATTCATAGGATAGTTTCATTAAATTTAATATTAAAATATGATGATAAATCATTAAAGTCTTAATCAATTAAGTGGACAGCTGAGTTACTAATACCCTAAAATTGCTACATAATAATATATTCATCGTCGTCGTGGAGACTAATGTGATAGAGACCAGCGATTGCGCGCCTCGTTAATGTCACCTACAATTTAATACCCCGCCACGCCGGTCGACATGACTCCGTCGGCACAAACTGCCAGATCGCCCCACTTGTAATGAAATAGATGAATTAGATGTTATAGTGACGCCCCACTTGTAAATGAAATAGATGAAAAGGAGCTGATGACTTCGACTTCGATATGCAACACTGGTTTTTGATATGACTCAATGGTGAATTGGCTATTAGTTGGTACATCCCAATCCAGTAGAAGTTGTGACATTGACCGCCGGATTGACTGCAACAACAAGTTGGGCGATATTTGTGTTCCTTTTTAGCTCGAAATAATATTCTTATTTATTATAATCTCCAAAATATTTTTCTAACAATATAGCTAAAGCAACACTTGTCAGAAGAATGAGTCAATCTTCTAATTCATTAATTATAGTATTTTTATATACTCATAATTTTTTATATAACTTAATTATTTAAATTAAATATGTAAAATATTGTTACATGGATTCAAACTAAAAATTTATTAAACTTGTAATATTATTGCATCGAGGATGTCTCAAGTAAAAAAAACAAAAAAATCCTACCTTTTGACTTTTCTTTAGAAATATAATATCTTTTTACGTGAGCTGAGAATAATATTTGTGCTTCGCGAAGGAGAATTCGATACGGCAGAGTGACTCTTTCTTCCCAACCCTCAAATTTGTCATTAGGCTGGCTGACCTATTGACAAAGTCGTGGAAGAATCGACACCAACACTCCACCTGATTTGGTCTAATGGGCTGTTCCGACCCACAAATGATGCCGAAGATGAACCGATACGGCCCAACCCATCGAACCCGTTACACGCTCGACCACTTGGAAGATTTCCGTGTACTTAATATACGTTGTTTAATCCGAGTGACATTTATATGACCATATGATTATAAATATACCTATGCACTTTTCCCAGAGAATTAAAAGAAATATAAAAGGGAAAAGTAAATAATGATAATATCAAGACAATTGAGATGGAAAGGAGGTCAGCGTGCAGCTCAACTCCGACCACAAACGTGGGGGAGCGGAGGACACCGAGTGTTCCGCACGTGAACTGTGCGGCGCTTGTGTCTCGGCCGAGATACGAAACACAAGAAATGGGCCCTCTGCACCATTGATTCCAACCGTGGGGCTCACCAGCCACCAACCAATAGGCGGCATCGGTAGACGAACACTGTGGTCTCCTCGGTTTCTTGGCCGTTCATCTCGAGTGGCCGATGTGGATTCCAAGTTGGTCCGCTCCGAACTGCACGCGTGTACAGTTGTTGCCCAGTCACCATCCGATAATTACCATAACGGTTGCGGCGAACCGGTCCAACCTGAACCCGCCGCGGTTCGTTTTCGATTCGGCCTAGCTCACCTGTCTCGGCCGTGTCGCCAGCCAGGAAATCTCATCTTCCTATTTGTCAACACGCCTGGGACCCACGGGTTCCGCAACAACAACCAATCGGACAACACTTGCGATTCGTGTTTTTGCGGGACTTCCAGAGTCGTCTCCAACCCGATATCCACCTCATGGGGCCCATTAATCGTTCCAATAAGCACGAGGGTAGGTTTGGGGTTGTTAAACCTCCACCACTTCTCGTATTCTCTCTTGTATCCGCGTCATCAACTCCCGGCGGAACGCGGCCAGCGCAATTATTACGGATAACGTCGTGGTCACCACATGGAAACAGCCACTCGCCACGTCTGTACTCATCCACTCATCCTTCCTTCCTTGCTTTTTTATACGTTAATCACATATATATATATTTACCAAATCACAAACTCGACTCGATATTACATAAAACCCATACACACACAAATGTGCGTGTTCTCCTCCTCTCGTCTCTCCTCTTCGCCGATTGCTTCTATTTGCTTTCTTTTCTTTTTATTTTTTTGGCCTTTCCGTCCACTAATTTTTTCAAGCAACGTATTAACATAAAAATTTATCCCACCATTTCCCACAGATTTTTTCCCCCTCCCCGTCTCACCTTTGTCTATAGCGAATAATGATCACAAACCCTTCTCTCATCTGATCTTTTATTTGAAGCGGCAATTCGGTACTCCTCCGTTTTGGTAGTATGTTATGAGGTGAAAGAAGCGATCTCCGCCGCGGCGGCGCGTATGGTGGCGCTGACGATTCCGTCGATCGGGCGTCGGGCCGAGAACACATCGCCACCATCGGCGGTGGCGGAGGTCATGGCGGGATGCTCACGCCGCCTCATCGACCAGTCGCTCACCGCCCGTTACTCCGATTGGATCGCGGAGGCCCTCGACGAGATCCAGGGCTGCTTCCTGATCACGGACCCGGGTGTCGCAGGCCACCCCATCGTCTTCGCCAGCCACGGGTTCCTCGCCATGTCCGGATACTCCCGTGAGGAGGTCCTCGGCCGGAACGGCCGGATGTTCCAGGGCCCTGCCACCAACCGGCGGTCGGTGTTGGAGATCCGCGAGGCGATACGGGAGGAGCGGACGCTACAGATCAGCTTGCTTAATTACCGGAAGGACGGAACGCCGCATTGGATACTATTCCATCTTTTCCCGGTGTTTGGGGTGGACGACGGGAGGGTGGCGCACTTTGTGGCGGTCCAGGTGCCGATCCCGAGGCGATCGAGGTCGTTGTCGGAGGCTAGATGTGGAGGAGCTAGAGGGAGGTTGTTTGGGGCGTGCCGGAACGAGGTTCGCTCCGACTGCGATTTAGGGTGTAATCTTGCTGCGGATTTGTTTGTGGATGTCGACAATAGAGGTGAATTCTGATTCCTTTTTCATGATAATAATTAAGAATTAGTTTAATTCCTCTCAAATTAATCTATTTTAGTTGAATTTTTGTTCCGTCACCGACCAATTGAAGATTCATCGCTTGACATTGTTGTGCTTCACTTACTGCATTTTTTGCTTGTTCTTATGTTATCGAATCTTAAATGACAGTGTTGGAGGCCTGAGTGGTCTGACGGGCAAATCTTATCAGAAACCAGATTGGTATAATGTTGTGCCAATTGCTCCCTGCAGGATTGGAGGCTGAAGAATCACGTGAAGCGAGCGAGCAAGAGAAAGAGAGGGCCTCAGATGCTGCCAACAGCATCCTGTCAGCTCTGACTCAGTATAGCAAGCTTACAGGCAGAGTGGTCAGCAGCCAGAGAAGCAGATTGGCTGGCATCTCCCCACTCAGTTCATCCCTTATTTTATCTCTTGGTAGAATCAAACAGAGCTTTGTACTGTGAGTTGTTACACATTCCTGCTGATATTGTTTTAGCTTAGCAATCTGGCGGAGCTTGGGGATTTACTTGTTGCTATGCTAATAGGGAAATCAATTAATTTCTTGCAGGACTGATCCCCAGTTACCTGACATGCCCATTGTTTACGCCAGCGATGAATTCCTAAGTCTGACAGGTGCTGTAAACCTACATTCTTTTATGATAGTTACATTTTATTGACGAATGCTGGATGATAATTATTACAATTTAAATGCAGTGTTTTAATCCAACATCCTTTTGAGAATTCAGAGTTCTCCTATAGTCCCATTTGTTTGCCAATATTGCTGGTTTCAATGACTTTTCCTCTTACTTTATCTTGTGCAATTTTCCACCTTTGATTGAAGTAGATTTCCTACCTAGTAAGTGTCAAGTGCAATGACCGAGCTACTAAGTATCTGCCTCTTTCCCTGAGGATCAACTTAACTGTAATTGAGGTAGATAAACAAATTTTGATTTGAAGTAAAGTTAAATGTTGAAGTGGATCCTGTGGTATGACTTGGAGCTTTTGGAGAACCTTGTGCATTAAAAATCAAAGCATGATAAGCATGCCTGAGAATGAAATGCAATAAACTAGCTTGTCTTGTTAGGTTACTCAAAGATGGTTGGCATGTCTTTGACATGCTGTTTGACCAACAAATTTTCAGACCACAACCTCATGGCCTTTGGAAGGTTTGTCAAAAGATCATATTGCATCCATTCAGTAGCTACTTCCATATCTGCTGGCAATCATATGTCAACTTATGCCCTTAAACTGAATTTTTGCTGCTTGGTTAGATTCTTGTGCAGCAGAATAGGAATATAAGACGCATAGCTGTCACTAGTAATTATCCCATGTTGCATTAACAGCTAGTCAACTTAATTGCTTAGTGCCATCTTTTGTCTGGTTCCGTGGTCAGTCTATGTGCTTCTGTATGCGATTTTTTCTCAGTATGATAAAACCCAACATTTTACCCGAATGGTAGAATGGGCACATCTTTTAAACAATTGCCTTTATCTTATAGGTTACTCAAGACATGAGATATTGGGACACAACTATGAGTTCTTGAATGGACCTGATACAGAAGTTGAGGTGTTACATCAGGTAGATACTAGCAACCATCATCTTATGGATCTTATTAAACTTGAGCCTCCCTCGTGTATCCACAATGCACATCCTAACACTTATTATTTGTTGTTATAGATAAGGCAAAGCATTCAGGTCGAGTGTGCTTGTACAGTACGTCTCCTGAACTACAGGTGCCTTTTTACAACTTGATGGATGAATGCTACAGGATTTAGAATTTCATTTTACGCATAGATAGCAACACTGTGATGCCACTTTTTCAGGAAAGACGGAAGCTTGTTTTGGAATCTACTTCATGTATCACCTGTGCGGAATGCATCTGGCAAGGTATGTAATTAATAATCAAGCATCCTCTTTGTTTGATTTTTCTTTTTCTAGTATTCTACTGTGAACTTTACCCTTTGGAATTCTTGCATGCTTGCATCTGGGAGGAGATATAGAACTTATTAACTAGTGCATCACCCCTTCCTCATTCTCGTCACTGAAACTAAACTGTAGAGTAATATTCTTTTAACATGGGTTTATTCTGAGTCTGTTGTTCCTGTCTTATGTGACGTTGCCACCTCACTCATGAAGAGTCACTTCCCTCCACCCGTACGCACTGTGCCAATAACCATAAGGCTAACAACCTTGTTGGTGAATTACTTGGCTTTACTTGAATATAGTTTGGTTTCTCTTACCATATAAGAGGCAAGAAAAGAATTAAGATCTACATTAAAACGTTATAGTTCCGCATTTGCAGGTAGCATTTTATGTTAACGTTCAGATTGATGAGAACGCAAAGAGTGATGGCCTTGGTTTGAGCCCACATATGAGACAGCTTGGTGTTGTGGGTGCAGTGAAGGTTGCAGTGAGGAGTTTGTCATTGTGCGCAGGCCCTTCAAGGCCATCTTCGTAGGATTATTAGTTTCCTTTTCACAGGCATAATATGTTTTGCTAGATCTAATTCTCTTTAGTTCACACTCAGTGGTTCTGTTCCTGTCCATATGAAATTACTGTTTCAATGAAAAAAAAGTTCATTAGCAGTGCGCTGCACATTAGAAAGTAAAAAGCTCGGCAAGTTACGAGTTGTGCTCATATGTTGTGGTCTATCATTGATTTTTCTGATCATCTGTGAAGCATCTCTTTGGAGGTACCAGCTCCAGAAAACTCTCTTCATGCATACTATTACTCTTTGTACTTCATAACTCTAACGTCTTCAATATGGATGATCGATGTTGCATAATCCCATGCCAATCAGTCTAAAGATGCAGCCACTTTCCAGGGTTTAGGAGGTCAACCGTACCCGTATCTCCTCGACAAACACAGATTGTTGATAGAGGGTTGGTTGTCAACACATTGTTTTGGTGCAGAGTAACACAGTCGTGTTGGGGCAAATGTTCTAATCACTGTGGATCAATCTATTTATGAGACTCGTATGATGTAATCGATAGGCTGATTTGAAACATGTTCAACACAATGAATCTGATCATTTGTCAATTTAGATTAGTCGTACCAATCCCAAATTTAAAGCCTACCAGTTGCTAGCTAATGGGATGAATCACATCGACCCAAACTCCTAGAGAGCCAATCCAAAGCTGAAACACCCCTTCTTTTCTAATTTTCCTTTCCTTCTTAGAAAATATCTAAAGGAGGCACTAAATTATTTCCACCAAGCCATCAATCAAGAGACGTCAAGTGTGGATTGAGAGAATGACACACAAATATCATCCAAGTCTGCGGCCAGGAGAGATGGAAGATCGTATTACCAATCAGCGGGCCCACCGAACCAGAATTGAGGCTGGCCTGCTTTGGGTGACGGAATAAATTAAATACAATAAATACACAATTTATATTTCGGATATATATCCTTACGTATAAATTTAATGTATATTTGTTATTTTGACTCATTTTTATTATTAATATTCTTTATGATGGTAAGATTATTAAGATTACTTTATATTATATATATATATATATAATTAATACTATCGAAATTAGAATATTAAGATAAATATGTTGAGTTATAAAAAAGATATAAAAATATTTTTATTTATAAATAATTAGATATCATTTTAATACAAAATAAGATGAGAAAAAATTTTAAAAAGATAAAATAATTAATATTAATAGTATGAAAAAAAAATGTAAGTATCTTAAATTTAATTAAATATATAATTTTTACATATGTTAATGATATTAAAATATTTATTTAGTTAAATTTAAATAGTTAAGATTTATGATTTTGTTGTTGTTGTTATTGTATAGTGCTATTTATAGTTGATTTAGGTGTTTTAATATCATGTATTACGATTTATAAACCTAAATACGCTATTTCTAATTTGTATAAGGATCGATGTAAATAAATAACAATAAAGCCACGCCAAACACGACCGCGTATTTCTAAAGCCTTTTTTTTTCTCCGAAATCTCCGGAAAAATAAGACTTTCCTCGCCCGACTCCGCCTCTCGCTCTCTCCGATGGCGCTCTCCGCCGGAATCCCTGGCCAGCTCCTATGCCACCTGCGCTGCACAGAGTCCCGCAACACCGCCGCCCTTCGTTCATCCGTCAGGTTACCCCGCGATCTCAATCGCAGGAATCTAACTCGCATTCGTTTGTCGGCTACTTCAGGTAATGGTTGTCTTTGATTCTACTAATTGAAGAGTTCTTTTGTCAGTTGATCTGTTAGTCTCTGTTCCTTTCCCCTTATGAATCATCTGATCGCATGGAAAAACTTTCCCTTTTTGATGTTTGTCCAGTAATTTCCGGTTGTAACCACAAATCTTAGCTTGATTATCTCTCTGTTGATCTGGAAGAAAAAGTTTGTATTGTCTTTTTGATCTGAAGCCGGAAAATTTTAGGGTTTTCTAGACCTTTGGTTCTGAGGTCGACGGAATTTTTAGAGGTTTGAGATAACTCTCCAATTGTTATCTCGACTTTCGGAAAACACTTATTTGACAGTCTGTTACCCTCCAATTGGGGTTTCCACTAATTCGAAGAACAGAAGGGAAGAGATTACTACTAAACCATCTCTTAATTAATTGCATAAAAAAATGGTCTGATGGCCTGACGAACATTTGTATACATAGGAATTATAGGAGGTAAGCTAATCTCATAAGCCAATGAAATGCTACTAAAATAGGAATAAGATCTCTCAAAATATGAATCCTGATAGTAAAATTGGTCACTGAACATGTATCATCCTGGATTTGATCTTATGCTAATCTGCATAAGTTCTACTAACCATAATGTTGCTTTTCTTGGAGGAGTCATTTGGATCATTTATATATGAGAAACTTGGCTCTCTTTAACTCCATTTCATTATGTAATAGGGTGTTGCTTTTTTTCGAGGAGCCATTTGGATCATGTATATATGAAAACTCGGTTCTCTTTAACTCTGCTTCTTTATGTAATGTTTTCTGCACAATATCCTTCTTTGAGCTACTCTGTATGCATTTACTGAGTTAGGCAAAGGCAAACTTGGGAATAACAATATTGGGTTCAAGGGGACTCATTTTTCAGATTGAACATGAAGAGTCAGGCTGCATGAATTCCAAAGAATAAGATTCTGCACTGCCGTATGTTTATGATGCATGTTGTCCTTCTCCCTTTTCTCTTTTGGTGTTTTATGATGCAATTTTCCAAATATTCATCCTCCGCTTTAGGCCTGAAAGATTGTTTACTGATGCACCCAGGGGTTTCTTCCAATAACATGAATGTCATAAAGAAATTTCCTGACTACAACTCTTACTAGTTTCAACATTTGCTTTTGCTTTAAAGAGACACAACAAGCAGATAACCTTGCTGTCTCCATGAAATCTTTCGTTCCAGTTCTCTTATTAATTATTTTGGAGCCACAATCAGATGTAACAATCTTGTTCTATGTTCTAACAAACAAAAGAAAACATATCTCCAATCTAAACATCATATGATTTTTGCTACAACACTTGCATCCACATTCATATGGACCTTTATGTTTGATTTAATTGGAACAATATGAATGACTTGGTTTATATTCCCTCACTAATGAATTTGTCAACTTAGAAGAAAAGACGTGCAAACTCCATGTTTGGTTGTCCATATTTTATGAATGAAATATTGTCAACTCAGCTTTACTGGACCACTATTGCAACATCGGACATGTCATTATGATGCAACCATCTGACAGTTATATACTAAACCTTAATCTATCTTCTATCTTAATTATAATTCACTGCATAAATGGCTATTTTGTAAGATATTTTCTACATATCAAAATTTCTTTGTTGATGACATTCTCAGTTCAAATGTCCAAAATATGTTTTGGATTTTATTTCTGCCATTTTCTTTTATTGGGTTTTGGATTCCTAATTTTTTAGTCATATTGAACAATGTTTTCTTTTATTTGTTGTGCTAAGAATCACCTTCTTATCGTTGCACTTAAATGATACAGCAGCTCCAGCATCTGGTAGCTTTGCCCCTGCAATTTCATTAACTGAAAAAGCATTAAACCATCTGAGTAAAATGAGATCTGAACGTAATGAAGATCTGTGCTTGAGAATTGGAGTGAAGCAAGGTGGATGCTCTGGCATGTCATACACTATGGAGTTTGAAAACCGTGCCAACACACGACCTGATGACTCAGTGATAGAATACAATGGTTTTGTGATTGGTATGTTTCTTCCTTTCTCCTTCCCTTAGGATCTTAATCGGCACTGATTAAACTGTTGAGAGAAACCCAATAAACAACCAGATAGATCCATCGTCACATAAATCTATTTCATGCATAAATATGATTTTAACTTTCTTCTTTTCTTAGGAATTTATTTGGAGTATTATTAGAATAACCTGAATTCTGAGTAGGTCTTTCATTAGGTTTTTTTTTTTTAATTTCGTTTTATCTGGACATATATGGAACTGAAAACTGAAAATTTTTACATTCAGCAAGTAAGATTCTTTTAGTTTATGCAAACTAGTGGACCTCAAATCCTTATGACACTCTCTCAGCAAAGTCTATAAATTCATACCAAAGCTGTATTTAGTTCTTAATTAATATGATCAAGTAATATTCTAGCAATATTAACCGAGGAGAAAAGTTTTTTAGTGGGGTTGTAACTGATGATTTCTTTGCGCTGTTGGAGATGGATCTTATGGGAAAGTTGAAAATTCGAAAAATCTTTTAATGATAATGAGTAATCTTAGCATATTTGTATCTTTCAATAGTAGTTCAAATTATAAGAATCAGAATTAATGTGTTAGTGTGTCAAATAACATGGCCAATCACATATTAAATAATCTAATTTCTACTTTCGGTTTTGAGTTTGCAGTTTGTGATCCCAAGAGCCTACTCTTTGTGTACGGCATGCAGCTCGACTTCAGTGATGCACTCATAGGTGGAGGCTTCTCATTTAAGAACCCGAATGCAACACAAACTTGTGGCTGTGGCAAATCCTTTGCCGCTGAAATGTAAGCTCACATGACCGACTCCCCACAGCATGCAGTTGCTCTGATAAAAGCATCTATAAACTTGACATAGGAGCACGATTTTTACTAATCCTCTCTATATCTCTCTTCTTTCTGCTGTGACTTTTCTCCTCAAGATAATTCACTGTAAGTTGACATTTATATCGGTTCGGATTCAAGACATGCTGTGGCTTAAAAGGAATCAATTTACAAGTTAAAAAAAAAAAAACTCTAATTATGGGGCAAAAGGATTACATGAAATATTTTGTATAATCAAAAGGCTTAGCCTGGAAGATGTTTCAACTTTCTATCTTGCATTTTCTTTTTGTTGGAAGAACAAATAATATATTGAGATGCTAACAAGATGAAAGAAGTCAAAATAGTTATGAGGGGAAGATTATAAAAGTTCATAATTTATATGCGGTACAGAAATTATAATCTTAATATTTATCAAACGTTGATATCATCTCTACGCCCGCAATAGAGTCGATCCAAGAAATGCATCCTTGATGTCGTGAAGTTCCCTTATGACATCCTCCATTTGCATTCGCTCTTTTGGTGATCCTTTGGAACACGACACGCCAACTCTGAGCACCGAAGCAATGCACTCTACAGCTCTCATGCTTGATTCATTTGCCGATGGACTTGAACGGCATGCTTCTCCTTCTCCACCTCCCAGTGACAAGTTTGGGTCTATGATCTCAACAACATGTTTTGGAAGTGCCCTCTCAACGTAGCGATGAAGATTCAGACCTTCCTTGAACCCATCATCAGTAGGTCGCTTTGCAGTAAACATCTCCAGCAGGAGCATTCCGTAACTGTACACATCACCTTGCACTGAAACCTTATGTCCCATCCCATACTCTGTGACATGCACATCGTTCATCAATCTCCAGTGGTGAATTATCCAAAGGAAAAGCTGAGAAACACACCTGGAGCAGCGTAGCCGATGGACCCTTTCAACGTGACCGAGTTCGTCGATCTCTGGGATGACTTGCCCACGAACCTCGCCAATCCGAAGTCACCCACATGTGCCACCATGTCATCGTCCAAAAGCACGTTGCTCGGTTTAAGATCACAATGCACAATCGGGGTCGGAACATGGCGATGAAGATAATCCAACGCAGAAGCCACATCAATGGATATGTTCAATCTCTGCCCGAGGCTTAGCACTCTCGACGAACCCCGTTCGTCTCTTTCTGGAGGATGAAGCCACTCGTCCAGACTTCCACTGGGTAAGAACTCAAACACTAGAGCTTTGAAGTCATTCCCTCCGAAATCAACACCTGAGCACGATGTCAGTATCTTGACGAGATTCCGATGCCTGACGTTTCTCAGAGCTTCGCATTCGGCCATGAAGCTTCTCACAGCCCCTGTTTGCTGCAGGTTGAGTACCTTCACCGCCACTTCCTTGTGGTCTTCCCAATCCATGATTCCTCTGTAGGAAGATCCGAAGCTTCCCTTCCCAATCAGATTAGCAGGCGAAAATTCATTTGTCGCTCTGAGCAGCTCGGCAAAAGAGACCCTCCTGTGCTGCTCTTCGATGCGTGAGGTAACAGAAGAAAGCCTGCTTGACTTGCGTAATCGATAACAAGCAACCAACACGGAGATCAGAAAGGTGACGCACAAGATTCCTCCGACAACAGAGACGATGGCAATTAGCTTAGCAGAAGAAGATTTTTCCTCGGAAGGGCATGATGGCAATCTAAGTTCTGGAATACCCCCGCAAAGTTTCCTGTTCCCCACCACCGAGAATGCACTTGCATTTGCAAAAATCCCATCTTTTGGCACTTCACCGTCCAAATCGTTGTAGGAGAGATTGAGATACGTCATGTTAAAGCTCCCAAGAAAATCTGGTATATGCCCCGATAAATCATTGCTTGAAATGTCCAGCACTCGAAGCCCCTTCAACTGGCTAAACGACGAAGGAATGGGTCCCTGGAAATAGTTGCCTCCAATGCAAAGGATTTCGAGGACCTGGCATCCAGCAATTCCGCTGGGCAATCTACCGGATAATCTATTATCGGACGCATCGATACTTTGGGTGTTTCTCAAATTCCCAATCTCCGAAGGCAGGACTCCTGTTAATAAATTGCGCGAAATATTGAGTTTGGTGAGACTGGGGATGTCAAAGATCTGTACGGGCACCGTACCATTTAACCTGTTGGAATCAAGATTCAAGATATTTAATGGGCACTTTCCAAGGCTCGGAGGTATGGATCCATGCAGTTCATTGGTGGCAAGAACAAGAATGTTTAATCTAGTAAGGTTCCCGAGGGTTGCAGGGATTTCTCCCACCAAATGGTTTCCTCCTAAGTTTACTCTTCCTAATCCCGAAGGCCTTCCCAGCGTTGCAGGAATAGCACCGCCGAGAAGGTTGTACCACATCGTGATTTTGGTCAAGCTAATAAGATTCCCAATCTCTTCAGCGATGCTTCCTGCTATCTGGTTGCCTCCGATGTCTAGCTCTTCCAGAGATCTAGACAAATTGGCTATGGATTTTGGCAGCATGCCACTTAGATCATTTTTCGATATATCTAAGATTCTAAGGTGGGTGCAGTTGGCCAAGGAGTCCAAGAAACTCCACTCGGCCGCATCCCTTGCTTGTAGCCCATTGCTACCCAGAATCAATGCATCTAAACTATGCAAGGAGCCCAAACTCCTGGGAATGGTGCCAACCAGGTGGTTGCCACCCAAAACACATACGGTCAGATTCACTAGGTTCCCAATCTCGGATGGGATTGTGCCAGTGAGTTGGTTGTAATGAAGAAAGAGTGTGGTCAAGCTAACAAGATTGCCTATGTCGGATGGGATGGCTCCTGTGAGCTTATTACTCCACAGCACAAGCTGACGAAGAGAGGTGAGGTTCCATATTGCGGCAGGGATGTCTCCTACAAGAGTACTGTTTGACAGATCAAGATGGGCAAGAGAGGAGAGGTTCCCTACCGCAGCAGGAATAGCGCCGGTGAGTTGGTTGCCGCCTAGATAAAGTCCTGTTAAGCTTGCAAGATTCCCGATCTCAGGAGGAATGCCTCCTTGGAGGAGATTGTTCCACATGACGAGTTCCCGGAGCTTTGGAAGGGAGCCCAGATCGGTGGGGATGTCTCCTCGCAGCTTGTTCTGATCCAAACCGATGACTTGGAGTTCCGAACAGTTGCTGAGATTGCGTGGGATTGTGCCATTCATGTTGTTATGACTCAGGCTGAAGATTTGAAGTCTCGAACAGTTCTGGAACAGAGAATTGGGAATCATCCCACCCAGTTGATTGTTGCTAAGATTGAGAGTCCGAAGGTGGGATAGAAAGCCGAGCTCCTGCGGGATGGAACCCTCAAGGCTGTTGCTACCGAGGCAGAGTCTCCTGAGCAAGGTGAGGTTAGCCAGGGACGGAGATAGTTTACCCTCCAACTGGAGGGACTCCAAATTGAGGCCCGTGACCCTCGGTTCACCTCCGTGGGTGCGGCACGTCACCCCTCGCCACCGGCAGAAATGGAGGGAGGCGTTGTCCCAGGAGGTCAACGCGCCGGATGGGTCTGAGAGGAGGGTCTTGAAGGAGCGGAGCGAGAGACGATCGGTGGTCGATTCAGCGGTGGGAGTTGCAAACTGGGAAGCTGATGAGCCTGCAGAAGAAGAGAGCATGAGAAGCAAAAGCATGAAGGAGGATGGCCAAAGAACCCATGCAGATCTGAAGCACTCATGTCGTGTTTGCTCCATGCAAAGGATTCTTCCAACACCCGCACTCGGATACAATTTGGAAATCATCCACAGCAAATCTATATGTATACTAATTCAAAGTTAGCACACAAAATACTCGAAGTTTACTTGTCAGGACAATTTTTTTCTTGATGTAGTTTGTCGGGAAGAAAAAATTAGATTACAAGTCTTATTCAAAAGACTATTATGGCATATGGGTTTTATTAAAGTTAGTTCGTCTTAATATTGAATTCTATAAAGGCGTCAGAGTGGACTTAAAAGATTATCTTTTTTTTTTTTTAAGAACATCGCTGTGGGACAGTTAAGGCCATACATATGTAGTTTAGATTAAAGATTTTAGAACTATTACATTATGTAATGTCATATACAAATTACTCACCAAAGTTATTGCAAATCAAATCAAGTAACTTATCAATAATCTCATTATTCAGGAATAATTTAACATTGTTAAAGATAAAAATATTCATGATAATATTTTCATTGCTTTTGAAGTAATGCACTCTATACATTCTCCTAAAGCTTGATCTCGAAAAATTTTTTGACTTCATTTCTTGAGAAGTTATCAATCACATCCTTGGATGTATGAACTATTTCCATAAATTCATTCATTGGATTTATGCTATAGAGATCAATCCCAATAATTTATGAGTCACTGGGGAATAAGATAAGGAGACCATCTTTCACTATACATATTTATTATCATCCAATAGATTCTTTCTACTTTAATCATCAATGTTGTTCAGAATCAAGAGTATCACTCCTGTTAACATCATGGGGATCAAATACTAAGGAATTTACCTATCTAGGACAAAGTCTTAAAGGATGATTCAAAGGGTGGCAAAAGAACTTTTTTCTCAAACATATTTTCCTAGCTGGTGGATCTCAAACATATTTATCTCCAAATTTTCAAACTCTAATGTGACTTCTTTTGGAATGACAACAATAACAATAAAAAAAATGCATTTAGTTAGGTATTCTTCTAACTGGTGGATCTCAAAAATATTTATCTCCAAAATTTCAAAACTCTAATGTGACTTCTTTTGGAATGACAACAATAACAACAAAAAATGCATTTAGTTAGGTAGCATGCCATGACTCTCCCAAAGGACCAGGGTGTACTTGGGACCTAATCTTTATCCTCAATTACTAAAATTCTATTTGAGTTCAAATCTTCCATATCAAATATGACAAGATTTATCATTAGAATCCCCCAAAAGTCATAGAGAACATCTCCCATGTGTAAGTCTATCCATAATCTCACTGTCAATATAAAAAATAGCTTAAAAAAATTAATCAGTAATGAACAAAACACAAATAACTAAAGTGATCGAGGACAGTATTCTTATAAGCAAATGACCAAGATGTGTAGGGGTGCATGAGATGAGGACGTTCAATGTTGTCTCCGATTTAATGTATAATTCTTAATAAAATGTTATCTTAACAAAGCCAAATAATACAATTTGCCAAGTCCCAATGAAACATTTGATTCTACCCAAATTCTTGAGGGTATTCTTAAAGTGTTAGATAAGATTTAAAGAACTGTAAGTAAAATTTGACTTCTATTTAATGTTTGAGTGGTCCATTTATGGCTCTCGATCAACTTACAGGAATGAGATTCATTTTTACTTAAGTCTATGGTATGTAATACCGAATAGTATCGTCCGGTACGGACAGTACGTACCGGTCCGACGAATACGCGGACTGTCCGGTACCGAACAAAACATGCTACAGTGTTCCAATATTACATTGCAACAGTGCTACAGTACTACAATAAAAGAAAAATATATATAAAATTATTCGGTACATCCTAATGTACCACTCGGTACACCGATACCGTACCGTACCGAGTCAACCTTTAAACACCGATACGATACAATATTTAAGATCATAATAAATACTCCTATATGTTGAGGAGAGAAATCTATACGATACAATGTCAAACTTCGAAATCTATTATGGTTGGAGCTTTAGCTTTACGGAAAGCGTCAAAATTATAGCTAAGTTTTTGGATCAAATCATATTTTCTTCACTTTTAAATTTTACCAAGACATTATCTCCCATTCCATTTCAGATATTTGAGATTTATATTTTATAATTTTTTTTGACAATGGTAAAACAGTAAATTTTACTCACTTTTCGATCTCTTAATAGTGATTAAAATTATACTAGTGTGTGTGTGTTTTTTTTTTGACAAATCTCATGATTCTCATTTAATAGTATTAGACCACTCGTTAGCCAGATGACTTGATTGATTGAGGTCAATTATGGAGCTATTGGCCAGTTTAATTGACTTTCCACAATGATAGGTGAAGCTTCATTTTCATGAAATGTAGTCTGCAATGCAATGGGAGTTGAACAAAACATTATCATTATATTATGTTAGGCTCACACTGGTGTTGTCAATAAACTATAATTTAGTTGTCAAACTAGGCTGCCGGTGAATCGACAACACATACAACAATGGTGGCCTTCTTCTACAGAGTTGTGACGTTGACCACGGGTCACTAAAATTGACTTCGATCAACAAGACAAAATCTATTAAAGATTTGAAAATAAAAAAAAGACTTAATTTTCTAATCTGAATTGATTTCCATTAATCTGAATTGACTAATAAATGCAAAATAGTAGATGATCTCGTCGGCACTCCATCCAAATCTGTCACAGCAGAGGCAGTCCCAGAAACGCATCCCTGATGTCGTGCAATTCCCTTACGACAGCTTCCATATGCATTCGCTGTTTTGGTGCTTCCTTGGAACATAAAACGCCGACTGTAAGCACCGAAGCAACGCATTCTACCGCTCTCGTGCTTAATCCATTTGCCATTGGATTTGCGTGACGTGCTTCCCCTTCTCCCCCTTGCAATGACAAGTAGGGATCGATGATGTCAACTACGCGTTTGGAAAGTGCCACCTCAACGTATCGACCAAGGTTCAGACCTTCCTTGAAGCCATCGTCCGTAGGTCGCTTACCGGTGAACATCTCTAGCAGGAGTGTTCCGTAACTGTACACGTCCCCTTCCGTAGAGACCTTATTGCCCATCCCATACTCTGCAATGCATGCAGAACGAATCACAACTTACTTCATTCATGCCAACTTCTTGTCTGATAGTGAGCAAATCTAAGAGTATATAGATCAACAAAATGAGAAGCATCAATGAAATCTAAACACACCTGGAGCAGCATAACCGACCGACCCTCAACGTCACCGAGTTATTCGATGACTTGCCGACAACTTTGATAATCCAAAAAGTCACCTAAACATTAAGATTTGATTCATAGTTATCTATCTAGATTGTTATCATGATTTAATGATTACAGGATGATTTCAATAACCACCTCAATCATAATCTAGTAGTTATAAGATGATTTCAATAACCACCTCAATTATAATCTAGTAGTTATAACTAGGTCCTATAAATAGGACCATAGTTCATGAAGCAAAGATATAGAGAGTGTGTACACTTGAAAAAATCTTGTAAGTGTTCTTGTAAATTTTCTTGTTTTTAAATACTATATTAGTTTTCTTGAATCGAAAGAATTCTTTTACTTGCATCGTAGTATTATGTGTTTTCCTTGCTTCTCCATCCCCAACATTTGTGGTGTGGTATCAGAGCCTAGTTTCAATCTGAACCGGGCATTATGACTTTCAATAACAATTCCTTAGGACTTAATAGAGAATGTATATGCAGATTCAGATGACGAAATCAGGCTGAGGGAGAATAGAAAGAAGGACTTAAAGACATTGTTTTTCATTCAACAAGCTGTACATGAGATGATCTTCTCAAGAATTACAACAGTGACAACCTCAAAGCAAGCTCGGTTGATACTTCAAAATGAATTTCAAGGCTCATTAAGGGTGATTATGGTAAAATTTTAAACCCTCTATCGTGTGTTTGAAAGATCATATAATTATTGTAAAAGTTTTGAGAAGTTTAACTTTGAAATTTGATCATGTTGTTGTCATAATTGAGGAGTCAAAAGATTTATCTACTTATTCATTTGATGAACTAATGGGTTCCTTGCAAGCACATGAAGTAAGGTTGAACAGGTCATTTAAAAAAAATAAACAAAAAACATGGGAGTCTTCTATTTCAAAAGAAGACAAAAAATCAGTAGGAAAAGGACGTGGCATAGGAGGATTTCGTAGTAGAGGAAATAGAGGATTTCGTAGTAGAGGAAATAGAAGAGGAAGATGACACTTTGATAGACACGATGAACATAGACAATCAAATTATGATAAAAAAAATAATAATATTAGAATTCAATGTCACTATTGTAAAAAGTTTAGTCATATGAAGGCAGATTGGTGGAAAAGAGAAAAGCAAATAAGTTATGTGGAGGAAAATGAAGAAAATAGTAAGTTGTTTATGACTCATTCATAAGTTTATGATATCTTAAATGATATTTGGTTTCTGGATAGTGGATGTTCTAATCATATGTCAAGCATAAAATCAATATTTAGAGATATTGATGAAACTCACAAGTTGATTAGATTTGAAGATAGCAAGCAAATTCAAGTGGAATGGAAAGGAACAATTGAGGTGAAGACAAATCAAGGGAAGGTAAAATACCGTTTTCTTTGTTCCTACTTTATCACATAACTTGAGTGTTGAACAATTGATAGATGATGGATATTCAGTAATATTTGATGATGGTTCATACACTATTAAAGATAAAAAAATCTGGTTTGATTATAGTAAATGTTTGCATGACACAAAACAAAATAGTTCCGAATAT